AATAAGGACCTAGAGAGCATTGGGCTTAAACAGACATCTATAGAACACTAAACCCAAAAAAAAAACGGAGAGCATCCAACATTTTCTCAACACACACGGATCATTCTCCAGGATCGATCACATACTGGGGCACAAGACAAACATCAACAGATACACCAAGATTGAAATCATACCAACCATCTTTTCTGACCACGAAGGCATCAAACTAGAAATAAATCCATAAAAAGAAAGGCAAGGAACAATCCTACCTATGGAGATTAAAAACCACACTACTGGAAGACCACTGGACTAACGAGGAGATCAAAGAAGAAATTAAAAATTCTTTGAATTGAAATGACACGGAGGACACCAATATCCTAAATGTATGGGATGCAGCAAAAGCAGTAATAAGAGGAAAATATATAGCAAAGAAGCTCACATCAAAAAACACAGAAGAACTCAAAGAACAACCTAATATCTCGAAGCTCAAAGATCTAGAAAAAGAACAACAAAAAAACCCCAAAACCAGTAGAAAGAAAAGAAATAATGAAAACCAAAACAGAAATAAATGAAATTGAAACTAAAAAAACAATCCAAAAGATCAATGAAACCAAGAGCTGGTTCTTTGAAAAAATAAATAAAATAGACAAACCCCTAGTCAGGCTCACAAAGGAAAAAAGGGAGAAAGCACAAATACACAGGATCATAAATGAAAGAGGAGAAATCACAACGGACACAGCAGAAATCAAAAGAATAATCAGTAACTACTATGAACAGTTATATGGAAACAAGTTCAACAATCTAGAGGAGATGGACAAATTCCTACAACTCTACAATCACCCAAAGCTAGATAAAGAAGAAATAGAACACCTAAACAGACCAATTACAAGCAGCGAAATTGAAAGGGTAATCAATAACCTCCCCAAAAACAAAAGCCCAGGACCTGATGGATTTACAAATGAATTCTACCAAACATTCAGAGACAAATTAGTGCCTATCCTTCACAAACTCTTCCAAAAAATTGAGAAGGAAGGGACAATACCAAACACGTTCTATGAAGCCAATATTACACTAATACAAAACTGAAAAAGGACAACACAAAAAAGGAAAACTATAGGCCAATCTCCCTAATGAACACTGATGCAAAAATCCTCAATAAAATTTTAGCTATCAGAATCCAACAATGTATCCATAAGATAATTCACCACGACCAAGTTGGATTCATTCCAGGGGCACAAGGATGGTTTAACATCCGAAAATCAATCAACGTTATCCAACACATCAACAAAAAGAAATATAAAAACCATATGATAATATCAATAGAGGCTGAGAAAGCTTTCGACAAAGTGCAACACCCATTCATGATAAAAGCCCTTGAAATTCTTGGATACAAGGAACATACCTCAACATCATAAAGGCCATCTATGACAAGCCAACAGCCAGTATCATTCTCAATGGTGAAAAGCTGAAAACAATTCCATTAAGATCTGGAACAAGACAAGGATGTCCACTCTCACCACTGCTTTTCAATATAATACTGGAAGTCCTAGCCAGAGCAATAAGACAAGAGAAAGACATCCAAGGAATCCAAATAGGAAAGAAGAAGTGAAACTATCACTATTTGCAGATGATATGATAATATACATAGAGAACCCCAAAATCTCCACAGAAAAACTAATTCAACTCATCAATCAATTCAGTAAAGTGGCAGGATACAAAATCAACACGCAAAAGTCAGTAGCCTTCCTATACACAAACAATAAATCTGAAGAAGAAGAAATCAAAAAAACCATCCCTTTTATTATTGAAACAAAAAAAAATCAAATATTTGGGAATAAATCTAACAAAAGAGGTAAAGGACCTATACAAAGAAAACTATAAAACACTGTTAAAAGAAATAGAAGAAGACACAAAGAAATGGAAAGACATCCCCTGCTCATGGATTGGAAGAATAAACATTATTAAAATGGCCATCCTACCAAAAGCAATATACAGATTCAATGCTATTCCAATCAAAATCTCAATGGCATTCTTCAAAGAAATAGAACAATTATTGATGAAATTCATATGGAATCACCAAAAACCCCGAATAGCCAAAGCTCTACTGAAAAAAAAAGAAGGAAATGGAGGCATCACACTCCCAGACTTCAAACTATACTACAAAGCCATAATCATCAAAACTGCATGGTATTGGAACAAGAACAGACATACAGACCAATGGAATAGAATAGAAAATCCAGAAATAAACCCACAGATTTATGGTCAACTAATCTTTGACAAAGGAGCAAAGACTATGCATTGGAGCAAAGAAAGTTTGTTCAATAAATGGTGCTGGGAAAACTGGGTCGCTACATGCAAAAGAATGAAGCTTGACCACTACCTCACACCATACACAAAAATCAACTCAAAATGGATTAAAGAACTAGACATAAGACCTGAAACCATAAAATACATAGAAGGAAATATAGGCGAAACACTACGGGATTTGCACATCAAAGACATCTTTACAGACACATCACCCAAAGCAGTGATAGTGAAGGCAAAGATAAACAGCTGGGACTACATCAAATTAAAGAGCTTCTGCACAGCAAAAGAGACAATAACAAAAACAAAGAGAAACCCCACCAACTGGGAGAACATTTTTGCACCCAACACTAATGATAAAGGACTGATCACAAAAATCTGCAAAGAGCTGATGAGACTCAGCAACAACAAAGAAAATAATCCAGTCAAAAAATGGGCAGAAGAGCTAAAAAGAAACTTCTCTGAAGAGGAAATGCAAATGGCCAACAGACATATGAAAAAATGTTCAACATCACTTGTAATCAGGGAAATGCAAATCAAAACTACCATGAGATACCATCTCACACCAGTGAGAATGGCACATATTAAAAAAACTAGCAACAACAAATGTTGGCGAGGGTGTGGAGAAAAAGGAACTCTTCTGCACTGTTGGTGGGAGTGCAAACTGGTCCAACCACTATGGAGAGCTGTGTGGAGATTTCTGGACCTACTAAACATAGAGCTTCCATATGATCCAGCAATTCCACTCCTAGGTATTTACCCAAAGGACACAGAAACATCAATTCCAAAGAGAACCTGCACCCCTATGTTTGTAGCAGCACTGTTTACAATAGCTAAGCTTTGGAAACAACCCAAATGCCCAAAAATAGATGACTGGATCAAGAAGATGTGGTACATATACACCATGGAATATTACTCAGCATTCAAAAAAGATAAACACATGCAATTTGCAGCAACATGGATGGCGCTGGAAGGGATCATGCTCAGCGAAATAAGCCAAAAAGAAAAAGAAAAATACCGGATGGTCTCACTCATAGCAGGAATCTAGAAAACTTAAATAAGGGACCAGGAAAATGAATATAAGAAAGTGAAAATCAAAATCAACAAAAAACTATGAACCAGAGACACTTTTTGGGGGGGGGGGGGCGGGAGGGGAAGGATTGGGGTCAGAATGGGGCATTTGCAATTGTATGGGGGAATATAAAAATAAAATTTATTATTTAAAAAAAAAAAAAAAAAAAAAAAAACTACTCTGATAAAGACACAGAACAGTGCCAGCACCCCTGGAAGATGTCCTCAAGCTCCTTCCCAATGTGTACTCAATCTTTGTGATATTTGACAGCCTGCCCTCTGCAAGTAAAACACCAATCTGTCTCTGCTGTTGTCTTTTTTTTTTTTTAATATTTAAAGAGTAGGTTTATTAAAAAAGGGATAGGACAGTAAAAGACACTTGCATAGACACAAGCAGGCAGGAAGAGCTGCCCCAAAAGGACAGGTTTGCTTAGAGAGGCCTGCACGGTTGCAGGTAGGCGGCCCTGAGGAGTGCTGCCTCCGCTGACGGAGGTCAGTGAAGAGAAGTCCTGGCATGGTACAGGTCCCGGGCAGGCAGGGAGGCTGCTGCCCTGCTGAGAGAGAGTTGGTGAAAGAAGCACTTGCATAGTCACAGGTGGACAAACGGAGTGCTGCCGCTGTTGTCTTTTTTTTAACCCAATACAAATAATACTGACTTCTTTTGCTCAACATTTTATCTGTGATATTCACACACATTATTACATGTACCAACAGTGTGTTTTTTGCAGTGTTTGTTAGCTTTCAATTATAAGACTGTATCATTTTTTACTCCTTCTACTATTGACAAATTTTTGGGCGGTTTCTAATTTTTGGGTGTTAATAACAAAAATCCCATGTATAGTTTTACATGTCTTTTAGATAATATTTAATACAAATACATGCAAATGGTTGGCTACAGTACTTTGAATGGTATTCTATACAAAATTCTTCATAAATTCCTTTAGTATTTCTTTTTTTTAAAAAAGCTTTATTTATTTATTTATTTATTTATTTATTTATTTCTGCATACATACAAGCACTGGGTACAGTCAGAAGCGCGCGGGAGGGTAAGAGAATTCACCAGAGCAGGGAGCAGAACAGGCAGAAGGAGCAAAGAACACTGCTGAGGGGAGCAGCGGGCGGCAGGAGAGGTCTGCACGCCATGTGGAACCCTCATTCGGCTGCCGGGGATCGAACTGGTTCTGCAGAAGCTGCGGGCAGCTTCGCAACCCAGCGCTCAACCGCTGCGCCACCGGGGAGGCCCTCCTTTAGTATTTCTTAATATAATTTATTTTAGGCTCTAAACCTCTAGATGACTGCTAATATGCTGCGCTATCTAAATCAGTTAACATGAAAATATTGCCATTTACAGGCAATAATTATTAATAAACCCAAAATATAATCAAGCCACATTTTTTCACACCCTGACTATACAATAAAGGAACTGAAGTTGCAATGTGGTGTGGAAAAGCCCTGCCTGGCAAGAAAATCCTGGCTCTTTGATCTGTCACTTAAGCTTCTTGCATATCAATTACTTCATCTATAGTTAAACATCCTTTTACATACTATCTTTGTTAAACTACAATCCTATTAGATTAGCCTATAATTTAACAAGAACTATAATTTAAACTATAATTTAAACAAGAACAAAAAAAAAAATCAAATACCTATTATTAAAAGGTGGAAGACCATCTGGAAATCTTGAAGTTAGAGGATTTCCATCTTTATCATGGTAGAATGCAAATAGCCCAGCAGAGAAACCCTGTATGAAAAAGTTCAAAATGCCTCAGAGTGAAAAATATCAAGTCTGATTACAACATCAAAACATGCCATTATCAAAAAAGAACATTGGTATTATCATATAAAAGCAACATGCAAATAATCCTACAGGATTTTCTCTTATAATAGAATTGGACAATAATGAAGAGTTTCATATTAATGAATTTTAAATTCCAGTAACTTGAGATAATTGTGAGGAAATCAAAAATAATGGTTAACAAAGACATTCTTTGGTGATGACACAGACAATATATTTAAGAATGTGTTTTCACATTTGATCCTCTTCATATGAATTTACTGAATTCTACAACTGTATCCAGGCAAAGCTACTATTAAGAAAAAGTAACAATGCAGTTTAGAGTAGGGGGTAGATTATCAAGAATGCTCCTCAGGTGCCTCCCCTGGTGGTGCAGGCAGTTGAGTGCTGCGCTGTGAAGCTGTCTGCAGCCTCTGTAGCACGGGGTTCAATCCTGGCCAGCCGCAGAGATACCCACATGGTGCAGCAAACCTCTCCTGTCTCGCCTGCTGCTCCCCTCAGCAGTGTATTTCTGTCAGTCTGCCTGTTCTGTACCCTGTTCTGTCTCTGGTGGATCCTCTCATCCTCCCACACATCTGGCCTATACCCCAGTTCTTAAAAAAAAAGAATGTTCCTAAGAGTTCTCACTAAAACTCAGTTCTTCATATCTACCTGAACAATGCAAAAACACTAATTTGAAGGGAAATAGGTACTTCTATGTTCACTGTAGCCCTACTTACAATAACTAAGTTATGGAAACTGCCTAAATGCCCAAGAACAGAGGACTAGATCAGACAAACATGGTATAGATACGCACACAAAGGAATACTACCCAGATATAAAAAGGGATGAACTCTTGCCATTTGCAGCAACATAGATGCATCTGGAGAGGATAATGCAAAACCTCTGATAATTCTTTCATAAGTGAGATTTCTTTTTTAATCTACTATAACAGAGCACTTTGTAACTATACATGTTTTATACATTAAGCATAGTAAGAATGAAATATTTAGCATAGTATAGTAAGAATGAAAGCTATAGTTTATCAAACTAACAAATAATCATTAATGATCACTTAATCAATTTCTTTGTCAAATGTCTTTTTTAAGATTTTATTTATTTGTTTGTTTGTTTATTATTTATACAAGCACTGGGCACAGTCAGAAGCGCGGGAGGGTGAGAGAACCCACCAGAGCCAGAGAGGGGAGCAGAGCAGGCAGAAGGACCGAAGTACACTGCTGAGGGGAGCAGCGGGCGGCAGGAGAGGTCTGCGCGCCATGTGGGACCCTCCTCCGGTGGCCAGGGAGCAGCCGGACACCGAACCAGCGCTGCAGAGGCTGCGGGCAGCTTTGCAACCCAGCGCTCAACCGCTGCGCCACCGGGGAGGCCCTATCAAATGTCTTTGATTACATAACTGTAGCCTGTTCATTCAAGGCTTGCCAAAATGATTAATGGAATCCAGATTATTGTTTTATTTCTATATTTCTTTTTTAACCTCTTAAAATACAAAGGATACATAATGAAGTCAGCTAAGAAAATCATTTTTCATATACAATTCACTGAATTACGTAAAGCTTAATATAACATGATTTGCCTCACTCTTTGCAATAATCTAAATATACATTTTTTCACCCTACCAACCTTAAAATTTTCTAAGCATTCACATTCTTGAAGGCTTATCTAGTGTTCCAAGTACACAATATATATAGTGAACAAGAACCTAAAAATCCATATAATCTTAATAGTACAAACATCAAGATGAAAACATAATAAGCAGAAAATCAAGTCATGAAAGGAATGAATAGCAGTTAACAGGAAACTTTACCAAGGCATGAATAATTTCATGTTTCACTGTGGACAGCATTCCAATAAACTCCTGAGGCTGGGTAGAGATCATATTTGGACACAGGTTAGCATATCCTGCTATTGGCCTGTTAAAACAGACATTAATTTTTTAATTATATTGCAGAAGAATATGTATTATGATATTTGCTAACTTATAATACTACTAACCTATACTTTTCTATCAAAAACTGCCCAAGGTGAGAAAAATCTTTGCTAAATATCAAAATGTTATTTTGTACCAATGTTACTTTGTATCTAACTTCCACTATCATTTACTTTTGAGACATATACATTTTTTTGTATAGCATGGTTAATGAACACACATGTCCACAGGAGGATACAGTCAATTATATTCTAGTGCGAATCTTTAAAATATGTCCAATATATGCCCCAAACAAGAATGAACTAAAAAACTCAAATTCTAATACTATTTTACTCATAAAATCTATAGTTGACTTTAACAGTTCACTATGTTTATAGGCAGAGGGACAGACAAGTAGGTAAAAGGGAGAACCAGTTATACATAGGACAACAAGCAAGTCACTCATGTTGCTGAAATTTGCTGAGAATTCTTATCTCCATCTCATTATTACCTTTTTCCCATCTTAACACTACCTTTTATTCACACAAAGATAGTCATCTTTCTATCTTCTTTCATATTGTACATTTTCTAGAATATATGTAATTCTACATATCTCTTTGTGCCTGGAAGCTTATAATTCAGGAACTGACTAGGACCTAGAGTAACTGAGTCAGTTCCACAATGCATCTACTAGTCTTTTCTAAAGGTGTGGCAAAGAATGATAAGGAAACTCAAGGTCCTTTCTCCTACCACTACCTTAACATTTTACCACAGAACTACCACAAACTAAACCAAACTGTAATCACCTATTTACAAAGAACATTTGCCTTATTTAAATAAAAAATACAGTATGTATAATTTCTTCAAAATTGAAACAACACACACTTAGAAAAAGTATGAATTCCCAAAACAGTGCCAGTGACCTCAATTTTTTTACCTTTAAAAACCATTTTACTATATATATATACATATGTCAATATTCACACAATTTTACATATTAGATATGCACAGTTTGTTGAATGTAAATGTGTTATAATGAAGCAGTGAAGACTGAACTTAAAAATTATTGGAACTTTCAGTCAATGATATATCATTAGAAACATTTTTTAAAAGATGTTGATAATGAGACTCAAGGACTACAATAACATACACACAGTGACCTCTAAAATATAAAATGGATGTCACAGCCAGGCTTAAAGCCCTCCAGGGACTTCCTGTAACATTTAAAACAAAACATTTAGCATCTCTGAAGCTCTCATCCTCCAACACAGTATTCATGAAAGTGGTTTCTAATCACAACAGTCCACATAGCTTATTCCTAATATAAATTCTTTGGCTGAAGTCTATCAACATTTAGGTTGATGTCTATCAATACTTAAGTTATAACTGAAGTTTCACTTTTTAAAAGAGGCCTTCTTTGACCAGTTGTTCTAAATTGTTTCCCTCTTTTGTTGCAGCACCCTTCTTTCTAAGAGGTATTTATTACATTTGGATACCCCGTATTTATTTGTCAATCTATTTTACCAGTATTTGTCATCCTCATAATTTCTAAGCTCTAGGAGCCAGGCACAGGTGTCTACTATGTTCACCTAGTCTGCTGGCAACCTATTGGGCACTCAAATATTCATGAAATTAATTAAAGTAACAGAGCAGTTCTGAAGGAAAGTTTTGCTTCCATCAAAAAGATTCAAAGAAAAAAAAGATTCAAAGATACCAATCTTTTTTCCACCATCAACATTCTCCTCAGAAGAAACTGAAAATCTCTCCCCAGATATGAAAAACATATATATGTAAATGAGGACTTTTATATTCACTGATACAAAGAACATTTACTCTTTCAGTTACTCATTCATATCAAATGTGAACCAAATGTAAAAGTACTTTACACAAACATAATAGCAGTTCAATGATATTGAAATGTACCTCTGGGTTAGGGATTTCTCATCTATGCGACAGTTCCTAAACTGGATTCTCTTACCAAGGGACAACTAAATACTTATGTACTTACAGTATTATCAGATGCTAAAAGGGGATGAACTAATCTAGACCTATCTCAACATAGGATTATAAATCCCCTTCCCCAGGAATGCTATTCTATTTTTAAAAGAGGTTCACTTTAACTTGTTTTTTATTAAAAAAACAGTAATAAAAGCTAATTGTAAAAAAGTATATATCCAAACAACATAGAAATGTACAAATAAAAAAGTGAAAATTTTGTTTTTATAACCCATTCTCACTATCAGAGGTAACTACTATCAGTAATTTGGTATGCTTTACTTTTTAGTTACTAGCCATTCCAGTTTGTCCAGGAGTAAGGAGTTTTCCAGGATATAGGATTTTCAGTATTAGAACAAGACTTGTCCTTCGCAAATTGACATGATGGTAACCCTAATTATTTGATCTTTTTCCTGAGCACATTCTAGTATAAACAGAAGACTTTAAAACAAATATGGAATCATTATGCGCACTGTTTTTGCAATGTTATTTTGACATTCAACAGCATACTCAAAAGAATGTGTGTATGAGAAGATCTTCAATCCATATGGTTTCTTTCTTTTTAAAGATTTATTTATTTATGCATACAAGAACAGGAGTGTAGGCGAGAGGTGTGGGGGGTGAGAGGATTCACCCGAGACAGAGTGGGAAGCAGAACAGACAGATCTACTGAAATATACTGCAGTGGGGAGCAGCGGGAGAGACAGGAGAGGTCTGTTGCACCATGTGAGTCCCCTGGCTGGGGATCGAACTCATGTTACAGTGGCTGGTGATAACTTGATAGTGCTGTGTCTTTAACCCCTAGGCCACTAGTGAGGCCTCCATATGGTTTATTTCAAGTTAAGATAAAAAATGGTGATTTGGGGGCCTCCCTGGTGGCCTAAGGGTTAAGTCTCAGGTCTGTCACCACTGTGGCCTGAATCCAATGCCCAGCCAGGGAACTAACCCATATATGGTGCAGCAAACCTCTCCTGTTTTGCCCACTGCTCTCTCAGCAGTGTATTTCAGTAGATCTGCCTGTTCTGCTCCCCACGCTATCTCTGGTGAATCCTCTCACCCCCTACACCCCAGTTCTTCTATGCTTAAATTAATACATCTTAAAAAAAAAAAAAGAATGATTTTACAGCACACTACTAAGAAGGTATATTCTGAAAGTCATCTACTTCAAGAAAACATCTCATTTTATTAAGTAACTTAATTTATCATTCTTTTAGCACTTCAGATACCATATTTTCTTGACATTGAAGCACCATGAATTATAAAAAAAATAAAATTTAATGAATTTCCCAGGGAAGAAGAAAAATATTAAATACATTATTTTTACCACAAATTATAAAAACAGTAATAAACAATATAGCTGCAAAAAAACACAGTGCTTTCCCCTTTAGTAACACCACTCAGTATTTGACCCTAAGGTTTTTCAACAACTTAAGTCTAAAGATTTTTGAGTATATTTCATGCCTCAACAATTATAATGGGCCTCCTTGGTGGCGCAGGCACAGTGCTGTCAAGCTGTCCGCAGCCTCTGCAGCACAAGTTTGATACCCAGCCGGCCAGGGAGCAACCCATATGGCATGGCAGACCTCTCCTGACTCACCCACTGCTCTCCTGAGCAGTGTATTTTGGTCAGTCTGCCTGTTCTGTTGCCCACTCTGTCTCTGGTGAATCCTCACCCTCCCATACATCTGGCCTATACTCCAGTTCTTGTATAAAATTTTAAAAAATCTTAAAAAGAAATTATAATTACTATCTTCATGACAGACTGCTTTTCATAATTCACAATGTTACTTGACCTCTACACTACCTTCACAATTGGCAATATAATTCTGAAGCACACACCAGTGTTTCCTTTGTATTGCCCACTTGGTTCAACTAATACTTCTATGTTTTTCCTTAAATGAATTATACATCTATAAAATGGTTCTTCAAAGCAAGCTAGTCTTTTGACAGATAAGCATTCGGAATCTCAGGCAATGGTCCTACCATTCTCCTAAATTAGTCACATTAAGTCTCCTAGATTTCAGAATGTTATATAAAATCTATTCTGTGAAGTGGAGGTTTTTATTGCCTTTAATTGATTTGCCTGTAAAGTACAGGCAAACTTCCTGTACTCTAAATAATGACTTTATTTTAAAGATTTATTTATTTATGCTTACAAGAACTGGGGTATAGATCAGAGGTGTGAGGAGGTGAGAGGATTCAACAGTGACAAAGTGGGGAGCAGAGCAGACAGATCTACAGAAATACACTGCTGAGGGGGGCAGCAAGCAAGACAAGAGAGGTCTACTGCACCATATGTGGGTTAGCTCCCTGGTCAGGGAGCAAACTCATGCTGCAGTGGATGGGGATAGCTTGATAGGGGAGACTCTAACTCCTGCACCACCAAGGAGGCCCAAATAATGACTTTTGATTTCAAGGTTACCTCACTGGAAACTTGTTTTGGGAACTCCTTTGTAAATTAAAGAAAAAGGACTCTGAATTTTTAAGGGAAAATTTAGCTAGAAGCAGCACATATCAAATGACATGATAATTAGATAAACAGCTATCTTAACACCTCACTTGCTAGTTTTAGCACATCAGTGCTAAAATTAAACTTCAAATTGTTTCCCTAGAAAGGCATTTACTTTGAAAGAAAATTAACTTGACTGTAACTTTTCCTCTGGAGTGGGTACTGGCATAACCTTATAAGTAACAGTCCTATCGCCTGGTCTCTGCCATCCACATCCCAAATCCAGGCAGTGTGCAGTTTCTCATTGCTGGAGGCCGTCCAGCCTATGCAAACTTCCTGTACTCTAAATAATAAAATATGGTATATTTTATGAGTTTCTATATTATGTCTTGGGAAATACGTCTCAGGGGAAAGTTTACCTGTCCATTTTTGCTTCCTGCTGGCAATAGGCTGCATAAGAGATGATGTTTTCATGGCTGCACCTCTCGGTGGCCAGAGCACCAACATAAAGAACAAAGTCTGCATCCCGGATACCCTCTTGGTCTTGCGCACCCACTGCTGGACAGGGCCACTTACCCCCACGGCAGACCCTGCATGGCTGCACCCATGAGGGGCAACAGAAAAGCAGACCAGAGATATGGTTAGCTATAGGGACTTTTAGCCTAATACTAAATCCAGACTTTAAATATGCAATTTTATTTTTTAATAATATTATTAGTTCATTTTACTTTTATTTATTTTTATTTTTATTTATTATCCCTGAACTTTTGTCTAAATCCATATCTCCTCCTACTCATTTTCTATCTCTAATTTTGATTTTATTTTATTAAAACTTGAACTTCATATAAAATGGTCATAAACGTACAATCATAATCAAAACAATTGCTGTTCATAAAGAGCACCAATCAGGATGCAAAAAAGACAGAAAAGGATTTTAAACCCTGAAAGTAAGTGAAAGGGACTTTACTGCATATACAAGTAGTTCCCCCTTATCTGCTTTTTCACTTTCCACAGTTTCTGTTACCCATGGTCAACCACAGTCAAAATATATTACCTACAAGATTATTTTGAGAATTAGAGAAAGAGGTCACATTCACATAACATTTATTATTATTATCCTGCTTTAGTTATTGTTTTTAATCTTTTACTGTGCCTAATTTATAAATTAAACTTTATCATAGGTATGCGTAAACTTTATCATAGGCTGGGAAAAAAACAGAAAATATAAGGTGTGGTACTATCACAGTTTCAGGCTTCTAGTTAGGGGGTCTTGGAATGCATCCCCCGTGGATAAAGGGGGACTACTGTAATTTTTTTTGCAACTTCATGCAAATCTATAGCTTTTCAAAATTGAATAAAACTTTTTATCTAACAAAAATATATTTCCTATTACAAAGTAATTCCTCTATCATATTAAAAATTTAGATAACAAAAATATATTATGCTAAAAAGTTAGTCCTGTTATAATACTACTTTTGTTTCTAACTTTGTAAGCGAATCTTACACTGCCCTTGTTATGTCTGCTTTTTAGAGGACTTCTATCAAAGTTTCTAAAGAAACATAATTTCCAAATTATAAATAGAAAAATCAATGAAGTGATTCTTTCTCTTTTTTTAGCTGTAAGGGAAGTATGTAGAGAGAGGAAAAAACATAAACCCCCATTTTATTACATTGTTCATTCTTGCTTCTCTAATACATGAATTTACAATTTTTAAAGTCAATTATTTTAATCTACTAATGATGTAACAAAAAGTTGTGACTTTTTATGCATTCTTTTCCATGATCGCTCATTTATTTGGAAAAAAAAAAGGACTCCCAAAAAGGTAAGTAGAAAGCAGAATTTGGAAAATCAAAAAAATTATAAAGAAAAAATACCTTTAAAAAAGGAAAATAAGTATATCTTAAAGTGTCTAGGAAATGTCTCTAAGTGTCTCGGGAAAGAGATGGATTTCCTACAGTGCAGTTTATCCTTAAAACCATTTGTACTCTCAAGAAATTTGAGAGAAGAAATAAAAGCTGTGTAAGTTAGTTGTATTCATGCCAATACATAAGGTTCTAAAAGCCTTTACTAAATTACAAAATAAACATCTCAATTTATGCTTTATTTTGATTAGAAAGTCAATATTCACTAATGTATTCTTTTTCATTAAGAAATGAGAGAACATAGTTCATTAGAAGAAAAAAGTTTATACCAATATTTTCAAATACATATCTGTAATAAATTGATTTTCTGGTATATACATTTAAAACTTTTATCTTTCCTGATACAAGTAATATATGCTTATTATAAAATACTCAGAACATTACAAAAATACATAGCTTAACAAAGAAAAAATCACAACCCAACTCTTAAAAAAAACCATCAACATTTTGTTATGTGTCTAGAATTATAACTATACATATACCTCTAGATTGTTTCATAACTTGTATTTCATGTTTTTAAACTTTACTGAAATCTGAATAATTTATTACAATTTTTAAATAAAATGGGCTAACTACACATACCAATTTGCTATTTTTTTTTTTCATTTAAGAGTTAAAATATCTTTTCAAGTCAGTGTATGGAGATCTACTTTAATAGTTGCATACTATTACAATATATGGTTACACCATAATTTAATTAATATGATTATAAGTATTTTTATAGTTTTGCAATGAATCTCCTTGAACATATATCATACAGTTGTAAGTATTCTTATGGAATACATTTCCAGGTAGGATAGAAGCATACAGACATTTTTTATTTTAACAGATAATGTCAAACTGTCAGCCAAAATAATTGATGTTGTTTTTCTAAAAGATGTTTGACAGATAAAGTTCTAAGCTGAAATGATTCAGCAACCCCAGAGATAAGTTGAAAAAAGGGGTATGGGGGTAAAGAAAAAATATCATTAAATTCACTTGAAAACCAATGAAAGAATGAAGTCAGCACACCTCTGATTATTTTTGGTAGAAGAGAAGTTTTTGAACTTAAGTCTGTAAAAGTTTCTTGGTGACACATAGATTTGAAAGCTAGCCTAAGTTTATGCTAAAGAGCAAAAAACATTGGTTAAGAGCAAGATGAATTACCTGGAGGTGCTCCTCAGGAACTATAACAGGGCCACATTTCGTATGCTCTGCACATTCTCCAGTACAGTATCTATGGGGGTCATTTTCCCTCCGGAGGTATTGGTTTGTTGCACATTGTCTTCATTTGTACATCAAAGTTTAATTACAAAAATAAGTAAGTAAAAAGAAAGAAAAATTCACAGCAGTTAAAAAAACTGTAAAAAACCTAGTAGTTCTATATTATTAGCTCATTAATACTGGTTACCATTTCAGTTAGATAAGTGAACTAAAAAAGAATTTTGGCTCTATGTGAAATCTTCCTGATCTGGGATTTCAAACACTCAAATACTTCATAAAATCAATACTGTCAACACAGGAAGGAGGGAGGAAGGGGCTGTGGGAAATAGGAGACAACTACACTCTAAGATCGAGTGGGCTACCTCATGATAGGAAAATCAGACAAAGAATGATTACCCAGGAAATGCTTTCTAATTTTTTTATAAAGATTTATTTTATTTATTTATGCATATAAGAACTGGGGTGTAGGCCAGAGGTGTGGGAGGTAAGAGGATTCACCAGAGACAGAGTGAGGCACAGAACAGGCAGATTCACTGAAATACACTGCTGAGGGGAGCAGCTGGTGAGACAGGAGAATTCTGCTGCACCATGTGGGTTAGCTCCCCGGCCAGGGATCGAACTCGTGCTGCAGTGGCTGGCTATAGCTTGATAGCACTGAGACTTAACCCCTGCACCACCAGGGAGGCCTTGTTTCTAATTATTTTTAAATACTTGCAGTATATATAAGTATATTAAATATCCTAGTATAAAATTCAAAATTTGCCATATTGGTAGGCTGGAGGGTAGAATACTAAATAACTAAAGAAAATGATATATGTTTAATGTGACATACCTGCTAAGTAAGATAGTTCCTGCAGGTCTACGAACCTGAAAAGTCTTCTCTAAATAAGAAATAGCTTGTGGGAAAAGTTTGTTCTAAACAAAAGTTTAAGAAAAACAAACCCAGTTAGAATTATAGTTAAGGGGTAAATTACATTTTAAACAAATAAGCATAAATTGTTAGTGACTGAGAGATAAAAAGGAAAAGTCTCAAAATTCTGGAATATAGGTACTACTTAGTAAAGGTTACATGGCAAGGGATAGGGGAGAGAGTAAGTATAGACAAAAGGAATTTTCCTTGCTTTCTAGTTGAGTTTGGAGAAAGACCACTAGGTAGAAACTTTCTTCCCTACCTCCATTTAAATAGAATATTAGAAAACCTAAATCTCAGTTACTAATCTAAATTACTTCAAATCTGAGATTGATTTTAGATGATTCCAACATTAAGGAGTATATGTTAATTTTTTAAAGGAGTATATGTTAAGAAAATCTTATAAGATTTATAAGATGTACTTATAAGATGTACTTTAACCTTAGAAACTTCTTAGAAACTTCTATAATCCATAATGAATTGATTTAATTTGTGTATAAAACTCTGCACCATTAAAAAAAACTGATAGGTTGGTACCTCTATAAACAAATTTGGCATATCACACTATTAGGTCAATTAATCTTCAGGAAAACAAACATTTCCTCCAAGAGAATGGTGTTCTCAGTGTATTTCAAAAATCATCAATTTAACCCTATCCTCATCATGTCCTGCTCTCCTAAAACTTAGAAGTGAAAAAATGAGAGGATTGTACTAACAAAGTTTTGGCAAGTGCCTCACAAAAACACCTTTGGAAAAAATGACAAACATATATACTACCTACATCTTTGACTCAGTCATCTGCAAAATAGTCATGTGTATATTTTCTTTACTGAAGTACAATTTACATACAATAAAATGCACACATTTTAATATACAATTGAAGCCATTAGTATTTATTACATACCTTTACAAGGTATCTTTTCTCAGGAAGCAACCTGAAAATGACACAATACATAAGAATTGCCATACTAGAGCAGAGCACCACTTATTTATTCACAATGCATCTGGCTGGGGCCCCAAGAAATGTCATGTGGAAGCATTATCAATGCCCTTAAATCTCAATTTACCTCATTAGAGCATTAGAGCGTGTACTCTGTGCAAAAGCACAACGCTAGGCATGATCCCATGTTATCCATTCATTTGGAAAGTTAAACATGGGGGAAGACATCAACCACTCCTAACATCACTACATAAACCACTATGGAGTCGTAATATATGTTCTCTGGATGCTTCTTATACTAAATAAAAAATCAATATATCTTCTCTCTGGTTAATAATTTTGTAAGTGTTCTTCTTTTGCATGTTAATAATTCCTTCTATTTTTCCTCCCAAGTATTTAGTGAGGAGGTTTCTTCCAGGTCTGCTACTGTCCACACACAAGTAGATCCACATTTATCCTGTTTAAACTATCAAATGCATAGATTTTTTTTTAATAAATTTTATTTTTATATTCCCCATACAATTGCAACCCCCTTATTTTGACCCCAATCCCTCCCCTCCCCATCCCCCATAGAGTGTTTCTGGTTCATAGTTGTTTGTTGATTTTGATTTTTACTTTCTTATAGTTATTCTTTTTCCTGGTCCTAAGGAACTATTTAAGTTTTCTAGATTCCTGCTATGAGTGAGACTGTTATAGAGCAACCCCGATATTAAACGGGTTCCTGGCTGTGGGTCCTCACCCGCGCGCTTTAAAGGGACTTATGAATACTCTACTACAGACACACACAAAAGGGTTAATAAAAGGTTTATTTACAAGAGGAAAGGAAATAAGGAAAATGTACAACTCAGGGAGAAAATAGGGAAATAAAGTCTTTAATGCGTCCTACCCGATCCGACGACCTGGAAACCCAAAGTCACTCCCAGAGCTGGCCGGAGGCTCCGCGCTGGCCCAGAGCCCAAAATGGAGAGAGAGCCCCCCAAAGCCCACGTGTCTGCCTTTTGTATCCACCTGGCTGCTTAACCCCACCCTCAGGTCCCAGCCACCTTCCCTTTGGTGGTGATGGGATTTGGAGTTCCCAGTGTCTTTGGCTTTGACCTGGGGTGAGGGTGGAGTCCACAAAGCCTGTATGGAATTTGCTTTGGGACCGCCTTTTCCCCCTAACAAGACCATCCGGTATTTTTTTTTTTCTTTCTTTCTTTCTGGCTTATTTCGCTGAGCATAATCCTTTCCAGCGCCATCCATGTTGCTGCAAATTGCATGTGTTTATCTTTTTTGAATGCTGAGTAATATTCCATGGTGTATATGTACCACATCTTCTTGATCCAGTCATCTATTTTTGGGCATTTGGGTTGTTTCCAAAGCTTAGTTATTGTAAACAGTCCAATGCATAGATTTTAATCATATCCTATGGCCTTTATTTTTCCAAACTTAAAAGCATTTTTTAATTTAATTCCATTTTGAAAGTGCATTAGCACCTGTGGAACTTGGGCAAAAGATGAAAATATCTTTTACCCCCATATTTTAAAATCAAAGTAAGACTGCAATATAATATTACATAAACTTCAGGTAAAATTATCTTTTTTTTCCCAGTAATTGTAATTTATTACAATACTAGAGGCACCTATAGCAAATCTACAATATAGCAAGATTCAGGAAAAGATCTTTAATACTTAAACTCTTAACGAAAAAGATGAAAAATAAAGGTGTACTTACTCTTCTATACTTTTATCATAGACAGTCTTGATTCTTAAATGTTCATCAACATCTCTCTTTACAACATGGTTTGCCTTAAGATGGACCTTATTTATGACCTAAAAAAGAAATAGATTTGAAATTTTTTAAAATGTTGCACAGATTAGTTAATTGAAGCCCCAATTTAAAATTAATAAACCGAATTTCAAATAAAATATCCAGAAAAAATAAATAATTGAGAGATATTCCATATTTATGGATAAGAAGACTCAACATTGTCAAGAAGTTAGTTCTTCCCAACAGTATCTATAGATTCAACATATCTCAGCAAGTTATATTGGAAATATTAACAAACTGACTCTAAAGTTTATTTATTTATATATATTTTTAAGATTTATTTATGCAAGACTCTAAAGTTAATACTGAAAGGCAAAAGACCCAGAAAAACCAATACAACACAGAATAAGATCAAAGTTGGAGGAATGATGCCACCTGAATTCAAGATTTACCACAAAGCTACAGTAATCAAGAGAGTATATTACTGGCAAAAGAAGAGACAAATGTATCAGAGGAACAGAATAGAGGGTCCAGAAATAAACCCACTAAAAAAAAGTCAAATTATCTTCGACAGAAAAACAAACGAATTACATTGGAGCTAATAGTTTTTTCAAGAAATGGCACTGGAACAACAGGATATTTACACAGAAAAAAAAATTGAATATAGAGACACACCTTACATCCTTCCCAAAAACAAACTCAAAATGGCTTATACACCTAAATGTAAAGTGAAAAACTATAAAATGCTTATATCATAGGATGACCTTGGATATGGTGGAAACTACTTAGATATAACACTACATTTGTCTCTTCTTATTCAAAATATACAAAGACTAATTGCAATAGGGCAGGATGTAAATGCAGTTAAAACTATATTGTTGGAAAGTTCCTACATTTAATATGAATGTAAACTTTTACTATGTGTCATAAATACACGTTACATATAATAACCACAGCAAACAGTCAAAAATACATTGCATTTTATTGTAGGTTAAGTATACCTCAATTTAAAAAATAAAGCAAAGAGGGGCCTCCCTGGTAGTGCAGGAGGTTAAAGTCTCAGTGATATCAAGCTATCACCAGCCACTGCAACCTGAGTTGGATGCCCTGCCAGGGAGCTAACCCACATGGCAGACCTCTCCTGTCTCACCCACTGCTCTCCTCAGCAGAGTATTTGAGTGGATCTGCCTATTCTGTTCCCTACTCTGTCTCTGGTGAATCCTCTGGCCTATACCCCAGTTCTTGTATGCAAAAATAAATACAATAAAGCTTAAAAAAATTTTTTTAAAGCAACAATAACAATTGGGAGTGTGGGAAATGGATAGAAGTATATATATGAAACAAAAATGACAGAATATTATAAAGTGTTGAAGCTGGATGATAGATCCATGGGAGTTAATCATACTATTCTGGTGTTGGTTTTCTTCTCATTTACATAATATTAAGTAAAAACAAAACTTAGAGGTTATAGTAGAGAACAAGTCAAAATGTCTTGTAGTTCTTCACCACCACCAAAAAAAGTTACTGTCATTTCCTGCTAGCAATGAACAGAGGTGCAATTACTTGAACTGATACAAAAAACAGTTCCTGCTTATATCTGCGTCCAGCTTCAAGAGAATGGTTAGGAGGGCTTGTTCTTACATACTCTGTAATGAATTAGAAAAACTAACTAGGAATGAGAACTCTCAAAAATAACTAAGTAGCGTGCTTTAACTATCTGAGGCAGTATCACTACTCAGTTTCCTCAACCAAGAGACAAAAACAGGAATAGTGGTAGAAAAAAGAAAAAAAAAAAGAAAGAAAAAACATAAAAAAAAATAGGAATAGTGGGTAGAAGGTTCAGGAAGAGTTTTCAGCTCCATTGAGCTGGAAAAAAGCAAAACAACTGTCTCTCGAGATAATTTCTGTATTCATGAAAGTGTTCAAGTATAAAAAATTGTAGATTTGTAAACCTGCAACCACCACCAGAAGAAAAGTTATTAAGTTTCTTCTAGCATTGAAATATTGAGGTTCTTTGAAATGCTTTCTTTTGTTTTAATCCAAATTAAAAGAGAGAAATGCAGGACTATGTGGAAATGTTTTTCAAAGGAGGGGGGAGTCGAGGGGGAGTGGAAGAATTGGGGACATGTCACTTAAAGGAATAAACTTGCAACCAGTAAATAAATACATCCAGCATAGTGATGATAAACAATAATGTACTCTAAACATCAATGCTGCTGAGACCAAATAAATAAATATATTCAGCCAACATGCAGTGTCATGATACAAGCCGCAATACAGCTATAAACCCAAACTTATTCTTTTCGTACACATGGAACAGTATCAAGAACTTTTTTGGAAATTACCATAAAAATGAGTGGTCTTAGATTTCTGGAATGAACTGAGAATTTCTAAACTGATCTTTCTTGATAACAAAGTAGTAAGATAAATCATAAATCCAATCACAATCTGCACCCCTCCACCAAGTACCGTGTCTCCTTTGCTCGAAGAATACTTATTATTGTGGGACTCCTCTACCCTATGCACTGCGGAGAAAACAAAGATTTCTCCATAAGATACAGACCTTATTCCAAGGAACCTTACAATTTTAGAACAAAGGCAAGACATGCTTGAAAAAAAAATCCATCGCCACATAGCAATACCTGGTTAAGTGCCATAAGACAGGACAGAGAAGTCATAGTGCCAAATGAAAAGAGCATTCTGCTGGGATTTTCTGCAGGCTGCCTTGAGATTAGTGAATTTAGACTGAAAGAATTCAGAAAGAGAGAAAAATAGAGTGGGTAAGAGGCAGGCACTTCCAGGGCTAGTGAACAAGGTACCGCAAGCAATGGGATGAAGTCACTTTAAAATTAACCTGACTTGTGTCTCCAGAGACTCCCTGAAAGCCTTTATCTGGGTCTATTCCTTCCCAAACCTTTAAATCAGCTATTCCCAAAGTGTGGTCCTGGAAAAAGCAGCAGCATCAACCACATGGGAATTTGAATTGCAAATTCTGGAAATCCACCAGACCTAATTAAAGACTCTGAAAGTGGAGTGTGGCAGCAATCTGTATTTTAACAAGTCCCGCCTGCTGATTCTGATGTTAAGTTTGAAAACCACTGCTCTTGAATTACCTGCTAAGCACAACCCTCCGCACAAGAAAGTGATGATGTTCTTAGTGCCTAACTCAGTCACTTTGCTGGGAGCCAGAAGAGAGTTGATAGCAGATCACAGTCCTGAAAGAGTTCAGTCTCTGGTTCAATTTCGCTTTTTGCTGCAGATAGCCTTATTTTAATCACTACTATCTATGCCATTCCCATCCATAATACTTTACCCCGGTAAGGCCCGCCACAGCCCCTCCGTCGCCCTACCTCAGTGTCAGAGGGGACGTGGTGCCGGCAAGGAGAACTGTCCAAGGAGACAGGAACAGACGTGGAGCTTGCGCGGAGTCCGCCCAACAGAAGTAAAACCCCTCGGACCCACAAAGAACCGCTCCACAGCCACGGGCTTGGGCTTAGGCCTGACCCAGAGCAACCCGTGCCTCCAGCCCACTCGGCCGCCATCTTCGGGCCGAGCGTCGTTACCATGGAGTACGTGACGCTTCGGCGCGGGGCGCCAGCCCCGCCCCTCACCGGAGGAAAGAAGCCTCTCAATTGGCTAGCGTCACCCGCGGAGAATTGCGTCACGTCCATCTCGTTTCTTTGCGCGCGGCTTTCGGTACCCGTTGGGCGGAACATGTGAGCCGGCCACTGGGGATGTAACAGGGTGGTCCCCAGGAAAGGGGGAGGTTCCAGCTTCCCTGCCCCACCCAAGGGAGGGTGGAGCTGAGCAGGAAGAGGGAAGCTGCAGAAGAGACTGAGGAAGGAAGGAGCAGGATGGAGCCAGGAGACCTGGAGGAGGCGCATGGAGCCTAGAGACACGTGAAGAAACTGTGCTTGTCTTTTGGTCGTGGACGGGGTGACACAGATGTGGGTGAGACCCGTGGGGAGGTGACCATGGCAGCTTTTATCTGGATGTTGATTTTGCTCTTTTCCTTCCGGGCTTGTCCAGTTGTTTGTGACCCTTTTCTGTGGGTCCCCACTGGAAGATGCTTTAGACTTGTGGCAGGCTTTGGGGCCTTGCTCTGGGCCAATCCCATTTGGATGGACTTTTACCCACGAGGGGATGGGTAACTTTAGGTGCTTCATTTAGAAACTAGACTCTTTGCCTTACCTGTATTGTTTCCTAGTTTTATTAAAGTTCCTTCCCATTAAAGTCTCCTATGTTTTGTGTTGATGCGGCGGATGGCAGAACCCATTTAGAATAGGCAGGTTTGCGGGGCTTGGGCTGCCCCTCTCCCTGTCCTATAACAGGGAGACTAGTGGTTGTTGATGGTAATGGGATGGTGGTATGCGGGCGTCTTTACTCAGGCAGTTGAGAAACAGCTGCAATGTTTTGCTATAAAAGGCTGAGTAATTTTCACTTTGAAAATGACTCGTTATCAATTTTAGTCCCACTTAGCTAATTTTTAATAAAACCAACGATATACCCATTAATATTCATCCCATCCCTTAACTCTTATAAAACCAAGATTTGCAACTGCATTAACCCAAGAAGAGACTGGTGGATTTTTGCATTAAAGATACTCTACCTTTAAAACAGTTGTAAGGACTACAAGATCGAAAATTTGTACAAATCATCGTGATGCCATGAAAAAAAAGTGAGAACCAGGAGCTGGAAGTTACTCAACAAAAACTGAATCTTGTGAATTACTAGGAACTATGTTAATAGGAGAAAATCCTCGAAAATGTACAATTTATTGAAGAGCATGTACTCCACCTTACCAGTAGACTTACGTAATGTGTCTATCATCCCACTATTTGTTAGGATCCAAGTCGATTTCAAAACTTGTCTTCTTTCCACAAGAGGACAACCACAAAGAAAACTGCACTGTAAACAGCAGCAGTCATCTTCAAATTCCTAGTTCTAGCACTAGTCCTGCAGAGGTGAGGCTTTCAATGGACTCATCCACAATGTACTTAGCCATGCACACTCATTTTTGTGAAATACACACCTTCAGTGCTAACTTTGGCTTGAAGTCTATCTTCAGTTGACCAAATCCTCAGTATGGGAGCCATGAAACAACACATCCTCTCATTTACAAGTGTTACATACCACCAGTGGAAAGCAGGCATTAATTTGCTTGTTCTATTCACTTGCCACTCACTGCATTTACTCAGATTTCTCCAAGGGTTTTTCCCTTCTTTGCTCAACACCTAACCATTGTCTTAACCACTCCCATGTGTCTTCTACCATTAATCACATTCACAATACCACATTGTACTTTTTTAAACTTGACAAGTACCGTTTTCCCTCTCCTGTGTGCCTTACCCAGTCCTGAATAACCATCTGCCTTCCCGCACAAAATCACAGCTGAGCACCCTTTTCCCTCAATCTCAACATCCCCTCCACACTCCTCCCCTGCCCCAAAAGCCATTTCCTGCTTCTGGCTTTACAAATGTAGCGAACCATCCAACAACCAAATTTAGGAGCATGGGACTCCTCACAATTAGTTGGTTTTAGAGTTCTCATTGTTTACAGATTCTGCTCTATTTCAGTGCTCAAAAATTTCAGTTCAGACAGCAAAGCCTATGTGGTTTTCCTTTTCCTTGGTGTATACTGGTTTGCTTCTGGGGGTTCCAAAATAGTAAAGGTGGATACTCAAGAACCACTTGATTACCTGCAATAGCCTGAATTCCACAGTACACAAGATCTTTCATAATCTGGCCATTTCATTCAGTAGACACGCTTTCCAATTACTCCTGGTGTTTTATCACTTTAAGACTTCTGCTTTCACGTCTTTTCCTTTTTCTGAAATGTCTAATTGCCCCTCCTATCTGTGGCCACTTCAGTAGATGGAGTTCCTTTAAACTGACACAATAAAGGTACTTCTAATTTGTTAGCTGCTTTTTGAGAACTCATTCTAGTAAATTAGCAATTCCTACCCTTTGACCCCAGATTGCCCAAATTCAACTTTCAAATTCCAAATAGGTAGTGTCATGAACCGCACTGGTTGAATATGGTACAATAACCCAATGGCGCCATTTGCTTGGGGTCAAAATTTCCAACTGCTGCTAGCCCAAGGCAATACACACAAGCCCAAAATTACAAGAGTAACTTTGAAGACCTCCACTGATCTTAAAACTGCCATATACTAGTTAGTGCCCTTATTCCTTTTCTGTAATCTCTCCTCTCACATGCTAGTCCACTTTTAGCATGCTATTTGTTTCCTGGCATCTGCTTAAAGAACGCAAATTCATTTCAAAACTTTAAAAACCTCAATTTGGCGAACTCAAGATTCCTGATTAAATTTTTCTGTGGAATATCAAGATGTGGTTAATAAAAGAACGTGGCTACTGCATCAATTAAGTCTATAGGGACCATACTGCAAACTGATGCCTTGGTTCTATACTGGAACGCTTTGTCTAGTCACAAATCCCAAGGATCTTTCATTTCTGCTTGCATGAACAATCTGTCCATTACCACCAATATTCTCCCAACTACCATTTTTAAGCCTTAAGTTTTCCAGCTAATCTATACTGAGCAAGTACACATTAAAAGGATTTTTAAGAGGCCTGGATCATTTTAAGCTTCTTTCACTGACTCTTAAGTTAATGAAGGTAGTTACCAGTACATGCAATAATTCACAATAACCAAGCTGAAGTAAACTTAGTTATGGAGAAGTTAGAAATCCATTTTGATGTAGAAATCTTTTCATGTTTCATGTATATATTGACTGAAATCTGTTTTCTACCCTTGGAATACCCAGTTGTCTCCATGTCTAAATCGGTGTAATCATTATATACAGTTGTTATCTATGCACCCTGAAAATGACAGATTACTGCTAACATTTTAAGCACACATCAGCAATATTTAGGACAGTTTTTAACACCATTTAACAAAATACAAGAACAAATCCACTTTTATTGGGCTTTCAGTATATTTAAATCCTTGAGGGGTACAGCATCTGGGTAGGGAAAAAAGAACAAATAAAAACATTAGGTGCAAGTAACATACAAATTCACAGATATAAACTACAATATGGATAAATTTTTAAATTCATCTCTGAAAGTTATTAAATGATGACTTTAATTCTGATGGGGAATTACAAAATAAGGCTAACAACACCTATTTCAACAAGATAGTGACGACAAAGAGAAGGAAAAACATTAAGAATAGTAACAGAAGAGGGTATGTGTTTTATAGCCTTTAGTTTCTAGGTGAGCATGCCTGTTGAGGAACCAGTACTTGGGAACACTTACAGGAACTATTTGAAGACCTAGAGTCAAAGTCCTGAGATTTAGAAACACGATTATGTTTTGTTCTACAAAATAAGGCTAATAACACCTATTAACAAGATAGTGACAACAAAGAGAAGGGAAAATATTAAGAATTATGACTGGGAGGGTGTGAAGTTTTATCTTCTAATTATTTTACTGCCAAATTATTTATTAAAATACCACTCTCCCCCCCCCACCCCCAGCATAAGCAAAATCTGAAATCTAGGGGCAATTCATTTAAACACTTTGCCTTTATCTTCTATAATACAAAGAATGTGGTGTTACAAAATATATGTAAACAGAAGCCTAATTTTGCAGCATATTCTACTTTTGACATTTTATAATAGCCCTTCTAAGTTAAAGCCCAAATCTTTAAGCTTAGTTTGACTCAGCATGGTGCCATATTGCCAAGACTGTACTTACCACACGGATTCTGTGTCCTATGGCCTTAGCTGGAAGGTTGCTTCGGAATTTTGCGCGAACCATGCCACTGTTTCCATGGGCACGTGTCACTTTTCCCCAGATTACTCTAGTTTTATTCGGTTTGCCACCAGGAGTCACTGTGTTGCTGATTTTAAAAGGAGATAAAGAGTGTCATGAAAACTCAGGTAACCAGGCAACCTCTAGACCAGTGGCTCTTAACTCATTACCCACTTAGTTAGCTCTGAAACTAAAATCTGAGACACCATCAAATATTTGAGTTCCTACTTTATGCCAGACATTTTTGTAATCTAATTCTCTAATTTTGTAAAATATAGCTTAAAAACAATCGTTTTCAGAGAATAACCAATAAATACATACATAGACTGTCAGCTGGTAACAGCTCTGATATTGAAAAATAAAGCAAAGGGAGACAAGTGTAAGGATGCTTGTATGTAGCAAGAGGGAGGAATTTGTTTGCAATTTTAAATAGTTAAATGAGACCTCTGGTAAGTTAACACTGAAATGAAACTAAGGAAGCAGTCTATGTTTAAGGTATGCCCCCTAGCTTCCAGGACAGAAAATACCAAGTGACAAACTCCTACCTGGTTTAAGAATAGAAATAGAAAAAGCCCGAATACATTAGGTCTTAGAGGCTCCTTAATGACATGACTCTGGCACTTACTGGAAGGGACTTTATACAGTGTTCGTATAAAGTTTTTAAGAAGGGGCAAACATAAAAGTCTGTCACCAGGATTTTAATAGGTTTGGAATGTGCTTAGGAATCCAGGATTAAGAATCAAAGCCCTAGAGCATGTTTAAAAAATGTATTTTGGGGGCCTCCGTGGTAGCATAAGGGGTTAAGACACAACCTATGAAGCTATCCGCAGCCACTGCAGCACGAATTCGATCTCCCTCCAGGGAGATACCCACATGGCACAGCAGACCTCTCCTGACATGCCCGTCGCTCCCCTCAGCAATGTATTTCAGTCAATCCGCCTTTTCTGTTCCCCACTGTCTCTGGTGAATCCTCTCACCCCCCTCCAAACCCTGGCCTGCACCTCAGTTCTTGTATACATAAATCTTTAAAAAAAAAAAAAGTATTTTCAAGGAAAGAAAATGAATTAGGTTATAGAGGGCTCTAATAAACCTGAGGAGGATCATAGTATATGTTGGCTCTTTCCTTGAAAACAACTTACAGTTATATTTGTCCAAGTGAAGAAGATACCCAATTATGACAGAATCCAAGAAAGTGACATCCTTCTAAAAGCTCCCATGAACTTAAAGACCCAGGGTAGCAGCCAGGGCTGTTACCAATAACTTTACCAACATTTTTAGTTCTTTTAAGTAAAAATTGAAAATGCATAATAAAATAAACTTACTTCTTTGCTTTGTACACATAAGCACATCTCTTGCCTAGATAGAATTCTGTTTCATCTCGGGCATAAACACCTTCAATTTTAAGAAGAGCTGTATGCTCCCTCTGGTTCCGGAGACCCCGCTTGTAGCCAGCAAAAATGGCCTTGGACCATAGCCTAAGACACACAAAATACATATTAATCGTAAGTTATTACCTATAACAGCTCATTTAACTTAAACCACCAGTATCTTATGCATCACGATCACTACCAAAAAGTTTCCTATAACAAAAATCTAATTCCCCTGCCTCCTCCACTTTTTAGGCTCTCATTTAGATCTAAGCCAGGAAACAAAAACCCACAATATTGAAAACGCGTACCTTCCAGCCATATTTTAGAAGTCCTGTTCCCAGCAGGCCTGAAACAAACCAAAAAAGTCAGATTAAAATAACGCAAATTTCTCATCGCTTCCCCTTTCATTTAACCTTGTTAGACAAATTCTTTTTTGATCGGCATTTCAAATTAACAGTGTGGGCAAAATTATGGCATGACAGAGACATAAAGCTCAATCTGGCAAGACATACAAACCTCAGAGAACCAAAAAAAAAAGTGACAAAACACCAAAAGGCCAAAAAAAAAGTGACAAAACACACTGATAAATAATCCCAGAAATTAAAAAACGAAGCACTAGAAAGATTCATGCAATCATCAAGAAAAAAATGTCTCAAAGTGGCACACTCGCAGACTTTTAAACACTGAATGCGAAAGCTGAGGAAGAGATTGTAGACCAGTAAAACTGGGTTTGAAATAGATGAAAATAGGGGGAAAAAACAGCCAAAGGAGCCCAAGAGAGCCACTGGGCCAAACGGTAACTGCAGACCAAGTATTTCATAGTTCACTCCGCCAGGGCACAGGAAGTATCCCGAACCCTGGGCGTCAGGGAGACTACCACCATCCGTCCCACATCCCCTCCATCCTATCCTCCCGGTTGCTGTAACCCATAGGCATCCCTAGCTGACAGACCCTCCAAGACACACCGGTGCCTCACGGAGTCATATGGTGGGGCCCACCTTAAATATTTGTTCCCAAAGTTCAGCGGCAGGAATCTCACTCACCTCCACAGCGACCAAGATGGTGGAAAGAGAAAGGCAGGGCCCCGCCGCGCAGCCTTGTGGGAGAAACCTCTCCGCCCCATCCGCTGTTTAGGCATCTTTCGAGATCGCCAAAACAAACAAGCCTCATAAATTTACCGCTGACTGAAATAAGAACACTCAGGAGCACCCTCGTAATTCACACCATGAATGTTTTCGTGTTTGTAAGCTGCAGTACGTATTCTTTTGGAACAGAGTTAGGCAGAGTGGTAGACAGCTAAAGCAGAAAGGGTCCTTCAATGTTGTACGTTGCCCTAGAAACACTTCCGCTTGCTTCCTGCATGCTGCGGTGCAGTAGGTGGTGCAGTGAAGCCAGACCCGAAGGCTATCCACTGCCTCGGTAACCCTGATTTGATTTGCCAACATGCGGCGGGGGCGCGGGAGGGGTTGTCTTTCCCTCTTTCTACACAAGATTAGGGCGAAAAGAGACGTTCGGGCTCTAGATTGAAAGACAAAGGCTGAGAGCAGGAAAGCAGGGGGTGTTCGTCCTTCATTTTTTTCCTTATATCTTTCTTCCTTCTATTCCCTTTATCTCTTTCAACAAATTACTTCAGTTTCTGCACCCATCGTTCGTTTTGACCCCTAGGGCGAGGAAGACTGCCCTAGAAAAATCTTACTGGTTTCGTTTTGCTTGGGGGAAGGGGTAACTGGTTCAGCTGCCAAACTCTGGTGGCTCCTGGCACAGCTGCCACCAGTAGTAAATAAATACTCGTAGACGAAAATGAAATAGATTCGTGGACGTCAGAGGTTTGCATTTCCTGATAATTGCACATTTATTCGATTTGCCCTATGGATTCGTTCATGTATTCAACAAGTAGTATATTGAATGACTACCATTTACCAAGCTTTGTTCAGGCCACTGAAGTAAACAAAACAACAGAAATCTCTATCCTCATGGAACTAACATCCTAGTAGGGGAAGCAGGACATAAGTATGTAAAATATATGACACATTAGAAGGTGATGGGAGATAAATTTTCTCTATTGAGAAAAGTTAAGGGGACTTTTACTCTGGGATGGGAAGTCATTTTGACGGTTCTGTAAGAGGAGTGAACCGATCCATTTTCACAGGGTCACCTACTTGAGACTGAAGGAAAGCAAGGACACCAGCAGGGAGATCAGTTAGGAAGTTATTGTAATCATCCTGATGAGAAATTATTGTGGGTAGACAGCCGTGATTGAGACCAGGATTTCGGAATATATTTTAAATATAATGCTGACTTGATTCACTGATGAATGAGGAATGCAAGAGAACAAAAATTCCAAAGTTTTGTGAAATCTGTATCTCAGTTAAAATCAAATCCTCTCTTAAATATATCAGTATACTTTTGGGACCTTATAGCCCACTACTGCAGCCAATCTTCTCCCAGAAATGTAATAGAATCCTCACTATGAAGTGTATTAAAAATCCCACTACTAGGATTCCAAATGTAAGTACTCCTGGGAGGAATAATGCTGTGAATTTCATTCCTTTATTCATTAATTTATTAATTTTACAAATACTTATTATTGAGTGCAGCAGATACAATAATGTAGGATACAATAATGAACTTCATTGTTGTGGTTCCTGCGCTCAGAATTCAGAAAGAACTAGCATGTTGGGGGATATGGATATAAGAGTAAATTGATAGGATTAGTGATGGGGGAATGTCAAAGTAAAAGAGAAAGCAGGAATGACTCCTGGGTTTCTAAAGTTGAGGAATAAAAAGCCAGAATGGCATGAAAGCACTAGATTCTGCATAAGCACAACCTTGTTTTACCTTGTGAGGCACATTTACTTATGCTCCAAGCCTCAAAAAGCAATGCAAATACAAAATATCCTTGACACCTTGCTACTACTTCCTCTTAAGACTGCCCTTGCACCAGAAAACTTGAAATAGAGGACCTCTCTGGCAGGGCAGGCATTAAAGACAGCGCTATCAAGCTATTGCCAGCTACTGCAGCTCGAGTTCCATCCCCTGCCTGCCAAGCAGCAACCCACACGGAGTAGCAGACCTCTCCTGCCTCAGCAGTGTATTTCAGTCAATCTGACTGTTCTGCTCCCCACTCTGTCTGGTGAATCCTGTCACCCCCGCACCCTGCACCTTTGGCTTATACCCCAGTTCTTGTATGCATAAATAAATAAATAAATAAATATCAAAGAAAAAAGAAAGTAAATTGAGAATACCCTTTCTGTCAGTTTACATAAAGTTTCTTGAATTTTTAATATAAAATTGTTGTTGCATCATTCTCAGGACCACTTTGCTGTGGGGAAAAAAAAATCACAAAAAACATCCATGCTGGAAACTTACCATTCACTATAAATTCAGGTAAAGAAAAACTCTCCATGGTATGTTCTCATCCTGAGATTTATGTCAGCCTAAAGGTCTTTGGTTTACTGAGGAGACATAACATCTTGACAGCAATTAGTAATATCCTGATTTTCATGATAATAAGTTTTGCTATAGTTTCTTTTTTAAAAATAGGTATTTATTTATTTATGTACACAAGAACCGGGGTACAGGCCAGAGGTGTGGGGGTTGAGAGGATTCACCAGAGACAGAGGAAACAGAACAGGCTGATTGACTGAAATACACTGCTGAGGGGAGCAGCTGGGGAGACAGGAGAGGTCTGCTGCGCCATGTAGGTTAGTTCCCTGGCCAGGGACTGAACTCGTGCTGGCAGTGGCTGTGGATAGCTTCATAGTGCTGAGACTATGTGCCACCAGGGAGGCCCTGTTTTCTTTTTTTTTTTAACATATACTAGAAATGGTTTATTAACAGTAGCAAGTCATTCCCATAAGATCAGGTGGTAGACCCCCATATCATCCCTGGCCCAGCATCAAATTCGGCGCAGCCTCAGAACCTGTCAGGCCTGACTCCAATAGCATGTGCATGTCACCCTTGCCTACCATGTCCTTCACTTTGTGGATTTTGGAGCAGCTGGTATCAGCCACAGAATCCATGCACACCTGTTTGCATTGTCTCTGAGCTGGTCCTGCCCACCACTTGGCATCTCTAGCCAGCGTGATGGGCTGCGCTAGACTTGTGCTCATGATGGTGGCTTGTGGTGGTGGGGCGGAGAATTTTCTAAGTTCAATTCCAATTGTTTTCTAAGCCCAGGTGCAATATTTCTATTTTCTGGCAGATCAGGGGAAAGGATTGATCATATTTGATATTTTAGTAATGACAATCACAGAAACATAAATATATATTACCATTCAAAAATCAGAATACAATTTTTTTAAAAAAGCCATATTGGACGTTTATTAACCTTAAGAAAAGGTTTGAAGGTTGCATTTATCTGCCAACAGTTAAGCTTAGGACAACTGAACAGACCTGCGCCATATTATGTCTGTGGTTCTTTCATCTCTAGAACTATTCTGCTCAGCAAAAAGAGAAGATAAAACACAACTAGTCATTCTTACATACTCTTAATGAAAGGGCATAAAAATAACTTAAATGTCATTCAACGCTCCCTCTAATGTCAGTGTTTTTCTTCCCATTTTAGGTTGTTATATTTTTGTGAGATTATAAATGTACCAAGGAGGTTACCAAAATTAAAGAAGAATGGAAGAGTATGTTCAAAATTCCAATTTATATCATTTATTGATATGTATTCTTTTTTGCATTCTATTTATATAAAATTCATATATTAAATTTATTTTATATATGTATAATATAAGGCATTGCTTTATGCTACATATCTGTGTATTATTTATATGTTGCTTGGAAACAAATGATTCTAAAGCTTGGTAACAAATATAAACATTGTTTCACATAGCTTCTATGGCTGAGGAATTTGGGAATAGTTTAGCTGGTGGATGGTTCTAGCTTGGGGTCTCTGACAAGGTTAAGTTGGCCAGGGTTATAGTTAACCTCATTTCTTCCAATATATTGATATTGTTCAAAAACCACCCTCTGGCAACTTCATGCTAGATCTTGAGAAGAGGCCACAGTTCCTCACTCTCATGGACCCTTCCACAGGGCAGTTTAAGTTATGCTTATGAGAAGGCAACTAGCTACCCATAGACGAAAAATACCAGAGTAAGAGAAGCTGCATTGTTTTTCATCACCCATGATATCCATTTGGTTACATAAGTTAGTCCTGTTTGGTATCGGGGAAACTACAAAAGGCATAAATATGAGAAAATGAGGATCATATGGATCCTTAGAAACTGGCCATCACACTTTTGGTAAGCTTCTAAAGCTGTTGCTAATTTGCTAGAAAAGAGTTAATTTTGGCTGAAGTTCAAATTGATGGAACTAAGCCAAATAGCATAGGTCACATAACATTATTAAACAGTAAGTTGCTTACCTTTAATTGGTCAAAATGGTCCTGGGCTGTATTTAGCAGAATCATGAAAATTCCTACTTTTATTCTTCAACCAGTATATGATGATATGGACTGTGCAGGAGCCAGTCTATATGCTGCCGGTATTTGTGATTTTTTTCTTTATTCTTTTTTAGAGATGGGCTTGAAGACTCAACTCCTCCTCTAAATGCTTTGCATTCTGAAATAACAGTATCAGTGACAGGTGAACCACCCTCTGCAGTAGAGGAAAAAACAGAAATAGAAGTCACTCCAGAAATCATAGAACAACTCTCCCTTCCGGATGTGCTGAGGATCTCTGCAGTCCTGGAGGACACCACCGTCCAGCTCTCTATTCTAAACTATATCATGCCAGTTCAGTATGAAGGAAGACAAAGCTCCAGCAAGGTATATACACTCACCAATACTTATATTTTGCTTTCCTTTTACTTCTCCATCATTTATACTCCTTATGCCTTTAACTTTAACCTGGGAAATAGCACTTTTATCTCAGATGAAGGGCTACACTAATTATCTGAGATAAGTATTCTGAATTGATGGTGTAAAACAGCCATTACTCAAGTACATTACCCTTCATAATATCCTTTTTTTTTTTTTAATAGAGGCATGTTTTATTTATTTATTTGTTTTTGTTTGTTTGTTTGGTTGTTTGTTTGTTTTGTTTATACAAGCACTGGGTACAGTCAGAAGCACGGGAGGGTGAGAGAATTCACCAGAGCCAGAGCAGGGAGCAGAGCAGGCAGAAGGATCCAAGTACACTGCTGAGGGGAGCAGCGGGCAGCAGGAGAGGTCTGCGCGCCATGTGGGACCCTCCTCTGGTGGCCGGGGAGCAGCCGGGGATTGAACCGGCGCCGCAGAGGCCGCGGGCAGCTTCGCAACCCAGCGCTCTACCGCTGCACCACCGGGGAGGCCCCCATAATATCCTTTTCTTCCAATATATTGATATTGTTCAAAAAGATCTATAGTTAGAGGTAATATATTCTTTATATACATACAACTCTGAGGAAATCAGACACATTACTGAGTTGTCTCATCTATGTCATATTTCTTAGTTACTAAAAACAACTAGGGAGAAGAAATTCACTGGACCCTCTTAAAATAACTTTAATCTAACATGACTGTTGTCATTGCTGGATATATTGCAACCTACCTTTCTGAATATCCAGTCTTTATATTTTTAGTGATGTTATGGATTCCTCCTCAAAGCACCACTGAGTTATCTAAAAAGTCAGCTTTGTAGTGAGCAAAATTTTATAAGTTTTTTTAAAGATTTATCTGTGTATGTATACAAGAACTGGGGTATAAGCCAGAGGTGTGGGGGGTGAGAGGATTCACCAGAGACAGAGTGGGGAACAGAACAGGCAGACTGACTGAAATACACTGCAGGAGGGGGCAGCAGATGAGTCAGGCGAGGTCTGCTGCACCATGTGGGTAGCTTCCTAGTTGGGGATTGAACTCGTGCTGCAATGCCTGCGGATAGCTTCACAGTGCTGTGCTTAACCCCATGCACCACCAGGGAGGCCCAAATTTTATAATTTTTTTAAAGATTTATTTATTTATGCATATAAGAGCTGGGGTACAGGCCAGAGATGCGGGGGGTGAGAGGATTCACCAGAGACAGTGGGGAACAGAACAGGTAGATTGACCAAAGCACAATGCTAAGGGGAGTAGCAGGTGAGACAGGAGAGGTCTGCTGCTCCATGTGGGTTGCTCCCTGGCTGGCCAGGGATTGAACCAGTGCTGCAGAGGCTGTAGATTGCTTCATAGTGCTGTGCTTAACCCCTTGCGCCATCAGGGAGGCCCCCAAATTTTATACATTTTTATAAATTCTTAGTCAAGCGAATTTTTATGATTTAGCATGTAGATATAAAGTAGAAACAATTTATAAATAGAAATAAAGATTTCCTAAGTAATAAAATATATTACATAATATGTAAAGAATATATTCTTATTTCTGATTTTAGAACAAATGAAAATTGATAACATAGATAAAAGATTTTATTTTTTCAATACTTAACAGAAGTCTATATTGTGATTAGAGATTTAAATTTTGCTTTCATTGTCCCTTACAATTTTTAAAGTATAATAATAATAATAGCTATTATTTGGAGTCATTTGGCTTTGCACTTTACTTGTGTGCTATAGCAATTCATTTCAATTTCTTGGTCATAATTTTATCATTTGTAAATTCTGTTGGAGTTTTAACGATATTATACTAACATTGGTAATCATAACAGTTCTGTAGACTATTCTAAATGCTTTAGTATATTCATTTATTTAATCCTCATATTAACTATATGAGGGTAGGTACTATTGTTATCCTGTTTTTTATTAATGGGAAAATGGAAGTATAGAGAGGTTAAGTAATTGCTTAAAGTCAATATGTTTTAGTAAGAGATAGAGTCAGGATTCAAACATGGAAATGTGGTTTCAGTGTACATATGCGCAATCATTATGTTATGGGGCCTCTCAATAACTCAAACTGTTAGTCACAGATTAAATAGAAGTCATTAATTTACATATGTGCTGTTCCTATTGTTATTCCTACCCTTTATATTTAAGCTCTGAAAAATTTATTTTGGTTTTTCCTCACAGGACCCTGAAAAATCTTCAAAATCTCACACCACTAAATATACTATCAACTTCTGCTTTTTTTTCTTATTTTTTCAACTTCTGCTTTTTGATATGACTCTCCTTTCTTTTTTCATATTTAAGATTCATTTGTTCAATGAACATTTCAGTCTCTGTTATATTCTAGGTATTTTTCTAAGCAATGGGACTAAAAAGGTGACCATATTTATTTAATATCCTATCTCGTTCTAAAAAGAATTTGTGGTGATCCAAGATCCCTAAGATACTGTCCCTTCCCTCATAGAATTTACAATCTAATGGAGCGAGTTATACAAATAATTACAATATGATAAATGTCTGCTAATGGAGATACTTCACAAAGAACTTTACCTTTCATAGACTTACCATTTACCAGGAGTTACAGTTGGGTTTTGACAGAGAGCAAAAAAGTTGTCTAAAGTCAGGACAACAAGAAACTGGCAGGACGTATAGTGTGGGGTAGCTGAAGAAAAGAGTCATTTCCATGTGGTATAAAGTATAAATGGGAGAATATGAAGTTGAAAATGTAAGCAGAGGTCCTCATATAGCATTGTTTCTTTACTCTTAGAAGTCTGGATAATTTAGTAAAGATTTTCTTTATTTTCATTTTGGACTAATACCCATGAATAACTACCACCAAACCCTTTTTTTGGTTTGTTTTTATTTAACATTGAATGTTGAGATTAAAAATGACCTGCTTAAACTTTGATACATATTAGAATATATTATGTTAATAAACTTGTAGTTTCTTACATAAAGCATCATTTATTGTTTTTAGAAGAAAAACAAAGAAATGGATTTAGAAGGAAAAAACTTACAGAAAGTTTCACTGGTCTCAAAAACAAAATTACCTGGTCCATCCATATCTAAAGAAGAATCCCAATTGTCAGCAATCAGAAATGGAAGCCTATTTGCAAAGGAGTTTAACAAAATGCAAGATCTTGTCTTCCAAAAACCTGTAAGGCAGACCATAATGTCTGTGGAGACAATGAAGAAAATTCAGATTGATAGGTAATGAAGAACATATTTGGAAATGTAATAATGTATTTACAGGTGGATGAAGAATGTGTGCAAGAGTGGCTAACTGCTCCCTTTTCTCATTGATTGGTGGTTATATGCAAAGTCATTGCTGGTAATAGGATTATAGTTGAAGATGTTTTGTGGCTGTGTGGTACAATTGAGAAGCATGGTGACTATATGATCTTAGGCAAGTATTGAGTCTTTTGTTTCCAATTTTTAAGATTGAGAATAATGATAGCACCCTCAATATCAGTGCAAGCATTAGAAATAATACTTCAGTCAGGTGTTTGATACAAACCTGTACCAGCTCTTGTATGAATAAATAAATCTTTAAAAAAATTTTAAACGGCCTCCTTGGTGGTGCAAGGGGTTAAGACGCAACCTATGAAACTAACCACAGCCACTGCAGCATGAGTTCGATCCCCTGCTGGCCAGGGAGCTACCCACATGGCATAGCAGACCTCTCCTGACTCGCCCGCTGCTCCCCTCAGCAGTGTATTTCAGTCAATCCACCTGTTCTGTTCCCCACTCTGTCTCTGGTGAATCCTCTCACCCCCCACACATCTGGCCTGTACCCCAGTTCTTGTATGCATAAATAAATAAATCTTAAAAAAATTTAAATACTAAAAAAATAAAATTATGAACTATTTCAAAATTGTATAAAAATAAAATAAAATAATATAGAAAATAGAAATAATGCATGTCCAAATATGAAATTACCAAATCTTAGCATTTTGCCACAATTGCTTTAGGGCTTTTTATTTTTTTTTTAAATAAAATACTTCAGATACAATGGAAACTTCTGATCCAAATCTCCACTCCACTCTTCCAGTGAAGATGAACTCTCTCTGAATTTGGTACATATTGCATATTGTAATTTTTTTTTACTAGATGTATATATGTTGTATTAAAATAAATGCATATAGTTTTAAAATGTTGTATGTATAATATACTGCACATTCAATGTTTGTTATAGTCCTTAGTACATAAATGTTTTCAAGTTAAAGAACTTCTCTTTTATTTCTAGTTTGCAAGGAGTTTTTGTTGTCTGTTTTTATTTATTTTTCTTAAAGATATATTTTATTTATGCATACAAGAACTGGGGTGTAGGCCAGAGGTGCTGGGGGTGTGTGTGTGAGAGAGAATTCACTAGAGACAGAATGGGGAGCATAAGAGGTGGAGCTACTGAAATACACTGCAGGAGAGCAGGGGTGAGACAGAAGAGGTCTGCTGAACCTGGTGGGTTAGCTCCCTGGCTGGAGATGGAATTCATGCTGCAGTGGCTGGCAATATCTTGATAGCACTGAGACTTTAATCTCTGCGCAACTAGGGAGGCCCTATTGTTTGTTTTTCAGTGGTGAGTGAATATTGAATTTTTCCAAATGCTTTTTTTTAAAAAAGATTTATTTATTTATTTATTTATTCATACAAAAGCTGGGGTGTAGGCCAGAGATGGGGGGGTGGCAATGTGAGGATCCACCAGAGACAGAGTGGGGAGCAGAACAAGCAGATTGACTGAAATACACTGCTGAGGGGAGCAGTGGGCTAGACAGGAGAGGCTGAGGAGAAAGAACAGGTCTGCTGTGCCATTTGGGGTAGCTACCTGGCTGGGGATAGAACTTGGGGTTGGAACTCGTGCTGCAGTGGCTGCTGATAGCTTGATAGTGCTGAGATTAATGCCTTGCGCCACGAGGGAGGCCCCAAATACTTTTTTGCATCTATTGTGATTGCCATATGATTTTTTTCCTTTTTACTTTATTAAATGTGTATTTGCCTTTATTTGTGTATTAAAATTCTATTAATAGGGGCCACCCTGGTGGTGCAAGGGGTTAAGCACTGCACTGTGAAGCAATCAGAAGCCTCTGTAGCACAAGTTCAATCCCTGGCCCGACAGGGAGATTCCGGCGTGGTGCAGCAGACCTCTCCTGTTTCGCCCACTGCTCCCCTCAGCACTGTGTATCAGTCAGTCTGCTTGTTCTGCTCCCCACTCTGTCTCTGGTGGATCCTCTCACCTCCCCCCCACATCTCTGGCCTGTACCCCAGCTCTTATATACATAAATAAATAAATCTTTAAAAAAATAAATAAAATTCTATTAATAGATTATTCTTTTTTTTTTTAATAGAGGCATGTTTTATTTATTTATTTGTTTGGTTGTTTGTTTGTTTTGTTTATACATGCACTGGGTACAGTCAGAAGCGCGGGAGGGCGAGAGAATTCACCAGAGCCAGAGCGGGGAGCAGAGCAGGCAGAAGGACCGAAGTACACTGCTGAGGGGAGCAGTGGGCAGCAGGAGAGGTCTGCGCGCCATGTGGGACCCTCCTCCAGTGGCCAGGGAGCAGCCGGGAATCGAACCAGCGCCGCAGAGGCCGCGGGCAGCTTCACAACCCAGCGCTCAACCGCTGCGCCACCAGGGAGGCCCTAGATTATTCTTTAATACTGAATTGCTCTTGCATTCCAGGGGCAATTCTAACTTAGTTATGATAGTCCTTCCAGGTCTTAACTTCTGTGACTTCCTTAGGTCTTGCTGAACTTAAAAACATATATCTTACTAACTTCTTTTTTTTGTTTCTCCTTACAGGGAATTTTTCAGTGAAGTGATTATAGATACTATGGAAGAGTTGCAAGATACAGGCACTTTCACCAATCTCCTGAATGCTTTGAATGAAGAAAGGGAGAAAAAAATGCATTTCTATGATATCATTGCCAGGTCAGAGTAATATTAAGTTTATTTTGTTGTATTACCAGAAGTCTTTGATTTATAATAAATCAAATTTATGTCTACCAAGGAAGAACTACATGTCAGAAACAGGGGTTCTATACCTCTTCTGCTGGGACAATAACTCAGATTTATGGACCTCAGTTATCTGTTTTAAACTATATCAAGAATAATCTTCCTGTTCTAATCTTTCTCAATACTGAGTTCACTGATTAATATCCTGAGATAATAACAAGTGATAATAAAAGGCATGTCCAAAGATTTTTATGCTTTAAGAAATTCAACACAGGGGGCCTCCCTGGTGGCACAAGGGGTTAAGCACAGCACTGTGAAGCTATCCACAGCCCCTGCAGCATGAGTTTGACCCCCTGCAGGCCAGAGAGATATCCACATGGTACAGCAGACATCTCCTCAGCAGTGTATTTCATTTAGTCTGCCTGTTCTATTCCCCACTCTGTCTCTGGTGAATCCTCTCACCCCCTGCATCTCTGGCCTATACCTCAGCTCTTGTATGCATAAATAAAATAAATCTTTAAAAAAAAAAAAAAGAAATTCAACACAATAAAAATGCTTTGAGACCAAGATAAAATTCACTCTTTTTTTTAAAAACATAGGCATACTTTTTTTTTTAAAGATTTTGTTTATTTATACAAGCACTGGGTACAGGAGAGAATTCACTAGAGCCAGAGGCAGAGCAGGCAGAGGGACCAGGGAGCAGCCGGGAATTGAACCGGCGCTGCAGAGGCTGTAGGCAGCTTCGCAACCCAGCGCTCAACCGCTGCGCCACCGGCGAGGCCCCAAGATAAAATTCTCTTTATGTAGAACTTGAGTCGTCAGAATAAGTAATTATCTTGTCTGCGTATTTTTTTTTTTTGGTTTTTCCTTGACATTTTCTCTTCCTTTGCACTTTAATATTGATAATAAATTATATGCTAGTGTTATTACAAAGATTAGATAAATTCATGTAAAGTACTTAAAGTACTGGCACATTGTAAGTGTCTCATAACAATAATAACTGCTATTCTGTGAACATTGCTGGTGGGATATGAATGGGCACAACTTTTTGAAAAGTCATTTACAAAAATAAAATATATATACCTAATTTTAACTTTATAATATTCACTATCAAATATGTATAATTCTATAATGCATTTAAACATTCCCTGAGTTTGAATATTTACATTGTTTGCAATTTTTGCTACAGCAAATAGTGCATCAGTGTTTATCTTTTTATGTAAATACACATTAACAAATGTCTGAATCTGTTATTCTACAACAGAGTAATTCTATTATTATTCTAATAATCTGCTATTATTCTATTCTATTTATAGAATTACAGAATGGAAGAGAGAGTCTATAGTTTACTGGATGATATGAAACTATTAAAAGTACTGTTTATCTAGTTGTAATGATATGTGGGAAATAATTATGTCACAATTTTAAGTAGAAAAAGAACAATTTTAAGTAGAAAAAGTATACTATAGCTATGTAATAAAACTAGCATGGGTATATGTGTAGGCAATATGAACTGAAGGAAATAATACCAATGTGTTGACAACATGGGTGTTTTTTCAAAAAGTCTTTTAACTTTTTAGTATTTTCTAAAATTTCGCTTTGTAGTTCTCTCCACCATATCACTCTGGCATGTATCACCACAGTCCCTTGTGCTCTTTCCTCCCCTTTTTAACCCTTCTCCCTCTCCCTCCCCTTCCCTTGCTGTATGCCTCAGATATGGTCAGCTTGCAAGTATCTTTTTTCCTGACTTTTTGTGTGGTTTCTCTATATTCTGCATATAAGTGAAACCATCTGATATTTATCTTTTTTCTTCTTACTCTTTTTTTTTTTTAAAGATTTATTTATTTATGCAAACAAGAGCTGGGGTACAGGCCAGAGGTGTGGGGGGTGAGAGGATTCACCAGAGACAGAGTGGGGAACAGAACAGGCAGACTGACCAAAGTGCACTGCTGAGGGGAGCGGCGGGCGAGCCCGTAGAGGTCTGCTGCGCCATGTGGGATGCTCACTGGATGGCCAGGGATAGAACTTGTGCTGCAGTGGCTGTGGATAGACCCATAGGCTGGGTCCTAACCCCTTGTGCCACCAGGAGGGCCTTTGTTTTTCTTAACATAATCTCTTCCAGCTCCATCCATGTTTCAGCAGCAATTTTAGATACAATACTGATAAGCCAGAAAATCCTCCTCCAGTGTACTAAAACAAACCACAGTATTTTTTTTCTTAAAGATTTATTTATTTTTGCATTCAAGAGCTGGGATGTAGGCCAGAGGTGTGAGGGGCAAGAGGTGGGGGGGAAGAGGATTCACCAGAGAAAGAGTGGGGAGCAGAACAGGCAGATCTACTGAAATACACTGCTGAGGGGAGAGCAGGCGAGACAGAAGAGGTCTGCTGCACCATGTGGTTCAGCTACCTGGCTGGGGATCGAACTTGTGCTGCAGTGGCTGCTAATTGTTTCATAGTGCTGAGACTTAACCCTTGCGCCACCAAGGAGGCCCCACACTATTTTTTTTTAAGGGTTCCTGATACTGTGTTCCACTGGCTGGCACTATTAGCACCACCTTTTAATACCCAGGTAATTCCTGGCACAGAATTTTGAAGTTTGAGAAGTACTGCTTCAAACACAAAGTACTCTTATTTCTTTTAGGGAAGAAAATGGAAAAAAACAGATAAAATCTCTTCAAAAACAGCATCATAATGTCAAAAGAGAATGGCAAGTTGAAATACAGGTAAGAATTACCGAGGCAGTACCAAAAATTATTGATCTAGAATAGCTATAGAGAAGTCATCTTTCTTAAGCAAATAAAAGTTCTATCTGAAAAAGTGTTATTCCTCCTAAATGAAGAACTATAAGAAAGTGAAAATCAAAATCAACAAAAAACTATGAACCAGAGACACACTATGGGGGGTAGAGGGCGGGAGAGGAGGGATTGGGGTCAAAAGAAGGGGGTTGCAATTGTATGGGGAATATAAAAATAAAATTTATTATAAAAAAAAGTGTTATTCCTCCTGGGCTGCCTTTATTACTGGAAATATAGAGGGAATTGGTCTGAGATGTACAAGTTTGTCCAGATTAGAATTCTAGGAGATCCCTTTTCTCTGGATTCCATCTTATCCAACCTTACCCTTCACTCCTTCCCTACAGGCCTCCTTCAGGCAGTTTCTTGCATTTCAGGTTCCTACTATAGTTCTAGATTAGACATTAAGCACATTACAAATCTTGTTAGGTTTAATAATGTCAATTGTTTCAATGGTATTGTTTCAAGTACAAAATGGATTTAATGAGCTTTTGTGGTCATTAGGACCTAGCTTTATATCTAATTTATTTCTGTAGTGCATCTTTTTAGTCTTTTCCTTATAATCTATAAATGGGAAGTACATAATATATAGATTGTTTTGGCATTTACAATCTCAAGATTCTAGTTAAGTACGTGGTTTCTAAAAATCCTGAGAAGTAAGCAGTACTTAGAGATGCCTTTTAGTGACAAGGCTTTTTGTTGTTGCTATGGACTGAATATTTGTGGTCCCCCTACTCTCCACAAAGTAATATGTTGAAATCCTAATTCCCCTTCTGCCACTGTTCTTTATCTTCTGTCTATAATATATATTACATTTAATGCACACTTAGCACAGTTCATGACAAAAAATAACTGCATGTGTTTTTAAGAATTAACAAGAAAATAATTGTCATATACTTACCCAAATATTTATCAATAAATTTTCCGCTGGTGTAATTTTCTATCAGCCTAGAAAAATTCCTTTATTGTTTCTTGTTCATGTTTGTTGCAGAGAAGTCCTCTTAAGTTTTCTTTTGCCCTGAAATGTTTTTATTTTTGAAAGGTATTTTTACTGTGTTTAGAATTTTGGGTTCACAGATTTTGTTTTTCAGTGTTTTAAGGCTATCCACTATCTTCTGCCCTCATTATTTATTTTAAGAAGATATTGGCCATTCAAATTATTGTTCTGTATATAATGTGTTTGCATTTGGAATTTTATTTTTACCTTTCAGTTTTCAGTAGTTTGGCTTTTCTTTGCTTAGTGTGGTTTTCTTTATGCTTACACTGTTTGGGTCTTACTGGGGTTCTTAAATATGTAAATTTGTGTCTTTTATAAAACTTGTATATTTTCAGGCCATTATTCTTTTTTTAATAATTTTTTAAAATGTGGTAAAATACAGATAACATGAAATTTACCATCTTAAAAATTTTCAAGTGTATGGTTTCCTTTTAACTACATCACTCCCACTGGATGGTTCTGAGGGCAATGACTACTTAGGGCATGTCTTCTTAGATACCCACTATTTACCTACTATCCAGTTCAAGGCCTGGTACTGAATAAATATCTTTTAAATGAATATTGAGGTCTCAAAACTGTCAAGCACTTTGTAACTTGCAAGGAATTTTTTTGCACATATTCTTAATCCTTATAATCCACTTGCTGAACTTTCAAGCAGGATAGTTATCAAATTTTCTATTTTATAGAAGGTAAGACTTGGAGAGTTTAACTGAATTGGTGGGAAGTTCATACAGCTGATGGGGCTTGATCATTGAGACCAGTGCTTTCTACCAAAATGAGATAGTGATGGGAACTCTTGTGTGGATAGTAATGGGAAATTTGTGTTGGACTACCTAGATAGAGTGTTTGGGACAGAATCTCACAACTCTGATTCTTAGCACTACATATCTTTCACTTTCATTTATTCTATGTTAGTGGCTGAATTTTCCATAATGTGATAGTAAAATAGATCCAGTCTCTGTAATGAGGCAAAAATAGAAAAGATAAGCCACTGACAGCTGAATGGAGGTGGATTGTATTTTTAATTTAGGGACCCTGCCTTACCTTTTACAGAATCAGAATGAGTATATTGCTCACCTCAAGGATCAGTTACAAGAAATGAAAGCAAAAACCAACATGGAAAATTGCTACATGAAGATTAACACTGAGCTGCAGGTTTCCCAGACCCAGAAAAAATGTAACAAAACAGAAGAACAATTACTGGAGGAGGCTGAGGTAATCACTACTACTTGAGGAATGAACCAGATAGATTGTGTATAAACTGTCATTCCTGATAATGTTTCAGCTAACAGGAAGAGGGTGAGGGAGATTTTCCCTGATTTTTCCTTTCTCTTTCTCTTTTGAAGTTAAAAATAAAACCGAATGAGGACTTGAGTATTTGCAAGGAGAGATTCTGACAGGTTGTGGCCTAGATCTCCTGTTTCTCTTATAAGGATCTTGAAAATGGGTTGTACTTTTTCCCCAAGTTCCTTTTATCTTTAATCTTATTTTATGAAAACCTTCTGTCATTTCTCCTGGTAATTATAGGAAGAGGGTAAAATAAAATACTTAGGAACTGCAGGTTTTTGCTGCTGCTTTCCTCTCCCAACTGGTATCTTTTACCCATCCATTAAGAAATACAAAATCTAGGGGACTTCCTGGTGGTGCAAGGGTTAAGTGTCAGCACTGAGTTAGATCCTTACCAGGGAGGTGACTCACATGGTGCAGCAGACCTCTCCTGTCTCACCCGCTGCTCCCCTCAGCAGTGTATTTCAGTCAATCCACCTCTTCTGCTCCCCACTCTGTCCCTGGTATATCCTCTCATCACCCCTCTTCCACCCCCACACCTCTGGCCTGCATCCCAGCTCTTGTATGCATAAATAAATAAATCCTAAAAAAAAAGAAATACAAAATCTAAACAGTTGGACTCCATTCATACTTAAATTGGTAGAGATGAGAAGTCAAAGTGAAAAATATGAAGCGAAAGAAACAAGAGGCAGCCTTTTTCCTAGAGGAAGAAGGCTAAATGGCTGCAAGAACAGTGGATGAACATCAGTGTGCAAGAAGACTCCTTGCTGGGAGTCCCCAGCTGATTTGACAGCTTACTGTCAGGTGTGGTTTAGGACTATTACAACAAACTTTTAATGCTCTCCGGACTTTCCTTTTCTAAGCCTCAGAACCTTGTGCTCTTGAGACACTGTTCTCTCCTTGACTTGGCATCACTTTACAGGTATCATTATAGGCCCTTGCGTGTATCTAGCCCAATGCCAAACACTTGGCTTAGCAATGTTTGTGAACAAGACTTGGTTGGAGGGAACTGAATTGCTGCCCTGGAGCAATTATGTGGAATTCTTGGGATCCTAACTGTGAAGGAAGCCTGTGCTGCGGTCATGGCTGCCCCTCTAATTTTGAGAATCTCTCCTTTCCAACACTACGGAGAGGTCTTCTGATACTGGTTTATTGTTTTTATAGAAACTAAGGTTGAAAATTGAAGAAGAGAATCGGACTCATACAGAGATTGAAATGTTCCTTAAAAAGGAGCAGCAGGTGCGTCACCAGAATTCTTTTGTCTTGATGCTTTTGTTCCACTTACAAAATGCCAAGGACTGTAAAAAAATTTTTTTAAGGAAAGAAAAATTAACCGTAATTCTACTAGTCTAATGAATGAGGTGTTGACCATGTTGTCTGTCCAAGTTATTCATCTGAATATTTATAAAGCTGTAATTTGAGTATAGGTAAAATTTTATCTTCTGTTTTCATGGTTTAGCATTATATAAGAAACTGTTTTCTTCATATACTTCTCCGTAGTCATAATTTTTAAATAAAATTTACTGAATTTTTAAATCATAAAAATAATATTCTCAGTTGAGTGTAGATTTTTTTAAATTGCTAATTATATTTTCTCTCTTTTTGGGGTTGGCTTTATTCTTATTAATTTATTAGGAACACATAAACGGTAAATGGATGGGCACCACTAACGTGGCTACCTTAGGGAGAAATTATGTTCTTTCTTATCTCATATTCCTAATTCCTGTTCATTAGCAGGTTTAAAATGGACCTGAACCCCAGATATACATAATAGTGACTCTAACTTAAACAGATAATACCTCTTTCTTTTCAAATTACATCTTTCTAAAAATGCCATGTTTCTTCAACTTTTAAAAACTTTTTTGTGTTAATACACTCTTCATTAAATAAAGTACTTGTATAACACTTTGATTCTTAGAAGATATGTAGTTTTATGCCTCAGTTTACTTTGCATACTTAGGTTAATTCCAAAATTTCATATTTGTAAGTAATGTAGTAATGAAAACTTTGCCAAAATAACCATTTTTCTTCATTGCAACTATTTACTAAAAGTAAATCTCAAGTGTGAGATGATGATGTCAGAGAGAATAGTATTTTGTGACTCTGCACAAATATTGCTAACACTTTCCGATTTGTACCGCCATCCACCATGCATGAAGGCAATAACTTTGTTAATCCTTCACAGCACTCGTCATTGTAGATTTTTTTTTTTATAGAGGCATGTTTTATTTAGTTATTTGTTTGTTTGTTTGTTTTTGGTTTATACATGCACTGGGTACAGTCAGAAGTGTGGGAGGGTGAGAGAATTCACCAGAGCCAGAGCAGAGAGCAGAGCAGGCAGAAGGACCGAAGTACACTGCTGAGGGGAGCAGCGGGCGGCAGGAGAGGTCTGCGCGCCATGTGGGACCCTCCTTCGGTGGCCGGGGAGCAGCTGGGGATTGAACTGGCGCCGCAGAGGCCGCGGGCAGCTTCGCAACCCAGCGCTCAACCACTGCGCCACCGGGGAGGCCCATCATTGTAGATATTTTTAAAAATTCTGATAATTTAATGAGTTTTTGCTTTCCATTTTTTGCTTACTAATAGGAGTGACCATTTTCCATGTGTGTATTTACTAATTTTTTTCCTTATATGAATTACATGACTGAAATGGTTTTAGTTAGTATACGGTTTGATGAATATTTATGCATATATACCCCTGTAGCCACTGACCAGAAAAAGCTATAGGGAACAGTTGCAGTATTCCAGAAGACTCCCCCAGTCACCACTACCAATCAATAAATCAACCCTCCCCCAATAAGATTCTGACTTCTATTATTATAGAAAAGTTTTGCTTGTTTTTGAACCTTATATATAAATGATTTCATACAGTAGATATTGTTTTATGTCTGGTGGAAAGATATTTTAATGTTCTTTCCAAATAGAAACTTGAAGAGAAGTTAGAGTTCTGGATGGAGAAATTTGATAAGGATACAGAAATGAAACAGAATGAACTAAATGCTCTCAAAACTGCTAAGGCTATTGACTTATCACACCTTCAAGACCTTGCAAAGATGGTAAGGAAGAAGAGTCTCAGCCATATAAGGTTGAGAACTGAGGAGTGGGTAGTAGCTAAGCTACAATAACTGAGTAATGCTATTTTTCGTCACAGTGTGGAGCTGTGCTTGTAAATCAATGGGGCCCTTTTCTTTTTTCTCTTTTTTTTTTAATAAATTTTATTTTTTATTCCCCATACAATTGCAACCCCCTTATTTTGACCCCAATATCCCAATATGGGGCCCTTTTAAAATGATGATGATGACAATATTAGATGATAGAGAAAATAGCAACAGCTAACACTTTTATATTATAGTGCTTACTTTGTTGTAGATACTTATATAGTATTTCACAAGAATCTCTTGAGATATATACTATTATTATTTACACTCTATGAGTTCTGAAAACACTTTGTGTTTTCTGAAAAAATCTGATTGATTTCATTATTGAGTAAATGACATGCAAATGTGAGAATCACTATACTACAGAAACTGGTTCATTGAATAAGTATACAACTTCTCAATTTCTTTTTTTTTTTTTTTTTTTAAAGATTTATTTATTTATTTATACAAGCACTGGGTACAGTCAGAAGCGTGGGAGGGTGAGAGAATTCACCAGAGCCAGAGCAGGGAGTAGAGCAGGCAGAAGGACCGAAGTACACTGCTGAGGGGAGCAGCGGGCGGCAGGAGAGGTCTGCACGCCATGTGGGACCCTCCTCCAGTGGCCGGGAGCAGTCAGGGATTGAACCGGCGCTGCAGAGGCTGCGGGCAGCTTCTCAATCCAGCGCTCAACCGCTGCACCACTGGGGAGGCCCAACTTCTCAATTTCTTTTTTAAAAAGATGGATATTGGGCCTCCCTGGTGGTGCAGGGGTTAATTATCAGCACTATGAAACAATCAGCAGCCACTGCAGCACAAGTTAGATCCCTGGCCAGGGAGCTAACCCACCAGGCTCAGCAGACCTCTCCTGTCTGCCCCACTGCTCCCCTCAGCAGTGTATTTCAGTTGATTTGCCTGTTCTGCTCCCCACTCTGTCTCTAGTGAATCAACATTCCCCTACCCCCACCTTCCACCACACCTCTGGCCTACACCCTAGTTCCCATAGGCATAAATAAATCTTTATTTATTTATTTTTTTTATGTATTTTTATTTATTTATGATTTTTATTTACTTGTTTGTTTTGTTTATACATGCACTGGGTACAGTAAGAAGCGCGGGAGGGTGAGAGAATTCACCAGAGCCAGAGCGGGGAGCAGAGCAGGCAGAAGGACCGAAGTACACTGCTGAGGGGAGCAGTGGGCGGCAGGAGAGGTCTGCGCGCCATGTGGGACCCTCCTCTGGTGGCCGGGGAGCAACCGGGGATCGAACCGGCGCCACAGAGGCCGTGGGCAGCTTCGCAACCCAGTGCTCAACCGCTGCGCCACCGGGGAGGCCCTAAATAAATCTTTATTTTTAAAATAAATTTTTAAAGATTTATTTGTTTATGCATACAAGAGCTGGGGTATAGGCCAGAGGTATGGGGGGGTGAGAGATTCATCAGAGGCAGAGTGGGGAGCAGAACAGGCAGTTCTACTGGAATACACTGCTCAGGGGAGCAGCAGGGGAGGCAGGAGAGGTCTGCTGTGCCATATGGATCACCTCCCTGGCCAGGGATTGAACTCGTGCTGCAGTAGCTGTGGATTGCTTCATAGTGCTGACGCTTAACCCCTTGTGCCACCAGGGAGGCCCCCAATAAATAAATCTTTAAAAAAATTAAAAAGATGGCTATTACTTGTATATATATTCTGTCAGTTTAAAAAATTCCATTATTTATTTCAAATTACATTAGTATTTAATTTTTATGAATGATTTCAAAGAAAATTTGAGTCATTCAAACTGAAAAAAGTTGGGGAACAATTATAAAATTAATATGTACATTTTACAATATAGGAATCTAGTAAGTTTTTTTCTTTGGTTTATTTTAAAATTTTATATTAAAAGTTCAGTGCTGGCTGGGTTAAAACATAGTCAAGAGAGTACTGTAACAAATGATTGCCTACTTTTGCAGATAAGGGAGTATGAACAGGTCATCATTGAAGATCGCATTGAAAAGGAGAAGCTCAGGAAGAAGATAGATCAGGATGAGTTGGAATTAAAGAGCATCATAAAGGTAGAAAGTCTTTTTTTTTAAGATTTATTTATTTATGCATAAAAGAACTGGGGTCAAGCCAGAGGTGTGGGGGGTGAGAGGATTCACCAGAGACAGAGCAGGGAACAGAACAGTAGGACTGACTGAAATACACTGCTGAGGGGAGCAGTGGGTGAGTCAGGAGAGGTCTGCTGCGCCATGTGGGTCGTTCCCTCGTGGGGATTGAACTCGTGCTGCAGTGGCTGCGAATAACTTCATAGGTTGCATCTTAACCCCTTGTGCCACCAGGGAGGCCTAAGGTGGAAAGTCTTAACTAGCATCACGGGGCTCCTTTAATGCCACAGCTGACTGGTACTGAGGATTGCTAAGTATCTCTTTTATTATCAAACACAGAACAGGAGATCTGTGAAGAAGCATGGTCTTTTGCTAATACTGGAAATTTGCCAGTATAGTCCATGGTATGGAAAGACAGTAAACAAAGAAAAATTCATGCCCCCAACTCTTAACATGGAGGGGAAAAGAGGTGGTCAGCAGTGGAAGCAAAACCAAGAACTTGTGCCCAGAGGTCAAATTTAATAAGCAAAGTAATTCTTGAAGGAATTCTTTTTAATATCCTACTACTTCTTAATTTTTTTTGAAGATTTATTTATTTATACAAGAACCAAGGTACAGGCCAAATGTGTGGGAGGGTGAGAGGATTCACCAGAGACAGAGTGGGGAACAGAACAGGCAGACTGATGAAATACACTGAGGAGAGCAGCGGGCGAGACAAGAGAGCTCTGCTGCGCCAAGTGGGTTTCTCCCCGGCCAGCGGGGATCGAACCTACCCACAAAGGCTGCACACAGCTTACAGTGCAGCATCAACTGCCTGCACCACCAGGGAGGCCCAATATCCTACTACTTCTTAAAATCCTTTTTATAAGTCAGTCCAGTTTATCTACTAGGTTCTGGTAAGAGTTGTTTTCAGAGGTGGAAGTTAATTTTCATGAATTAAGTATTGTTTTATATATATATACATATATGGATTTGTTTCTGGACTTTCAATTGTGTTACATTGATCCATGCATTTATTTTTATTCTAATATGATACTGTTTTAATTACTGGTGCTTTATAATACAAAGTCAGATAGTGTGATGCTTCCATTTCTGTCCTTTTTTCTCAGGATGACTTTTGCTATTCAAGGTTTTTTATGGTTCCATATAGACCTCAATTATTTTGTTCATTTTCTTTAAAGAATATTGTTGATATTTTGATGGGGATTGCATTAAATTTATACATTTCTTTCAGTAGAATAGTCATTGTGACTATTGATTCTCCTATTCCATAAGCCTGTAATGTCTATCCATCTCCTTATGTTATGATCAAAATCCCTTAATAATGGCTTGTTTTCATTGTGTAAGTCCTTGCCTCACCTCATTAATTCCTAGATATTTGATTCTTTTTGACACAATTGTGAATAGAATTGTATTATTTTTTTTTAAGATTTATTTATTTATGCATGCAATAACGGGTTTACAGTTCAGAGGTGTGTGTGGGGTGAGAGGATTCACCAGAGACAGAGTGGGGAACAGAACAGGCAGACTGACCGAAATACACTGCTGAGGGGAGCAGTGGGTGAGCCAGGGGAGCTCTGCTGTGCCATGTGGGTTGCTCCTTGGCCGGGGATTGAACTTGTGCTGCGGTGCCTGCGGTCAGCTTCATAGGTTGTGTTTTAACCCCTTGTGCCACCAGGTAGGTCCCTAGAATTGTATTCTTAATTTCTTTTTCTTCTTCAGTTTTTGTATATAAAAATGCAACAAATTTTTGTGTTGTTTTGTAACCTGCCACTTTGCTGTACTCATGTATTATTTCTAATTATTTTGGTAGAATCAGCAGGGTTTTCTGTATATAGTAATGACAGTTTTACTTTTTATTTTCCAACCTGGATTCCTTTTTTATTGTTGTTAGTTGAGGTAATGTTGGTTTACCTCAGTGTCTGTATTTTGAGAATATAGAACTCCCCCCACACCCTTCAAGTGTTATTACCATTGTGCAGCCACAACTAAAGCACAAATGGCCCACCACTTCAGTGCATGTGCTCCCTCCTCTTGCTCTCACTCTTCCTCTGGGATTCCTCATTTCCATAATCTGTTTCCTGGATTCTCTTTATTTCCTGTTATTAGTCTGATTGCTGTAGGCAGAACCTCTATACTAAATTTAATAGAAGTGGTGATAGTGGGCATCCTTGTCTTGTTCCTGATCTTAAAGGGAAAGCTTTCAATCTTTTAACATTAAGTTAAAATCATATGGTGAGGGCCTCCCCGGTGGCGCAGCGGTTGAGCGCTGGGTTGCGAAGCTGCCGGCGACCTCTGCAGCGCAGCGGTTCGATCCCCAGCTGCTCCCCGGCCACCGGAGGAGGGTCCCACATGGCGCGCAGACCTCTCCTGCCGCCCGCTGCTCCCCTCAGCAGTGTACTTCGGTCCTTCTGCCTGCTCTGCTCCCCGCTCTGGCTCTGGTGAATTCTCTCGCCCTCCCACGCTTCTGACTGTACCCAGTGCACGTATAAACAAAACAAACAAACAAACAAATAAATAAATAAAAAAAAAAAAAATAAAATCATATGGTGAGCCATATGATATGTGGACCATATATTATGTGGACCATATGATATGTGGACCATATATTATGGTCCTTATTATGTTGCAAAAGGTTGCTTTTGTTCCCATCTTTTTTAGTAGTTTTATCCTAAATATATGCTGGATCTTATGTTTTCTTTTCATCTATTGATATTATGATGGTTTTTATTTTTACTTTTGTTTGGTCTGATTATAAAGCAGCCCAGACTATATCTCAGAAGTTGTGTCTAAGATATTCAAGGGAGCAATCTACATTCTTTTTTGATAGAAAGAGATCCTTTAATCAATCATTGAAGATACTGTATACACCAGAAAGCCTATTGAAATCACCTAGATTATCTGCACATTTTAAACTGAGGGTTTACTTTTGCTAGGTGGTCTAGGTAACTAACATCTTTTTTGGATTAAATGGATATTAGACACAGGGAACTTGGATGATCATAAAGGGCAGCAGTACAAGGGAGGTTTCTGAGTAAAAAGGAAAGGTTTGGTTTAATCATATTCCTTTATTTTTACTTCTTGAGAACCTTATTCTAGAGTCCATGGCTCAAGCTCTGGGCCTACATAATAGGGGAACATTGCTCTGCAAATAGACGCTTGGTCAATTTCATGTCTCCAGACATTCTTCAGATAAGTTACTTTATCAAAAACCAATCCCCACCTGTATAAAGAATGCAGCATGTCAGACACACTAAGTTGTATTCACTTCTCCCTTCTCTTCTAGCTCCAGGCCTGGTGGCGAGGCACTATGGTACGGAGGGAAATTGGTGCTTTCAAATTGCCTAAGAAGGACAAAGAAAATGGCAAGGATTCAAAAGGTAAAGGCAAAGGCAAAGCCAAGGACAAGCGGAGAGGCAAGAAGTAGAGACCCAATTATCTTCTGTCTTTACCCCTGGCATTCTGGAGATGAGAAGAGAGTAAGAAACATATTTTATCAGCACAGATAACTAATCAGTGTTTCTTATTTGGACATTCCCAGGTGAGGCCTGGTTATTTCGCCTTGCCTGTTTTTCACGTCCTGAATTAGGATTATGCCACTGATTTAGGGCTTCTTCTTATTTTGGAAAATTTTGCTGGGGGAATATTACTAAGAGCCTTGTGAAGAATCCACGTGGTCTTTCTTTGGAAAGTTGTCCGTGGGCTTAGTTGCAGTGATAAAATAAAACTTCAGTAAATCCCGTTATGTCTCTGATTTTATTCATCTATAGTGAAAAATTCTTATGAGCAAAAGTGAAATCATCAAGGAGATATTACAAGATAACGTTTATAAAATGTCCAGCATAATTCTCACACAGTAAAATTTTAATAAAGGTTAGTTTCTGCTTGCTATTTAGATTTCTCATTGTAATGTTTTTACTGGGGAACGTGGTGGCAAGGAATACTTATTATAAGCTGCATTAGTGCTTTTTCTGGGAAACAGGAATTCCTTAAAAAAGTATATTTCTATCTCAGGGGTTTATTATGAGGACCTAGTTTCTACTGATGTTCTGTGAGGGAATTACATATCCTTTCAATTTGCCAGGAAACCCATGCTATGAGCATTTTCAAATCAGACTTTATTTCATGTTATTGAAGTGTTGGCTTTTATTTTAATGTCAATGTGTAAGGTGGCATACAGGCAATTTAAAATAACATACATGATATTGATATTTATACTTAGAACTTATGCATTATATTTACATACAAATATGAGACAATGCTTTACAAAATCTTTTACTAATTACATGTTTACAACAATTTTCTGAAAGATGAAATCTGCTGTTAAACATCTCACTGCAATATGTATGTAAAGAAAAAGGTTTCTAAATATCCACGTTTTCCTTCATTTCTATAACCATTTAAGTGCTTAGTCTTTAAAAGTTCATCACACTCACCAGCACACATCATTAGTTGCTGCTGGGCTGTAGCAAGTAAGAGAAAGACTTGTTGATTAGTTATAAGGCTGTATTTTTAAAAGGCTATTAAGAAAAGTGACACACCCCTAAGCCTTCTATTCTGTTGTAGCCAAATACTAAGTTCTCCTTTTATACCATGAGTTATTTCTAGACACATTTATTATTAAAGAAAATTGGTTTGGAGTGCTAAGCAGATATGAGTTTGAAAGAGGGGAAACCTGCTGATTTAAAGTATCAGTAGTTGGCAGGTGTCTGGTTGGTGGGGGGCACTTCAGCACTGGGAAAGTCACTGCTTCAGGAGGAAACTCATAAATGGTCAGGTGGAATTATTACAAAGTCACCTTCATCTTATCTTGGAATCTAACAAGTCTACATGTTAAACTGAAATTTTCTTTCCAGTTTTTTAAAAATATAGGTGCATACAAACACTGAATACAAAAATCCAACAAAAACACAATTTGTTTTTGCATCTCAACATAAAAAAATTCAATATACTGGTATTTCTCTTATATTACCAACCAAAACTATACACAATTTTTTCTAGCAATTCAAATATATATTTAAATTAGCTTGATAAGGACACAATAATAAAATTTCATGCTGTGTGTAAAATGTGAAATACATTGAAATTTTCATTTATTCCTACAGGAAAATGAATTGTAAATGTTGCACATGTGGCACTTTTAGGTCTTGTGGAATTATTCCTTGCATAATATGGCTAACAATCCTGTCCTTTGCTTAACTTCAAGTGAGACTCTAATTTGGAGATTATACTGTGGTTTGATGTTGATGAGAAGAAAAAATACCTATAGTTGAAAAATACACACAGCTAAATTCTAAACAAGTCATATGATGAGTGAGTTTGGAACTGTAAATCTAATGGGGTCTGGCTCTAAGCACTTAAAATACATTTATGTTCTCTGAGAATTTTGAAGGATTGGGCTTTGAGCTCTCATGTTTTATATTATATAAATTTCAATGTGGACAAAGTGGTAATGTTCTGATGAACTTATTAACCTGTGAGAACAAAGAGAAAACATTTTGATCAGCACCTCAACATCATTTTATCCAAAGTGAAATTTAGTTGCTGCATGTACATGATAGAACAGTATGCTCCTATGCATGCATGGGTAAAGAAAATCCAGAACAGTTAAGAGAAAAAAAATCTACATATTTCATTTTCTGTATTTACTTGGTTTACCATGGGCAGCAAATACCAAAATTTATCACTGAAAATTAAAATTTCAAAAGTAGGGGAAGAAAGACTCAAGTGTCTTAAAATGGAATAAAGGCTCCTGGGTCTGTGTTGCATGAGCCCTTGTGCCCTTTCACTTCAACCACAATTGAGTATATAAGGCACTAGTGGTGGAGCTGTATGAACTAGATGAAAAGACAACCAGCTATTTTTACGATGCCACAAGTGCTTTACACAGCAATGGAGATTGGCAGTTACCTGAAAAAGTGTAAGAAACTTTTTTTCTTTATTCTCCTTTATTTCTTTTGCTTCATTTTCATGTCTTCCATTACATTGTTGGGGAGCTGGAAGTGTGTCTGCCATGACTAGAAGGCATCTGCAGGTCTAGCTGTCTTGGGAGCAGCGTGGGGGCGGGAGGAATGGAGAGCTCAAAAGTCAAGGCAAAGATGCTGAGTAGCACAAGCCACCAGCCTAAAAATCTAGAAGCTTTATGTGGAGTGTTTGTGTAAAATGTTTAGGTAATAGCAGGATGATACAGAGAATTATCCTCTGCAAAAAGAAGAGGAAGTGGTGATGGACTAGAGTTGGGGAGGCCAAAAACACTGGCCTTAAACATAACAGTGACTGTTTCATTGATTAACCATGAAAACTCTAGGCCCTCTATATTATTTTTGTTTTGCCTTGTATATAACAGCTCATGTAGTCATAAGGAACTTTTGATTTTTAATGTGGCTGAAAAACAAAATGGGGTCATTACTCCCCCAAATCATACAATTATCAATCTTGAAACAGTAGTGTCTACTTCATGAAACACCTGTGTGTCTGTTACAAATGCAGATTCCCAGGTCTTGCCCTGGGCCTGTTGAATGAGAACCTGTATTTGAACAAATGCTCCGGGATTTTCTAATGAACAATCAAATTTAAAAACCAGTGGACTCTATAGAGTCTTGAAAACAGGAAAGATCATAGCATATCTGTAACTTTAAATGAGCTAAATATCTTGCTAAGAAGATATTCTTTCTCTTATGTGAAAAAAACCTACTCCTAGCAAAGCACAGCCAGCTTAGGCTTTGGTGTTGTGTTCTCAATGACAGAATGAAAGTTCATTTGCAAAAACCAACCGTGTCTTCATAAACAATTCAATGGAAATGGATATAATGTCCCCTAAAATGGAGAAATGAAGCAAAATATTCCTGTTAGGAATCATGGAAACAGTCCCTCTTAAGAACACATAAGAGCTTTGTTTAATCAGTGGTGGGCAGCAACAATCACATTGTCCTGTTCCTTGTTTTGGCCAGGCAACGCCCATGGTCCTGGGAGTCATCAAACAGCAGATAATTGGTGCTGCTGTTGCTTGGGTGGGGCAAGTTCCAGGAGGGCCTGGACCGTCACTGCAACCTGGCTCAAACCTTTCTCTTCTAAAATGTGGAGAGGCAAACATAATTGCTCCTGAAATGGACAACGTAACATAAAAACAAACAAAAGAGAAAATAGGATGAACATCACGAGAACTGAAAAAAAAAAAAAAAAAAAAAAAAAAAAGCACCCCTTCTTTCCCTCAAAATAACCAACTGAGATAAGAAAAGTCGGTACCTGGAAAACTGACCTCTGTTTATAGAAGTTACACAGAGATGGTGTCTGACACTTACTGTCATTTTATTAACGCAACTATAAGTACATACAGATCATTTTGAAAATTGGAAAATGGGCAAGTTACACACACTTATCCACACAACAGAGGAAAAATAGAATACTGTGAAGTGAAAGCAACATCCTTCATCCCTGATAAAATAGGAGCAGTACAGATCAGTAAAATAATGCAGGTGAAGGCAGAAAAAAGGTTTCAAATTACCAGGTGGCCCCAACCTGAAAGACATAACATGTAGGAGGCAGTGCTTTGGAAAGTACATACTGTAGGAAAGCAAGATGGTTTCATACCATAACTCAGCCAGCATGACAGAGAATGCTTGCCAGCTCATTATAATCCTGATTGAGAAAACCAAGCTTCTTATACGTATCAAGGAAGCATCATGGGGAGAAACTGAAATGTGCCCTTGAAATTTAGATGTTTGAGAAACTTTTCCCTATTTTGGGTAACTTGAAGGCCTGCTACAAACTGGTTAAAAGCTGACTTACATAATTAAAAAACAAAGTATTTGAAAAAGTACTTCAAATCCTGGTGTTTAATAGAGTAAATTATGCTGGAGACTATGGCATTAGCTCATTCAGGAATATCTTATGTATTTAAAGTGTTCACATGTTTGTTTAAGGAAGTTAAGTACTTCTAACTTCTTAGTCTCGTTAATATGTTTGGTTAATCGTTTCTTATGAGAGAAAAAGGCATATTTTAAGATTAACAACTATCACTGGTTTTTCTTTTAAGACTATTCAGCAAGAAAAGAGATTGTTCTCATAAAGGACAGAAAAGTAGAATCCTGGTTCCACCAACATAGAGACTACACATTTGTTAAAGAAGATAACTGGGTTTTTCTTTGCTTTTCATTGGCATTTACCGTATTATTAGAGTTTTACAAAACCAGTTACAATAAAAAAAAAATCTATTTTGAATAGTTATTGTACTTGTGCTGTACTTAATTACTTTTTGCTTAATACTTTGTATAAATACTTGAGTACCAAGGCAAACACTGCACTTGGAAAGCCTGCAGGGTGTTTTGCTCTCCAAAAAGACATTTTTTCCAAGGCGGGTTCCCTGATTTCTGTCCTCTCAGTAGGGCCCTGTGACTGTATGACTGTGGTTTAGATATTCCCTCAGAAGCGTCTGCTTTCCAGGTACACATTTACCTTCTAGCTGGCTTGGAGTATGCTATCTGTTCTGAAGACAACGCACAACTAATCCAAAATCACACATGAGACCATGTGTTTTTTATCAGATTTTTTTTAAAGGACAAAACTCCACAAAATTGAATGATCACTAACTCAGAGACATCTTAAAAACAAAACAAATCCTAACTCCCAAAACTCTGGAAGGCACTACTTCTTATAAATCTGAAGTGTGCAACAGTGTTCAATGTTTCGGCATTAACAATAAATAGCTTTTAAATGTGTTAAATACTGTCCCATTTATATGTAAGAATACCAAAACAATGAGACAGACCCTCAGATTGACTTCCACAAACAGGATATTATATTCCCTGCAATATCCCTTCCTATTTTACTTCAGTTGTCCAATTTTGTTAACAATCAGGAGATTCCTGGATGTCCAGAAACACTATGAGAACTAGAGTCTGAATGCAATTATAAAATGGTTTCAAGTGCTAAACCTAGCAGCTAATATACTTAGCATTCTGAAAGATACAAAAGTCACTGTATTGAGGAACAGAACAGACTACTGTCTAATACTTTTCCTGTTATTGTTTAGGTATAATCTCAACAGCCTACATAAATTAGAAGTTTACCCACTAAGATGGTTCAAATATATTAGAAATTATATTTCCAATTTTAAATTCTAAGTAGGATTCTAGAAATGAGACTCAGTTAAAGATAACCACTTGCCCCTGAAAGGTCAGTACCAGATCACTTTGCTTCTTGCTGTGTTCTATTTTGAATGTACACATAGGGCCAAGCCATCTATAGAATCTGCATGATCTTTGCACCAGATTTTCTGATCAAATTAAAATTACTGAGATTAAATGGCAAGGCCTTCTAAGTATCTAGACAGCAAATGCTTAGGTAGATCTGTGCCTATCAATTACAAGGTTTTAGGGCACAGCTCAATGCAGTGATATGTGACCAGGTGCCCCAAACCAGAAAGGGCACAATCATTTTCCATATAAAGCTGTTGAAACTTGCAATTTCAAGTTGTGTTAAAGCATGGAAGAATGGACAGAAGGGATTTTATTATGTCATTTGGAAATAAAGTTCTAAGTTATATTGTAAGAATAGGTTTAGGACTGTATTAATAGAAATGCTTCGGCACTTGTGATAAGAGAAACAAAGTCTTTTTTGATTGCTGCAATTTGCAGCAACATGGATGGAGCTGGAAGGGATCATGCTCAGAGAAATAAGCCAGAAAGAAAAAAAAAAAAAATACCGGATGGTCTCACTCATAGCAGGAATTTAGAAAACCTATATAAGAGACCAGGAAAAAGACTAATAGTAATAAAGTAAAAATCAAAATCAACAAGCAACTATAAACCAGAGACACACTATGGTGGAGGTGAGGAGGGATTAGGGTCAAAATAAGGGAGTTGGGAATTGTATGGGGAATATAACCAATATGAAAATGCATACATTGTGCAAAAATGAAAAAAAAAAAAAGTAATATATATATATATCTATGGAACAAAGTCACAGCCAGGAGAATGGACAAATGACTGGAAAGAAAAAAAAGCTTTTTTTTAAAATCTTTGTTATCGTAAATGCTTACTAATGTAATGGGCTGGGCTGCTTATCTGGACATATGAGGAAAAAGAAAAAGCACATATGTAAATACTTCTGCATGAGAAACAAACCTCCTTTACCACAGGAATGAGGTGGAAAACCACTGGAAGGCAATCTTTCAGCTAGAGGGGAAAGATCCAGTAATAAAACATACAGAGAGTTAACATTAAAGTACAATAAAATGCCACAAAACCCAAAAGCTGAATAGATAGAGAGATAAAACTGGATTCTTCTGAATGTGCCCCAAGAGAAAGTAGTGTTTCAACAGTTCTTTTAACGCTGAGGTTTAGCTGAAGGATGTCGGAAGGGGAACAAAGATTGTCCTGTCCAAAGTGTGAGCAGGAAAGGAAAACAGAAAAACAAAGTCAGTGGATCAGATATACAGATTTGAGTACAGAATTCACTATGATCATCTCAATCATATTCAAAGAAACACATTCTGTAACATTTTTTACCATGAATGAAAATAAAATGCTGAAAAACAAAACTACTGAGAATTGATTCTCTATATGCTCAACCTGATCTTACTTCTGAATAGCAGAATGCAACTGGCTTAATGGGGACTAGTATGAACAGTAAGGGTGCTGGCTCAGGTGGTTTGAGACCTGCGAGTAGTGAGATCTGCATAGGGCAGCCTTTATTGCCTCTCATCCTTCCCTATTAACAAATAAAGACTAGGTCAGAAAGTAAGGACAAAATCTGCTGATGTGCTAAGGAGAGAGGTGTTTTCAAGAGAAAGCCAGGTAAATCAAGACCATTCAAAGAATGAGGAAATCGGGTAATATACAACCTGCAAATCAGTCGAACTGAATGATTTGGTGTTACTCTAAAAACCAAGCCCATCTTATCCAAGTCCATTTTACCAATCTGTACAAAGTGAACCCAGAGCTGTAATGGGGGCCTCCGGTTCAGATTAAGAAATTAAATAAATATTACTGGACTTGATCACAGGAACACATTCTTTAACACATAATTCTAATACAAAAGATACTGGACTCAACTGGAAACTGTTAACACTCATAGTTTTTGAATGTAACATATATTTTCATAAAGGCATAAGAAGAGAATACCCATATGCCCAATCTTACCAAAGGTTTTTTAATAGCTAACCTACTCTTTAATGTTTCAATTATAATTTAACTTGTATAGTATTTTAAAAGTTATACTGAGAAGAAAACTTGTTCACCTTCATACTTATTTGCTGGACACAGAGCTTGACAAATATCTATTATATTAAGTTTTATGTCATACATTTTCAAAAGTGATTATATTGACATCCCTGATTCCCCCCCTCCAACTCCCCCTAGATCAAACAGAGCAGTGGCAGTGTTTGGGTAAGAGGTCAGCATGCACAGAAGTAGGGAAGAACAAAGGAAGAAGTTTCTTTTTCCTTCTGTGGCAGAGAGACCTGAAAACGCTAGTTTGAATCTATGAGTTTGTGTATTTATTCTTTTTCCTTCATTTTGTTCTAGGCAAATGACTAACTTTTTAGCAGAAGTAGCAGCATAACAGGAACTCCTCTGAAAGTGGCAGTAGTGGTGGGACCACTGGTACAGATTTGGGTAGAAGATAGAAAGGGAGAAGGAAAAGGTGGCATATGTGGAATGTCCATTTCCTCTTTCTGATGGGTGAGAGAAGAGGGATGTGCAAAGAACTGTAGTCTAACCACCTTGGAAAAATACCTAAACTTTAAAAATTCTATTTATTCTATTTTTGCATCTGCTCTCAAATAGGATCGAGCTGATAGGAATGGGGTAGGCTGGCTCATAGTAACTACTGACTGGCAAATATTCAATTAAATGCATGTTGGATGGCACATTATTTTTGTGTTTTACTGATAGATGGGAGGTGCAGTCTGAAAGAATTCTAGTGTAGGGACTTGAAATCTGAGACAGATGGCTCTATAAAGTCCAGAATACAGAGAGAATGATTATAAACACTGGTAAATAATATTTTTAATAGGTTTATTGGAAATTAAATGTGTTAGCATGTATTGCTATGTAGGGCCATTTTTAGCTTTCTTCTCCTTAAGGATGCAGGGCCTCCTTTTAATCACTCTTACTTTTTCTCTGGTTCCTATTCCCTATTCTATTGTCTACATGTCACATTCTATTATTCAAAGACACTGCAGTATGGAACTGGGACAGCTACTGCACATGCTTGTATAATGTGGTGATTAGGTAGGATCATCTTCAGTAGGCAATAAATTAATGCCTACATAGGAACATTAAAACCTACTTGCTAATATGGAGAAAATGCATCTAATTTGTTTAGAAACATTATTAACGCTATCTTAATGGGTGTGTTTCTTAAAATATTGCTTTTCTCAATATTTTTTAAAAAAGGTTTGCTCTGAAAGAGATGATGAGCTTTTAGAAAACAATATGGTATAAAAATAAAAATTTGAATTTGTCCTCAAGAAAAAAAAAGTCCTTGCTACTACTAATTATAAATTTCAGTTTAAAAAATTGCTAAAGAATATTGTGAAAAATAAATAGCAGAATTGCCATCTACTTAATAAAAGTAGAAAAACATGGGAATTCATGCTGGTGAATGCAGATACTCTATGGAGCTGGGCTCTTTCTATTCCACTTTTCAACATGTAAAAGAGCTGAAGAGAAGGTGCTTCACAGCACAACAAATGATGCTGTGACCTTCTCAACTCTTGATTAGTTTAGAGAGAGGGATGGTAAGCTGGGGAAAGGGAGCTGGGTCATGACAGCTATTAGGGTAAGCTATTGACTTCAAGGCTAACAGTGGTGGTGTTGAGTCTGGGGGCTGGCCTCAAGTTTCTGACAGCTAATTAAGAAAGTACTAGAAAAAAGCTATATCTTTCTTCTTGAAAATATGTACTTCTTAGACTAGATATGGTGACAAGAACTGTAATGGTTGTGGATAAGCACCAAATGGCTCCACATGGCACCAAATAGTTACTTCTTTAAATTTATCTATAAGTCATGTCATTAAAGATAATATTTCTTTAGAGTACTGTATGTAGTTTTGAAAGGATAGTTAAATAAAAAGTATATGAAATTTATCTTCCTTAATCACATCTATAAAGAAAGTTAAACTATTTGTACTGTTAATAAAGTTATAACTGAGAAACCTGGAGGCACCTTGTATACTAAATGTCAAAGTGTTAGAATTTAGTGGGAAAATTGGTGAAATCTGAATAAAAGCTGTAATTTAGTTAACAGTCTATCCCAGTGTGTGTTAGTTTGGATTATACACCATGTTTATGTAGACATTAATAGAAGAGGGACTTGGGTGAAAAGTATACAGTAACTGTTATTTTTGCAATGTTTCTTTAAGTTTAAAAGTATTTCAAAGTAAACACTTTTTTAAAAAAGATTTATTTACTGGGCCTCCCCAGTGGCGCAGCAGTTGAGTGCTGGGTTGTGAAGCTGCCCGCAGCCTCTGCAGTGCCGGTTCGATCCCCGGCCACCGGGCGAGGGTCCCACAATGTGCGCAGACCTCTCCTGCCGCCCAGTGCTCCCCTCAGCAATGTACTTTGTCAGTCAGCCTGCTCTGCTCCCCGATCTGGCTCTGGTGAATTCTCTCATCCTCCCGTGCTTCTGACTGTACCCAGTGCTTGTATAAATAAATTAAAAAATAAATCTTAAAAAAAAAAAAGATTTATTTACTTATGCATACAAGAGCTGGGGTACAGGCCAGAGACGCAGCAGGGTGAGAGGGTTCACCAGAGACAGAGCGGGGAACAGTACAGGCAGACTGACTGAAATATACTGCTGAGGGGAGCAGCAGACAAAACAGGAGACATCTGCTTCACCATGTGGGTCGCTCCCTGACTGGCAGGGGATCAAACTCGTGCTGCAGAGGCTGCTGATTGCCTCATAGTGTGGTTTTTAACCTCTTGCACCACCAGGGAGGCCCCTCAAAGTAAACGCCTTTTTTTAAAAAAGATTTATTTATTTATTTATACAAGCACTGGGTACAGTCAGAAGCACGGGAGGGTGAGCAAATTCACTAGAGCCAGAGCGGGGAGCAGAGCAGGCAGACCGATGAAATATACTGCTGAGGGGAGCAGCGGGCAGCAGGAGAGGTCTGCGCGCCATGTGGGACCCTTGCCCAGCCACAGGGGATCTAACTGGCGCTGCAGAGGCTGCGGGCAGCCAGCGCTCACCTGCTGCATCACCGGGGAGGCCTTGAAAGTAAACACTTTTTGAAAAGTATAATAAGCAGGTGTTAAAAATCTGAAGCCAATGAAAGCATTCTCAATCCAAGATACACTTATTTTGAAGCATACATTGTTGTGTGTGAAGTTGATATAAGTCAAACAGCAAGTGGCGATGCTTAGGAAAATATAAAAAAAACTATTTTTGATTACTAAGCATTAATTACTTATTACATTTAAATTTGTATGTGTATGATTTCTTTGCTTGATCCTTGGAAGTTATTAAGGAAAAGTGCTCAAAAGTACACTGACTGAGTATAATAACAAAAAGTCATATTAGTAATTGTCAAATTAGCTCTGAGTTAGTCCTATAAGATTTTAGATACTTGAATTTCTGAAAGATTTTAGAAAACAATATCCAGGTGTATTTGGGTAACATAAAAAAATGACAGACTTATTACCTGAGGTACACCAATTTTTCTGCAAGCTTCTAAGAAATTCTCCACATTTCGCCTGCATTTTGCCATTGTTAATTTAGGCTGCAAAGGAAGAAAAATGTGATATTACTAGCAAAGTCTTAAAAATATTGCTAACTTTAAAAATACTCTTGCTAGTTGCTCTATAAATGTAATGCTATAGACCAGATGGTCAGCAAACATTTCCTTAATGGATCAGATAATGATAATAAGAGATTCATATGGTCTGTAGCAATTACTCAATTCTGCTAAGAACTTGAAATCAAAACAACGAAGCATGACTATGTCCCACTAAAACTTAATGGATCAGATAATAAGAGATTCATATGGTCTGTAGCAATTACTCAATTCTGCTAAGAACTTGAAATCAAAACAACTAAGTGTGACTATGTCCCACTAAAACTTTATTTACAAAAATTGGTGATGGCCTGTGGAGCATCGTTTGCTCCTCCCTACTTTAGTTTTAGATTTTTTAAAAAAGATTTTATTTATTAATTTTTGTGTAGAAGAACTGGGGTGTAGGCCAGAGGTACGGGGTTAGGGGAAAGTTATGAGAAAATTAACCAGAGACAGAGTGGGGATCAGAACTGGCAGACGTACTGAAATACACTGCTGAGGGGAACTGTAGGCGAGGCATGACAGGTCTGCTATTGTGGGTTAGCTACCAGGCTGGGGATTGAACTCAGGCATTGACTTTGATTTTTATAAGCAAAATGCTAAACAGAGAAATTTAGGGGGATAGAATGTTTTAAAATAATATACACTAAGGAAAATTTGGAGGAATGGCAAGAAAACCAATTACCCACAGCTCTCCCATTCAAATACAATCACTATGAACACTCTGGTTCATTTCATTTCCAATATGAAAGTTTTGTTTCAATTATATGCATAAACAAATATGTACTAAATATACTTATGCCCTAAATATCTATGTAAAATAGATATCTTTCTATGGGTAACAATAAAAAGAAATTTGAATATCTTAAAAAACAAACAGGGCCTCCCTGGTGGCGCAGCAGGTTGAGCGCAGCCCTGTGAAGCTGTCTGCAGCCTCTGTAGCACGGGTTCGATTCCCAGCCAGCCAGGGAGATTCCCGCATGGCGTGGCAGACCTCTCCTGTCGCACCCGCTGCTCCCCTCAGCAGTGCTTTTGGTCTGTCTGCCTGTTCTGTTCCCCACTCTGTCTCTGGTGAATTCTTTCACCCTCCCACGCCTCTGGCCTGTACCCCCCAGCTATTGTTAAAGGAAAAATAAATCTTTTTTTTTTTTTTTTTTTAAAGATTTATTTATTTATTTATACAAGCACTGGATATAGTCAGAAGTGCGAGAGAATTCACCAGAGACAGAGCCAGAGCGGGGAGCAGAGCAGGCAGAAGGACCGAAGTACACTGCTGAGGGGAGCAGCGGGCGGCAGGAGAGGTCTGCGCACCATGTGGGACCCTCCTCTGGTGGCCGGGGAGCAGCCGGGGATCGAACCAACGGTGCAGAGGCTGCCGGCAGCTTCGCAACCCAGCGCTCAACCGCTGCGCCACCAGGGAGGCCCGGAAAAATAAATCTTTGAAAAAAAAAAAAGAAAAACAAACAAACAAAAAACCAAAAAACCCCCCAAAAAAAAAAAAAAAAACAAAATAGCCTTTGTCCATAAATATGCTATAGATGCATCCTGTCTCCCACTTAATGGTAATATTAAAAAATTTGTTTGACTTTTGAATTTAAAGACATGTTAAGAACACAAGGAAATTATGAAAGTTTCCATAGAAAATTTCCCTATTACTAACTAGAAAGTTTGTTTCCTGAAAAGATCTCTAACTAGAAACACAAAATTATCACAAGACATAGGGAGATTTTGAAGTTTTTCAACTACTAGGTTATCATGGATTATATAGCAAGAAAGAAATACGAATCCCATTTCCCAAAATGATTACCAAATTCAATGGTTTAAATTAAATGGTTGGCTCCCAACCAATCATTAAATGTTTAACCATCAGTCCTGAAAGCCTTAAGTTTGTAGGGAATCTGACCTAGAGCTTTTACATAGCAAAAAGATAAAAAAAAGCCTACTCTAAAATGAGAATTAGAAAGGTCTTACATGTGAATATATAGGTTTTCTTTAAAGATGGCATGTGATACTCTGTCACCAGAAGAGGGATAATAACATAAATACGTAATAGTGCATGGAGGATACAATCTTGGTCTCAAAAAGGTGGCAGGGGCTAGGATTTGCTTTCTGATAAAAGATAAAAAGGCAACAAGTGGGATGAAAGGAAAATGTTTTATTTTTATTTATTTATTTTTTTAAAATTTTTTTTTAATAGAGGCATGTTTTATTTATTTATTTGTTTGTTTTGTTTACACATGCACTGGGTACAGTCAGAAGCGCGGGAGGGTGAGAGAATTCACCAGAGTCAAAGCGGGGAGCAGAGCAGGCAGAAGGACCGAAATACACTGCTGAGGGGAGCAGCGGGCGGCAGGAGAGGTCTGCACACCATGTGGAACCCTCCTCCGGAGGCCGGGGAGCAGCCAGGGATCGAACCAGCGCCGCAGAGGCCGCAGGCAGCCTCGCAACCCAGAGCTCAACCGCTGCGCCATCGGGGAGGCCCGAAAGGAAAATGTTTTAAATTTCAAGTTGAAAAACTTTCAAAAAGGTCCAGAAAGAGAACAGGAGTTAGGTTTCTATAGAAAACATACTCTTTTGCCTATACCAAGTTCCTCTATACTTGACATAAAATAGTTTTTAAAAGAGTGAACATAAATGGGAGAATCATGATCTTAACACAAAGAGAAAAACAATCATGAAGGTTCACACTGCCCAGTTCACCCTGGGGTAGGGTTCTTTCTCTTCTGTTTTTCACAGATGAAAAAGCAGGTTGTTCACTGGACAAGTAGTGCTATGTATGGTCTTCTCTCTCAACTTCTGGCTAGTTAAGAGGGATATAAGGTGAACTGAGGCATAGGAAAAATATTATTGTGGTAAAAGCTAGTGGGACAAGGAGTTAACTTTAAGAGAAGATGGCAAATTAAAAAACACAGAACAACTGCTTTTCATAGGAGAATTTTCCACTGGCTTGAAATTCTCTCACCACACACCAGTTTCCCTTTCTATCTCCTGGAAAAGGGAAGCAGAAACAATGACTTTTATACATACATATACACACACACACACATATATGGATATATATGTATATATTTATTATGTATGAACCTTGGCTGAGCAAACCAGGATCCTGATCTGAGTTTGAGGGAGAAAGCTGGGTATATGCACTGGGGCACTATGGGTGAGAGATTCCAGCAAAAGAAGGGGGCCTGGGCATTTTGTTCTATCAAAAAAAGGAACTCTAAAAAAAAAAGCAAACATTGTTTAAAAATGAACAATGATGTAAAATATATATAAATAAAAAAAGGAACTCTAATTTCCCAAAACTCTACTGTTCAAACACCAACATCTATGAAAGTAAGTCTGACTGCATAGGTAGAAATAAGTCTGACTGCACAAGCAGAAAAACAACCACTAGGGTGCAAAAAGAAAGGAAAAAAAGATAAAGTTCATGTTGTTCAAATTAAAATTTGGTTTAGGAGTTACCAGATCTCAAACAAAAAGAAAAGAAGGTTCAGAATTATGAGCATAGTGTGTAACTCAGCATTAGCTCTCTGAGGACTACAAGTACCCCAAGGGGGAAAATAAAACATTTCCTTTGAAATTTACCTGCAAAGGGTAGATTTCTGAGTGATGAAAGGGAATGGGAGCAGGGACCAAGTAACTCCCTCCCTTAGCATTTATTTAAATTCCAGGGATATACACTTGTCATCAGGGAAATGCAAATCAAAACTACCATGAGATACCATCTTACACCAGTGAGAATGGCACATATTAAAAAAACTAGCAACAACAAATGTTGGCGAGGGTGTGGAGAAAAAGGAACTCTTCTGCACTGTTGGTGGGAGTGCAAACTGGTCCAACCACTGTGGAAAGCTGTATGGAGATTTCTGGACCTACTAAACATAGAGCTTCCATATGATCCAGCAATTCCACTCCTAGGTATTTACCCAAAGGACACAGAAACATCAATTCCAAAGAACACCTGCACCCCTATGTTTATAGCAGCACTGTTTACAATAGCTAAGCTTTGGAAACAACCCAAATGCCCAAAAATAGATGACTGGATGAAGAAGATGTGGTACATATATACCATGGAATATTACTCAGCATTCAAAAAAGATAAACACATGCAATTTGCAGCAACATGGATGGCGCTGGAAGGGATCATGCTCAGCGAAATAAGCCAAAAAGAAAAAGAAAAATACCGGATGGTCTCACTCATAGCAGGAATCTAGAAAACTTAAATAAGGGACCAGGAAAATGAATAACTATAAGAAAGTGAAAATCAAAATCAACAAAAAACTATGAACCAGAGACACTTTTAGGGGGGCGGGGGTGGGAGGGGAGGGATTGGGGTCAGAATGGGGGGGCTGCAATTGTATGGGGAATATAACAATAAAATTTATTAAAATTAAAAAAAAAAAAATAAAAAGGATACAAAGAAAAAAAAAATAAATTCCAGGGATATAAGTCAATGTTTCATAATTGGGATCCAACTCCTTACAGATTGATGAAAACTGTGAATCTATTCTGGAGAAGAATGCAGATGCACACAATCCTGAAGCATTCACAGAGCCTCAGAAGCACTAGCAGTGCATGAATCCTAGGCTACAAACCTCTGTTCTGTATCTGCCCAAAGGAATCACGAGTCAGAAGGACCCAAGGGTGTATAAGCTTCAGCCCTCTGGAGTGCAGAAGGACTCATAATTTTGCCTTAAATCAAATCTCACAGGAATTTGCTATCCTCAAAATTTCAGATGACATAATAAATAGTTTTGGATAGTCATGTATATAGACTGTTGTATTTCTAGCCTGAACTAAGCAAGAAATCGTATGCAGGTTTTAGGGAAGAAAGTAATTTCCACAAGAGCATAATCTACACTGAAAGGAACAACAAGTAATTTTAAGTAATTCTGCTATTTTGGATATGTGAAATGATTTATAATTTTTCAGGCTTATAATCTAATTGTTAAAAACACACATGCCTTTCTGAATTTCTTTTAAAATGCTTAGATATACGACTTACCCTTATAATGACAGATCATTTTGTGAATTGTGAGAAAAATCATGCTTCATATAATACATCACGAAAATGTTTATGAAGTTACACTTAGAATTCTAATTAGCTAATTATCAAAGAACTGTAACAAATCATATGCATTATGTTAGCCACAAAGAACTACTGTGAATTTTCATTTGAATTTGCTTTCAATTTTATATGCTCATCACAAAAATTTTCTAAAAAAGTAAGTTATAAAGCTCTCTGTGTGATCAAAAGAACAAGTAAAGAGATAGAGAAGTCAGAGAATAATTCATATGAAGGAAAAATAGATATAAATACTTATACTGAAATCTAGTAGTGTAACAGAAACCCCATGAAAGCAATATTGACTTATTTATGATCGGGTTCACTCAAAGGCCATTTACTCACCCCTAAAGGCTGTAATTTGGGAAGTTTTATTAATCTATGTATTTCTGCTTAATTTTACAGGTCATTTATTAACCAAAAAGATTCCCTCTTAAAACAATTTTCATTAGGCCTTCTAGCTTTTAAGTTAAGTTTCCAGGATACCATTTCATAAAAGACCCCCTTTATTTATTTATTTTTTTGAAGAGGCATTAATGGTCTTAAGAGAGTGGACTCTCTGTAACTCATCTCTGTACCTTCTGATCCTGGGAAAATGCCTGGTGTATTGACAGATGCTCTATAAACATGAGTAAGGTTTGTGGTTGATTTTGCTAACCAGTTTTAAATGCTCCAATCTCAAGTTTGTTTTTTTTTTTAAATATATTTTGACTTTTTTTTTTTAAAGATTTATTTATTTATACAAGAACCGGGTTACAGGCCAGATGTGTGGGAGGATGAAAGGATTCACCAGAGACAGAGCGGGGAACAGAACAGGCAGATCTACTGAAATGCACTGCTGAGGGGAGCAGTGGAGAGACAGGAGAGGCCTGCTGTGCCATGTGGGATTCTCCCTGGCTGGCCGGGATCGAACCCGTGCTGCAGAGGCTGCAGACAGCTTCACAGTGCGGTGCTCACCCGCCTGAGCCACCAGGGAGGCCCTCCAATCTCAAGTTATACCCATCATTTCTTTGACTAATGAGAAGGTCCATGTGTTTTATTTCTCAAAGTGGTTAAAATTTGTTAAGTAGTTTTATTTTCCCTTTATGTATTTTACATTCTTAAACAGAACAAACTGTATGTTCTGCTGATCAAGGTAAAGAAACTCACTCATCCTTACTCTCAAATTTCACTGTCTTCATTAACTCCTGTCACTTCCTAAGTATCCCCCTGGAAATGAGAATGACAGGTTTGTCCTTTTTTTTCTTAACTCATTTTGTTAGAAACTGTGCAGAATGCAAAGTGTGAATAACTCCTTTCCTTACTGGCATTGCCAAACAGCAAGTTAATTCCTATTTTGTTAATCAATTTAGGATCAAAACAAAGTATCTGCTAAAAAACAAATGACCCCAAAATGAGATAAAGGCACACCTTTTGGAAAGGTTAGACACTGCCTAAACACGTTACAAATGCACATTTCAGAGTCATCAAAAGAGGGCGACACAATGATTGAATAATAAAATGCGCAGTGGGAACCCTGATTATACTCTGGTTGTGTATATGTGTGTGCTGGGGAGGGGAGAGGAGGGAAGCAGTTATGAAAGATATTCTTGGAACAACTGGGAAAATTGGTATATAGCTCATAGATGCTACTGGTGCCTCATGCGGTGTTATTCATCTAGCCTGTGTATCTATCCTCACCTTTTTTTTTTTTTAAATTTTTTTTTGCATGTTTTTATTTATTTATTTGTTTGTTTGTTTTGTTTATACATGCACTGGGTACAGTCAGAAGCGCAGGAGGGTGAGAGAATTCACCAGAGCCAGAGCGGGGAGCAGAGCAGGCAGAAGGACCGAAGTACACTGCTGAGGGGAGCAGCGGGTGGCAGGAGAGGTCTGCGCGCCATGTGGGACCCTCCCCCGGTGGCCGGGGAGCAGCCGGGGATCGAACCGGCGTCGCAGAGGCCGCGGGCAGCTTCGCAACCCAGCGCTCAACCGCTGCGCCACCGGGGAGGCCCACCTTTTTTTTTTTTTTAAAGATTAAAAAAAAAAATTATTTATTTTATACAAGAACCAGGGTACAGGCCAAATGTGTGGGAGGGTGAGAGGATTCACCAGAGACAGAGCAAGGAAACAGAATAGGCAGACTGATGAAATACACTGCTGAGGGGAGCAGCAGGCAAGTCAGGAGAGGTCTGCCGTGCCATGTGGGACCCTTGCAGGCCAGCCGGGATTGAACCCGCACTGCAGAGGCTGCGGACAGCTTCACAGAGCTGAGCTCATCGCCTGCGCCACCAGGGGAGGTTTCACCCTCGCCTTTTAACCCCAACTTCCTGCTGGCTGCTAATGGATCACAGCTATCCCGTTTTTGGTTTCAGCCTGATCCTATGGAGAGAATTGGAGAGTGCGAATCACACCACACTCCCACCTTGAGGCAGGAGGTATCAGCCCCCACATCATTCTGTCCCTGGCTGTGGGTAAGGGTAAGTGCAAGGTGGACTAGGGGTAAAGTGTTGTGACAGCTGCAATTTTTAAACGGTACAGTTAAAATATACAAACATACACAAATAGAGACAAAGCTAGATAGCAAATGTGATGAGTATCAGACCTAGGTGGAAGCTTTATGAGTGTTTCTAACCTAAATCATATAAAATGTTGTAAACCAATGTTAATAAATAAAAATAATTAAAAAGTGTGTTATTCTTTCAATTTTTCTAAAGATTTGAAAATATTCATAATAAACAAATTTGAAAGAGAAAAAAAAATAATTCTGTCAACCCAAAAGTTTCCTTTTTTGGGGTGCCATCCAGTTACCAACATCCAGATCTAACCAGCAGTATAAAGAGAATCTGCCAGTCATCTGGACTGATTTTTCTCCCCCATTATCTACCTGAGGTTGGTAACTAAACCATGTCAATTCCATGTCCCAAATAGCCAGCAATCTCAACTGCAATTATTATCATATTATTTCCCTCAAATTGCTTCAGTATTTCCTCACTGTCTCTACTCAGATAAAATTTTAACTCTGACATGGTACCATGAGGCTCTTGTCACAAGGCCCTTGGCTTACCACTCTAGCTACATTCCCTACTATTTGCACCCAGTCCTTAAGTATTAAAAACTTAAGAATTCCTATTCTGAGCAATTTAAGAATTTCTTAAATATGCCATAATTTTTCTTAGCTTTTCAATCTAGGAATACTATGTTTGGAATGCCTTCTCTCTCTGTATTGTTGGCAGATTCCTAGCCACACTTTAAGAATTAGTTCAAATTTCACTTTTTCTGGAAGGGTTTTCCTGGACACCCAGGGAAAGATAAGTGTATTTTTTGTATTTCTGTAACATACCCTTACACAACTGTCTTATAACACTCATCACACTGCTATAAGTTACTGTTTACATGCCCATTTTTTCTCTAGTAGAAGTGAGACCTGAGAAGGCAGGAAGTGAACTTTCAGTCTCCCAAGCATTCTGTACAATGCATGCCACTGGACTTAACAAATGTCTGATGAACAGCCAACATTCTTTAGCATTGTAAGCTTACTACAGCTGGTGAGGGAACGTGAATGCTTGGGACAGATCGAGGCCGCACATGATTAGCCAAATGGCAAAGAACAACGCCATCAGTTAGAGCTGCTCCAAGGTCACAAGGCAGAGATACTTTCAACCGGTATTCAATATGCTGAAAGGAAAGGAAAATGGGCAACATTAATTGAGTTGCTGACACATAGGACATAATGAATTTATAATGGAATTTATTTCATTGGAAATCAAGATAAAAAGCAAGTAACTAAAATGCCACAATCCTTAGTTTATTCTTTAAAGTCAATAACTTAAGGAGATTAAATATTTATGTACAGCAGCCAGACAACAGTGGTGCAAAGTACAGGAGAAATTAATACACAATGTTCTGATTTTTTTTTTTTTTGGTGGGACCTTCACTGGTGGCTGGGGATTAAACTGGCGCTGCAGAGGCTGTGGGCAGCCTCGCAACCCAGCGCTCAACTGCTGTGCCACCAGGGGAGGCCCTGATTGTGTTTTTTTTTTTACACAAAACAACACAAACCTCGATTCTCTTTGAATTCCAAAACAAATAAACACCATATATGAGTGATAGGTATATATGTACATACATATAAATATTATAACAAAGGCAGAAAAAAATTTTAAGTGAGTAAGGCCAGGGATTGAACTTCACAGAATCCTCTCATTTTCCTAGTCAACAGCTGAAAAGAATTCCTTTGTAGCAATTTTTTTACATTCATTTCACAATAGGCAGCACAACACTCACTGGGCACTTCATTCTACTAAAAAGTATAAATCAAATGAATGCGTGATTGCAGGATATGGGATACAGCAATACCACTGAAAAAGTGTAGTTCAAAGGTAATGTACATACTTTCCGTAGTTGATCTATTAATTCCAGCTCTTCTTCTCTTTGTCTTGAGTTCTGTCTTGTTACTGAATCTGTAGAATCACTGATAGGTGCAGAAGACGAAAGGGGTGAAGCAAGACCTAAAAAAATATTAATATGTAAGACAGAAAGACGACTGCCAATGTTGGAATAATATTCAGTTTGCCTAATTATAGCTTCATTTTTATATTTTATTTTTTTAAAGATTTATTTATGTATACAAGAACTAGGGTACAGGCCAGAGGTGTGGGGGCGTGAGAAGATTCACCAGAGACAGAGTAGGGAACAGAACAGGCAGACCAACTAAAATACACTGCTGAGGGGAGCAGCGGGCGAGACAGGAGAGGTCTGCCGCACCATGTGGGTTGCTCTCTGGCCAGCCTGGGATTGAACTTGTGCTGCAGAGGCTGCGGACAGCTTTATAATGTGGTGCTCCCTTGTGCCACCAGGGAGGCTCTGGCATTATCTTTTCAAGCTCTATCCATGTTGTCTCAAATGGCATGAGTTTGTTTTTTTTTATCACTGTGGCTCAACTACTTTTGATTGTTTAATTATATCCATGTGAAAAATGTTTTTATTGAAAAGTAACACACAGAAAATTATACTGATCATAAGCATATAGTTCAATTAATTATCATCACAAAATAGATACAACCAGATCAATAAATGCAACCCTAACAACACCCTGAAGCCCCTCTTATGTTCCCTGACCATCAGTACGCAAAGGTTATTTCTTTTTTTTTTTTTTTTTTATTTTATAGAGGCATGTTTATTTATTTGTTTGTTTGTTTTGTTTTATACATGCACTGAGTACAGTCAGAAGCGTGGGAGGGTGAGAGAATTCACCAGAGCCAGAGCCGGGAGCAGAGCAGGCAGAAGGACCGAAGTACACTGCTGAGGGGAGCAGCGGGCGGCAGGAGAGCTCTGCGCGCCATGTGGGACCCTCCTCCGGTGGCTGGGGAGCAGCCGGGGATTGAACTGGCGCCGCAGAGGCTGCGGGCAGGTTCGCAACCCAGCGCTCAACCACTGCGCCACCGGGGAGGCCCCCGCAAAGGTTATTTCTACCCTCACAAGATTCTAACTCATCTTGACTTTTTTTTTTTTTTTTTTAAGATTTATTTATTTATTTATTTATTTATTTATACAAGCACTGGGTACAGCCAGAAGCGTGGGAGGGTGAGAGAATTCACCAGAGCCAGAGCGGGGAGCAGAGCAGGCAGGACCGAAGTACACTGCTGAGGGGAGCAGCGGGCGGCAGGAAGAGGTCTGCGCGCCATGTGGGACCCTCCTCTGGTGACCGGGGAGCAGCCGGGGATCGAACCGGCGCTGCAGAGGCTGAGGGCAGCTTCGCAACCCAGCGATCAACCGCTGCGCCACCGGGGAGGCCCTCATCTTGACTTTTAATATCACAAATTAGTTTTGTCTAATTTTGAACTAACTATAAATGAAGCCATACTCTATGTATATAGGCTCTTGTGTCTGACTTCTTTTGATTAACAATACAAGATTTATCCGTGTTAGACAAATTAATTTGTTCATTTTTATTGCTTATAAGGTATCTCAAGTAACACATCACAATTATTTATTCATGCTACTGTTGATAGATAATCTGTCTGGGACTATTATGTATAGAATTGTTATAAATATTCTTATACATATCTTTTGGTATACATGTGTACATATGTCAGAAGGAAAATTACTTTTCATAGGGCATAGAAATGTTCAACATTAATAGATAATATAAACAGTCTGCCATAAATTTGCAATCCCACCAGCAGTGTGTCTCTACTTTGATTTCAAATCTCACCAAGAGTATGTCTAGCAGTTACATTAAAAATAGTTATTTTGGACTTGAGATGTGGGGGGCTAGGCAGAAATTTGTCATATTAACTAAAAATCATGAGCCTATATAGACTGAGAAAAAAAAAAGATTCAACCTTTAAATATAAAAAAATAGGGTCTCCCTGGTGGTGCAAGGGGTTAGATGCAACCTATGAAGCTATCCACAGCCACTGCAGCACGAGTTCGATCTCCGGCGAGGGAGGTACCCACATGGCTGAGCAGATCTCTCCCAACTCACCTGCTGCTCCCCTCAGCAGTGTATTTCACTCAGTCTGCCTGTTCTGCTCCCCACTCTGTCTCTGATGAATCCTCTCACCCCCACACCTCTGGCCTGTACCTCAGTTCGTATATAAATAAATAAATAAATCTTTAAAAAAAAAAAATAGCTTTTATCAATGAAAAAAAAAAAAAAAGCTCATGACAGAGAAGAGAAATATTCTCTAAAGCCCTATTCTCTAAAACACTAAAGGACACGGCGTAAACCTGTTCAAATACTCCATAACCCGCTTTTAGGGGGTACTAAGACATCTAATTAAAACAAATTCAAACAAGAGTCTCTTAATGTAACCTCACCAACAAACAGTGTTTAGTCTTTGTCAAGATGACATCTCAGGGTAGATGTTTAAGCATAAACAGGCAATGTCATTTAATAAAGTGTCCCTCTCCCCCTTACAAGCCCTTACAAATCACCCACCTCACTACCACCTACCTTTATTTGTTTCTGCCCTGACAGCTGATCGGAAAAGGAAGCTTTCAGGTCGTTGTGGCTGGTTTCTCTGGGCAGTAGCAGGAAAAGAATATGCAGGGGAATGATGAACTAAACAGCATGGAACATCAAAATAAGATAAAGGAGGTGTAAAATAAATTAAACAGAACTGCAGACATACATTATAAAAGTTCAATAAATAACAAGAAAAAAACAATCTTGGCAATGATGTAAAATATTAATTGCTTATTGATATAAAATCTGGTACAGAAAAGTAACTGAAAGAACAGCCATTTGATGTATTTTTGCATGTTACTTTTGATAATAAAGAACAAATATTAATATATTGAATATAGTCTCTTACAGATCTATGCCCTTCTAGCTCCCATTCATTTGTTCATATAGAAGGGGTGAGCAGTTGAATTGTTGAATTAAAAAATGGAAAATATGCAGATAGTTTCCAATTTTGTGTTTGATTTCCCACATCAGGAAAGGAAACCAAAGCTATCTAGAAGTAATTATTCAGGAAATTTTTGGTAAACAATTATAATCTTGATATGGTTTTTTTTTTTTTTTTTTAGAGGCATGTTTTATTTATTTGTTTGTTTGTTTGTTTATACATGCACTGGGTATAGTCAGAAGCACAGGAGGGTGAGAGAATTCACCAGAGCCAGAGCAGGGAGCAGAGCAGGCAGAAGGACCGAAGTACACTACTGAGGGGAGCAGCGGGCGGCAGGAGAGGTCTGCACGGCATGTGGGACCCTCCTCCGGTGGCCGGGGAGCAGCCGGGGATCGAACCGGCGCCGCAGAGGCTGCGGGCAGCTTTGCAACCCAGCGCTCAACCGCTGCGCCACCAGGGAGGCCCAATCTTGATATGGTTTTTAATGCACCTTTGTGTCTATTACCTGTTTCTGATGTAGGTGAACTTGACACAGTATTAGATCTGTCATTATTCTGCAAAGAAACAGAGATATATGAATTATTCTTATTTAAGAAGAGGTACTTTCCACATTTATGGTAACTTTGGGATTATAAAAGATAAAAACCATGTAGCTGTTCTTCAAAATAAAGTCTCGAAGTAAGATGGTATATGAATTTTGCATGTTTTTAAAAACAAGAGTTTTTATTTAGTACTACAGAATTCAAGGGTTATATAATACATTCTTTAAAGATAGTTCCATTATAAAAAGGCCTTTCCTATGACTAAAAATCATATGTAAGGCAGAAAATTTTACTGAGAAAATAAAATTTCACTTTATACTAGTATTTTTCTGTTATAGTTACTAAAGTATTTATCCCCCTCTAGAGAATAAAATTTAATGTGTTAAGAAAATGAAGAATATCAAACCTAGTCCAATCAAACATTCGTAACATTCCAGTTAGGAAATAAGGGTTTTAAAGGTGATAGCTGTATTTCCAAGTTCAAGTGTTTAAGTACAAGTTTCAATTCATTGACCAAAGGAGGAAGAGGTAGATAACTAGCGAAAGTTTACCTGAAAAAAGGAAATGCAGTTAAGGAGGAGTAGAATCAAGGAAAGCTAGAATAACATCAACTATATTTCAGGCCTTGAAATCTAGTTATGTATACTCAGTAATTCAAATATAATTTTATATGATAACTAAAGACACTTTTGAATCAACAGAATCACACACCCCCACACCCCCATACCACTGCTCCCATGTTTTTTTCCCTTTCTTTTGGTTTTATTATTTTCAGAATCTCACTATGAGTTGGGTCAGATGAAATTTATGATGATGGGTAATTTAAACTGCTAAAATAACAATGGAGCCATGCTGTTGAGAAAATTCTTGGACTGATCTAGAAGACAAATTTGTGGAAATAGTTCCTTAGTTTGATATTCTTAGGTTATGAATCAAGAATTAAAAAATAAAATGTGCCAATGAGTGAAGCGGTGTATTGTCTTGTTCTGTACAAAAGCAAAAATATGTTCATCAAGTTTATAGAGAGCAATGAACTAAGATGTTATGAAGAAATGTAAATTTAATTTAAGGGCCTCCCTGGTGGCGCAAGGGGTTAAGACGCAACCTATGAAGCTATCCGCAACCTCTGCAGCATGAGTTCGATCCCCAGCCGGCCAGGAAGCAAACCACATGGCGCAGCAGACCTCTCCTGACTTGCCCCCTGCTCCCCTCAGCAGAGTACTTCGGTCAGTCTGCCTGTTCTATTCCCCGCTCTGTCTCTGCTGAATCCTCTCACCTCCCACACCTCTGGACTGTACCCCAGCTCTTGCATGCATGCATAAATAAATCTTTAAAAAAAATAAATTTAATTTAAAATAAGCAACAGCAACTAGTAAAAGGAACAGGCAACTGAGGCAAAAGTCGATTATCTTTATAAGGAAACAGAAGACTATCCTTATTTTCAAGGAATATGAGTTATGAAGAAAGAAAGTCAAGGATAAAGACTTGTTTAAGGATCAATGGCTGAAATAGAAAAACATGAAGAGTACAGATTATGCCAGAGGTAGAAGAAAAATATTTAAAAAAAATTTAAAAACCTATTTGGTAGGAGTTTGAGTAGGAGTTTAAACATATTAAAGAATAAAATGGTAACAGGCAGCTCTACTAGATGAGATAAAGTGAAATAAATTCCACTGAATGGCAGCAAATGTTCTCTAAGTCCACAAGCATCAAAAGATAACATACAATTGACTGTAATAAAAAATAAAGCCACAACAGAGATGACTTATAAAATGATGGCTTTTAAAATGTACTTTTATCGAAGATCTAAATCTAAGTGATTTGTATTCTAGGATAGAAAAATAATGAGTTCAGGGTCTCCCCAGTGGCGCAGCAGTTGAGCGCTGGGTTGCAAAGCTGCCTGCAGCCTCTGCAGCGCTGGTTCGATCCCCGGCTGCTCCCCGGCCACTGGAGGAGGGTCCTGCATGGCGCCCAGACCTCTCCTGCTGCCCACTGCTCCCCTCAGCAGTGTACTTCGGTCCTTCTGCCTGCTCTGCTCCCTGCTCTGTCTCTGGTGAATTCTCTCACCCTCCCGCGCTTCTGACTGTACCCAGTGCTTGTATAAACAAACAAACAAACAAATAAATAAATAAATCTTTTTTTAAAGAAAAAGAAAAATAATGAGTTCAAATCACTCTGAGATCATCAACTATCTTTGAGATAGTACTCTTGGAGAAGTGAGGGCAAAAGAGAGTTAAGAAATAATCTCAAACACTGACATGAACTCAACTTTAAGCCTGGTTAAGAAAGAAAAGAAATAAAATCATGCTTATAGTGTATACCTATTCTAAAGTAATTGGGATACCAAAAAAATACCCAGATCTCTTTAATCATTTTATAGTGCAGCAGGTATGATAATTGACAAAAAGAAAGTTAGATTCATCACACAATTCTTTGCACACCCAGATTTGGCCTGTCTTGACTGTGATTCTCTGGGAGACAATAAGCCCCAACACTCCAAGGTATCCATGAGTGTAATGAATTCAGTTCTCTCCTACCCATCTAGAATGCCTTCTTGGGTGTATAACTTCAAATAATTTTCTGTATTGTAATTCAAATAAAGAACACCTAGCTAAGAAAGGCTAGCAAGGGGTTAATACTGAAGAAAATTATAAATAAAGCTTTATTTATCTTTATAACAAGAGACAAGGTTTACAGATGTTATAAAGTTGGATTCAGTATTTAGAAGGACATGATGCAAGAATCAAAGTATTCTGATAAATTACAGAAATAAAAATATTCAAAAAACAAAATTAAGTATTTAGGAGAATAAAAGATACACGATGTGGAAATTAATTATCACTTAGGAGTATAACTATCTGAGTGGTATGGTGGCCATTAAGTAAAATAAATACCAAAACGGAAAAAGCCAAGTTAATACTCAGAGTTAGTTAGACATGTGAAAACCCTTCTTTCCTGCTCAGTACCAGACAGGTTCTAATGAAGGCTACACTTCAAATCAGGGGCTCTGAAGCTAAAATGCAAGGCAGAGAACTTAGGAAAGTTCATAAGGACTGACAGGCTGGGAAAGCACATAAAAGGACTAGAGTTTATTTAGGGAGCAGAGAGGGGTGGCATCGTTACTGTTTTCAAATACAAAGTTTTTTTCATAAAGACTCTAAATAACTAGAAAATCACCACACTGGAAAGGAAAAAAGAAACAAATGTAAACCACAGAGGACAGATAAGCAGAGGAAACTTCTTAACAGTGAGAATTATTAATACAAGTACAGGGCCTCCCTGGTGGCAGGAGGGGTTAAGAAGCAGCCTGTGAAGCTGTCCACAGCCTCTGCAGCATGAGTTTGATCCCCGGCCAACCAGGGAGCAGCCCACATGGCACACCTCTTCTGTCTCGCCCGCTGCTCCCCTCAGCGGTGTACTTCGGTCAATCTGCCTGTTCTGTTCCCCACTCTGTCTCTGGTGAATCCTCTCACCCCTAACACCTCTAGCCTGTACCCCAGCTTTTATATTCAAAAATAAATAAATCTTAAAAAAAAAAATACCAGTGTAGTGTGAACCCAGATATGACAGAGACAGCAGCCAAAGTATACAGGTGCCTGTAGGCCATGTTAAGAAGTTTACACTTTATTCTACCATATAATGCCACTAAAGAGTAGTTTTGAAGGCCCAAAAGTCTTCAAAAAGTAAAATACTGCAGGTTCTTCATTTAGTCTTGTAGGTCTTATGATCTTCAGAGCAACTATTCAACTGTTTTGTGAAGTGCAAAAGTCGCCATAGATATTACATAAACATATGGGAGTAGCTGTTTGCCTATAAAACTATTTTTAGAAATAGGTAGCCGAGGGGCCATAGTTTGCTGAACCCCTACTGTAGAGGGTTTTGGCAGTAACAGTTGTGGGGAACAGGAATCAAATTATTTTACATGCACATTAGGTAACAGAGCTAAATTAATAATTTACGACCAAAAAAACCTCTGATAAAAAAATTCGAACATTGCAAACAGACTATGAATATAAAGAATTAACACATCCTATTTAAACTAACAAGTGAAATTAATGTAAACTCAAACTGTTTGATAAACTGAGATATATTTCATGCAATGCTAGATTCCAGATAACTGCTAGATCAGTCCACTGGAAAACTTAGGACTTTCTTTAAAAATCCCTCCCCTAGTTCCTAGTGAATTACAATAACAAGAGATACCTTAAGAGGCACGAAGGCAGAAGACTGAGGCAGCATAGCAGCACAGCCCACTTGATTCAACCCTGTCAGCGACTAAATAGCAAAAGAGAAAGAAGAAACAGGCAGTATTTTTGTTAGCAACTGTCAGGGAGGCAGGCAGGCAGGCAGGCAGCTGGCTGGTCAAGAGTCTGGTCAGTGAAATTAGAAGAGGAAAGGAAATTGACAACTTTCAAAACGTTTACTAATGTCACTGATAGGGCAAAAAGAGAATATTTGGGGAAAAACCCCCAAAATTTATAAAGCAGTTTTTCTATCTCTACAATTCAAAATATTTTAATACCTCATATCATATTAAGCAGGAAATGAAAAGCATGATTTGTTAAAAATGGTTCTGAGTAGAAACTCAGAACATCAGTATCTTTCAGCAAAACAGTTCTAAAAATGAGTGAGTCCTAGAATGGTCTCATGACAGAGAAACTAATCCAGTCAAAGAGTGCATTTTAACTGAGCAGAAAGAGTATAAGAACAATTTTTTAAAAATATTAATCCAAATTAGATTTATTATAATTCAATAATGTTTCTGATGTGAGAAGCCAGGACATAAGGATTCCGCAACATACCTTAAGAATAAACCAGCATTTTCTTTGTGCCTTTGTGAAAGTCCAAATGACCTCTAAGAGGGTAAGTGGAATTTTCTTTTACTTTGAATCCTTCATCTTTTCACTAATCTACGTACAACTAGTTAGATCTACGTTAGAGATGTAACTAGAGATAAGAAGCTAGAATCTATTGTGTTGAATTATAGGTAAGTGCTGCTCAATATATGACAATATTTTCATTTGGTGAAAAGAGGAAATCAGAGTAGGCAGGACTTTCACAAAGGGCATAGCATAAGACTGTACTTTAAATTTAATAAATGCTAAAGACTTAAAGATATTAAAGCCTTTACAAGTTAAATAGATACAAAAATTTAAACCAGGATCACAAATATTTGAATTGTGGGATAAATAACAAACATGTGGGAGTTTACAAGTTAGATGGCCAGCACAATAAGCTGCATTCTTAAATGAGAGCTTATAGACAGCCATGCCTTTTTTTTTTTTTTTAAAGCACGTAGCACACACTGCAACATAATCTATCTTGAGGTAGAAAAAAGTAAAGTTGCAATGTACCAAAGAAAAAGAATGTGACAACATACGCTGTGTATGCTTCACCTATTTAGATTCTGGCCTGCCTTAAAATTGATTATACTGGAATAACTGCTAATCCAGTATAAATGAATGCTTATGTTATATAAATTTGTTATAAAAAAGGCTAGAAGTCACTATAATCTGTAAAAAAAAAAAAAAAAAAAAAAAAGGAAAGGAGAAATGGCAAGTAGTGAAATGAACCTCCACAGTTTTTAGTACCCAGAAATGGGATAGAGATGCTGGTGGGAGATAGATGAAAGCACATAAGCCAGAAGGGCAGCTCTAAGAGAATTCAGTGTAAATGATATTAAATGTTACAAATACTTATTTCAAGCCTATATATTTCAAGGTCTTTAAAACAAATTCGACATTATAGCATCAGACCTTTTCATCATGAAACAATCTACTGAGCAAGTATTAGGTGCACAGCATTTATGTGCTCATTCAGGAAATATTTATTAAGTACGTAATATATCCCAGGAACAAAGACAGGGACTGAGTACACATATGGAAATGAAACAGAGACTATCCCTGTGCCCATGATGCTTAGAGTCTAGCAGTCTAGTAAGGGAGAAATATAAAACAATAACCACCTATCTAAAATACTATGAAGAAAAAATAACAGCAGAGACATAAATTTGATTTTGGGGTAAGGGGTTACAGATAAAACACATTAAAGATGACAGATGAGTAGTAATTAACCAAGGACTATATGGAGGGAAGGAGAGAAAGTCATGCAGAAGGAATAGCATTTGCAAAAGACCTGAGGGAGGAAAGCACTTGCTCTATTTGAAAAGCTGAAAAAAATACTGGTATAGTGTGAACCCAGAGAATGACAGATGAACAGCAGCCAAAGTATACAGGTGCTTGTAGGCCATGTTAAGAAGTTTAGACTTTATTCTACCATTCAAAGTCACTGAAGAGTAATTTTTGGACACTATTTGGCATATAAAACTATGTGAGATATGGTCATTGCTTAGAAAGGCCATCTAATTTAGGTGAAATAACTGTGTGTGATATGCGCATTTTGAAAATAGTTGAAGGTCATTTCAAATTTCATGCTAAAGAGATTTTGCTGTTATTTCTCTAAATTCTACTTTTTTCTTGACAAAAAAAGTCTGGGCACTCAGATGATTTACTACATATGTAATTAAATCTCATCTTTAGTTTTCTAAATTGTCTTCAATTATAATGGAGGCAGTACAGCATGGTGTTTAATGCCTTTTCTCAAGTCAGCTAGATCTAGATTTAAACCCAACCTTGTACTTGCTAGCTATGTGACCCTGTACAAGTCACATTCAAGACAAAACATTCTGTGCCTCAGGAGTCATTTGTAAAATGGTGATAAATTTAATCTTAACTCTAAGGTTGCTGCAAGGAGTGAATGAGATAATTCTGGTTAAGTTTCTAAATCATCAAAGGCACTCAATATTTTTCTGCATTTATTTAAACTATAACTTGCTTCTCATATTAATTAACTTCCACTGAAATTCCAGAGGCTGGTGGTTGTATTTATCAATAAGACTGCCAGTTAAAATGTGCTGAATCCATCTCCAAGGAAATACGGATTGCACAATACACAGAAATTTTAATAGACAATGGAAGTTTATGTAATAGGAATGTCATGCTTAAAGTATATAGTTCATGTAGTATGTGCAATGGTAGACTAGCACATAAGACAGGGATTGCTATAGACAGATTTTTTTTTTTAATGGTAAGTTTTCAATACTACTGTAAAAAAACATAAAACATGATGGAGAATCATGTAAATGATTAGAATTCTTTCACAAGGCTGATAAAAGACTTTCAATAAAGTTTTCTTGTTATATTCATGTTCAGTTACTGAAATGGGCAATGAAAGAAAACCAATGTTAAAAACTATCAGTATATAGCATTCAAAGTTAGTGTTTTCCTGAGCTCAAAAAATGGGAATGGAGAGATAATCCTGAGATGTAGGTTTTTTGTTGTTGTTTTTTTTTTTTTTTTTTTTTTAGGTCAAGGATTTTCAGTAGCTTAAAATAGATAAAATAGGATGCCAAATATAGTTGTATAATTAACATTATAGAGGGAGGGAATCCATTTAACACACAGATGATCATGAGTCAAACTAATAATTAATAAAATAAGTGCATCTGGAATTAGATATGACATTTAAAAAATAATATAATACATCTGCTCCTCCCAAAAGACATACAATGCCAACATAGTTCTCAATGCAAATATTTTACTTTTGGCAGGACTAACAAAGACACTGAATCCTAACTGCAGAACACTGGAATACTGGGTAAACCATAAATAGTAATGTAGGAAACAGTTGTAGCTATTTGTAAAGTATTTAGTAATGATGTTTATCATGTTTTATGATATTTAGCAAATTTCAGAATGTAAAGTATAATAGCTATTCTTCAATTTTTAGATCCAGCAATGTAAAACTCAATTTTGGGCAAGGCTCTTACCACTAACAAGGCACTATCATCAGTGTGCTGAGACCTTCTGGATGGAAAGTGACACTGGAGAGGTGAAGAAAAATGAAGCAATGTCAAAAATAAACTATGCATACACACAATGTATTCTGCAAATACACACATAAGCAGAGAGACATATTAAGACATACTTGGGAAGATGCTGACATATGAGACCATATTCATAATCATTTGGAATTCATGTACCCTAATAGCTAATATGTTGATTTTAAGTAATGATTTTCTTCCAAAGAGCTCAACACCTTCAAATATGATCTTACTGCCTAAAAACTTTCTAAATCAAAAAGGGAAAAGGGATTATTCTCTGTTCACAGATAAGAAAGCTGAAGTATAGATGAGTAATAACATAAAGAATTTGTGGTCATTTCGTGAGTCAGTGACAAATTAAAAGCAATACATCCAAAATCATGATTTCTAGTTTAGGCATCTCTTCATTACCTTTCTTACAAAAAACATAAGCATATAATTGGAAATTTTTAAAGTGTACTTAAGAAGTTGTACATTTTTCCTGAGAAGTTTTGGTTTTCAGAAAATGATTTACTCCAGAATGACCATAAAGAAGGTACTGCTGGAGTAAAAAAGGAGTGTACTAACTTACCAAATTTGGTTGTCAAAGGTTTGTACAGAATTATTACTACGTGAAAAAAGACTGAAAATGCTTGAGTGAATCTTTCAAGTATTATAGCAATACATAAGTCCTCCAATAAATAAAAAGTAGTTATTATATGTCTGTCAATATTTTAAGAACTCTTTTATATTGAATAGTTAACGTTTCAAATACATCTTACCATTCTGGAAACACTATGCTTCAAAAACATTGTGCTGAAAATTGATGCTTGTAAAGTCCCATTTGCTAGAATCTCAAATAACTTATTTTATAAAAAGCAAAGTCAAAATTCACATGAAATAATGCCTTTATACATTTTTTAAGGAAGTAATGACCATAAATTGAAAAAATGAGAAGGCAAAGATAAAGGAAAGTGGCTAATGAGAAAGCCAAATTCAATAAAAACATTTATTTAGTACCGGATGGTCTCACTCATAGCAGGAATCTAGAAAACTTAAATAAGGGACCAGGAAAATGAATATAAGAAAGTGAAAATCAAAATCAACAAAAAAACTATGAACCAGAGACACTTTTTGGGGGGGGGGGGGCGGGAGGGGAAGGATTGGGGTCAGAATGGGGCGTTTGCAATTGTATGGGGGAATATAAAAATAAAATTTAATATTTAAAAAAAAAAAAAAAAACAAAAAAAACATTTATTTAGTAAGCTTTATTTTGACAGATCAAAATAGGTCCTTAAATTTTTAAAAGGTTGAACAATTAATTTTAACTTGTAATGATCATGTACTACTTAATAATATAAGACTAATGCATACAAAGTATAATTGAAACATGAAACTTAGGAAATGAGCACTAAAGCTGAAATACCTTTTATGTTTAATAACAATAACATTCACCCATGTCAAATACAGCTACCATGACTATCTCTCATTACATAGTATGCTTTGAAAATGGAGAGATGATACATCTGGTCGGAGTGGTGGAGAGACATAAATACTCTCCAGATGAATGTGTATAGAATTAAAAAGCCTCTATCTGTGAATTCTGATAAATTCTCTGGCCTGTGTCTTCTTCCTATAAGAAGAATTTTGTGAGGGGGAGTGGGGGAGAAAATGGCAATATTTTGATCACTGGAAACACATGATAATCACATGCAAAATGTTTCATTTCCATTGTAATAACAAATACTTCCAAAGAAAAGGTGATTATATAGACTTACCTCATCATCAAAGTGTGGTTGTTGTTTTTGTGGACTTTGTGACGCTTTTTGCTGTATATTCCCCACCCCCCCAAAAAAGGGAAGTTAGTTAGAATCTTGAATACTGGAAATGATACAATCTATTTCCTAATATAACTACTTACATTAATTTCTGTATCTTTTGCATATGATACTGTTCTAGACTTACTGGTTAGAAGATATTGCTCTTTCCTTTTAAGTAGCTTACAATTTAAATGCAGGAAAGCAATAAAATGACACAATACTTTCATATGGCTATAAGCATCTATAAATAGAAATTTGAAAAACTTATACATACACATATATAAACACATTCACAGTCAGAGTGGTGATCTTTCACTATATGCTTGCTAAAAAATTATTCTCTCTTCCTCTAAGGGTTTCAAGTATCACTCTGATGCTAAGAGCTTTATCTTTTTCCTATAAATGAAATCTCAGGTTTGTATTTTCAACTGCCCATGGAAACTCTCTACTTGGAAACTTTACTGTCACCTCAATTTCATCATATCCAAAGCATACACACAAATTCCTATACTAACTGGCCCATTCCCCAAATTTGCTCATTTATGTTAATACATCAAATAATAATAACACCTGTGTACAGTGTTTTTATAATGTGTTCCTCTGCACAGTATCTCACATAATTCTTCTTACTCTTGGAAGTAAACAAAAATCACAAATATAGTCATTTAAAGATGACAAAATTGAGAAGAAAAGAGATTAAGTGCTATGTGCAAGGTCACAAATTTGGTAAGTAGCACAGCTGAGATTTGCACCTATGCCTTCTGACTCTAAATCCTATTCTTTCCACAATGCTAGACTAGCACTGAAATCATTCTTTTAACCTCAATATCTTGCTTTGGGGCCTTTTATCCCACTCATCTTCAATGACTTATTCAACATCCACTACATATTTATGTACAAGGCATAATACTTCTCTTGGAATCTCCCCTATAGCAAATTTATAAAATCCAATGTGGTGGTAGGAGGCACAGCACTCACCATACTAATTAATTAGGCACATCCATAATAATTCTGGAATACCTAATATTTAATAATTAAATATTACACATGAGGCAACTAAAGACACACACTTTCCAAAAGTTAAGCATATACTGAGTAGCAAAACTAGATGCAAATTTCTGACCCGGAGCACTTTCTGTTAATACTGTCTCTCCTTTAGAATTCTCAGAAATCACCTAGTTTTATGTCCTCATTGTGTATCGTACCCTAATTATTGCAATTACTTTCTAATTCATTTTCTTCTTTCTAACATATTCCAACATGAGTAGATTAGCTTTTCATTCTTTGTCTCGGGTTTTTCTTTTGCTTTACAATTTATTCTCTTGTGCTTAATAGATCAAGATTCAGCTCTAGGGGGTCCTCCCTGGTGGTTCTAAGAGTTAAGTCTCAGCACTATGAAGCAATCCACAGCCACTGCAGCATGAGTTCAATCCCCAGCCAGGGAGCTAACCCATATGGCGCAGCAGATCTCTCTTATCTTGCCCACTGCTCCCCTCAGCAGTGTATTTCAGCCTGTCCTGCTTACCACTGTCTCGGGTGAATCTTCTCACACCTTACACCTTTGGCCTACACCCCAGTTCCTGTATGCATAAATAAATAAATCTTTAAAAAAAAAAGATTCAGCTCTAATCTGAAATTTCATTAATGTGATTAGCTCTTACTAGCTTATGATTTCTACACAAGGCAAGCTAAATGACTTAATACATGTAAAATGTATAGGACAGTACTGAGACTACAGTAAGAACCAGCTATGATTATTTACTGAGAGTCAGTACAGCACTATGGTGACAGAGTAGGGTTTGGAGGCAGCCTGTCTTGAATTGAATTCTTGCTCCACCACTTATGAGCTGAGTATTTAACCCTAGGCAAGGTGTTATTTTCTTTTGAGTATTAAAGCTCATTATCATGGGCCTGACATGTTTGAGTATTTATAATAAGAGTATTTATAATGTGTATAGTACTTAAAGAAGATGGTCTTCAATTTATGAAACACAAGAGAGAGGCACTCGGGGAACAAGAGAGATTCTTTCATTAAACCGTTCAGTTAACAAATATTTACTGAGGGGCCTCCCTGGTAGCACATGGGGTTAAGACGCAACCTATGAAGCTTTATGCAGTCACTGCAGCACGAGTTCAATCCCTGGCCAGGGAGCTACCCACATGGTGCAGCAGACCTCTCCTGACTCACCTGCTGCTCCCCTCAGCAGTGTATTTCAGTCAATCCACCTGTTCTGTTCCCAACTTTGTTTCTGGTGAATCCTCTCACCCCCGAAACCTCTGGCCTGTATCCCAGTTCTTGTTATGTATAAATAAATAAATCTTTAAAAAAAACACAAACTAATATTTACTGAGCTTTACAATGGGCTAGACTCTAGCAGGGACATAGCAGTGATAAACAAGGCATGGTATCTATCTTCATGATGTTTACAGATAAACTGGAGAGATATAATCAAATAAAAATACAAATAGTTATGAAGAAAATATATCAAGGCAACTATAGAAGAAAAAGTCTGAAGTAATACAGGCAAAATAAACCCACAACAGGTTTTGGTGCAACTATAGAGGCTGAAAAATATTTAAAAAGAATATCAAGAGGGGTTGATAATTGAGAATGCAAAGAGAAAATGGAAAGAATCAAAAGTGACATTAAAGCACTAATCCTGGGGTCCTGCAAATTTTTGGTATTCATTAGAATGAAAAAATTAAGAGAGAGGTTTGGATAACAATACATCTGTGTGGCTCTTTAAGCACTTTCACAACCTCACTGATCTTTACTAATGCACTGGAGATTGAGGAAATGGCAGCAGGACAGTAAAGTGGTATGTTTAATTACAAATTACCAATTAAGAGTAAGAGGTCACTGTCCTAAGACCAAGATAATCACTTCTGACGGTCCATCCATGGGAACCATTAATCTAATCACAAGCAGGGGCAGCTACATGACTTAGTCAAGATTCCTTACAGTTGATGAAATTCATATGGAACCAAAAAAACTTTGAATAGCCAAAGCACTGCTGACTAAAAAGGAGAATGGAGCTATCACATTTCTGGACTTCAAACTATACTACTAAGTCATAATCAAAACAGAATGGTACTGGAACAAACAGACATACAGACCAATGGACTCAAACAGAAAGCCCAGAAATAAAGCCACACGTATATGGACAACTAATCTCTGACAAAGGAACAAAGAATATGAAATGGAACAAGGACAGTTTGTTCAACAAATGGTGTGGGAAAACTGGACTACCACACGCAAAAGAATGAAACTACACTACAACCTCACACCATGCACAAAAATAACTCAAAATGGATAAAAGAATTGAAAATAAGACCTGAAACTATAAAATATATAGAAGAAAATATAGGTAAAATACTACATGACATATGTCTCAGTAACATCTTTAAAGACTCATCTCCCAAAGCAAAGAAAGTGAAGAAAAAGATAAACAGCTGGGATTACAACAAACTAAAAAGCTTCTGTACAAGGAGTGGGAAGAGCACAAGTGTCTATGCTGAGGGTACATGGGTGGATTGGTGCTGGGAATTTCACGGGGACTATAACCGAGATGAGAAAGCATACATTGTACAAAAATGAAGAATGATGTAAAAAATATATAAAACTGAAAAAAAAAAAAAAATGCTTCCGTACAGCAAAAGAGGCATTAGCCAAAACAAAGAGACACCCTATTGGCTGGGAGAAAATTTTTGCACTCCATGCAACTGATAAGGGACTGATGACAAAGATCTACAAAGAACTCATATGACTCAACAAAAACAAAGTACACAATCCAGTCAAAAAATGGCAGAAGAGCTAAAAAGACACTTCTTCCAAGAGGAAATGCAAATGGCCAACAGTATGTGAAAAAATGTTCAATATCCTTATAATCAGGGAAATGTAAATCCAAACCACAATGAGATACCACCTTACCACCAGTGAGAAAGGCACACGTTAAAAAAAAACAGGAAACGGCCACCTTGGTGGCGTGAGGGGTTAAGCGTCACACTATGAAGCAATCTGCAGCTTCTGTCTGTAGCACGAGTTCAATCCCCGGCCAGCCAGGGAGCAAACCACATGGTGCAGCAGACCTCTCCTGGCTTGCCTGCTGCTCCCCTCAGCAGTGTACTTCGGTCAATTTGCCTGTTCTGTTGCCCACTCTGTCTCTGTCTCTCACCTCCTGCAACTCTGGCCTGTCCCCCAGTTCTTGTATGCATAAATAAATAAATCTTTAAAAAAAACCCAGGAAACAACAAATGTTGGCATGGATGTGGAATAAAAGGAAACTCTCCTACACTGCTGGTGGGAATGCAAACTGGTCCAACCACTATGGAAAGCTGTCTGGAGGTTCCTCAGTCTACTAAAAATGAAACTACCATATGACCCAGCAATTTCACTCCTAGGAATCTACCCAAAGGACACGAAAATATTAATTCAAAAGGATACCTGCACCCCTATGTTTACTGCAGCACTATGTGTAATAGGTAAGATATGGAAACAACTCAAATGCCCAAAAATAGATGACTGGATCAAGAAGATGTAGTATAGATACACAATGGAATACTATTCAGCAATCAAAAAAAGATAAACTCATGCCATTGGCAGCAAAATGGATGGAGCTAGAAGGGATTATGCTCAGTGAAATAAGCCAGAATGAAAAAGAAAAAAAATAGGAGGGTTTCACTTATAAGAGGAATATAGGGGAACCAAATAAGAGATCAGGGAAAAAATAATTAAAAAAAAAAATGGCAGGCAGCTGTACATCAGAGACATTCTACGAGGAGGGAAAGGGAGAAGGATCAGAACAGGGGAGGGAAAAGCACAGGGGACTATGGTGATGGTGCATGGGTGAATGGAGGGTGGGAATTCTATGCGGTCTACACCTGAGAGGAGAAAGCAAACACTGTACAAAAACAAACAACGATGTAAAATATGTATAAATAAATTAATTTATTTTTTTAAAAAAGAAATTCCTTGCAGTGAGAAAAAGGTGACATTTTAATTAACACAACAAAAGCTGACAGCCTCAGCAAAACAAATAAGCACTTACTTGTAAGGAACTTAAGGAATACCATTCAAAGAATTCAAAGGACTCACCTTGACGAAGTCCAAGACAGCATCTCTTTGAATCTGCTTGGTCCTTATTTTTTCCTCCTCATACTGTAAGGCGGCAAGTTGTGCCTCTCTGCGAGTACGCTCTACTAATTGTTCTCTTCTCTGATGAAATTCTAAGTCTGTATGTGATAACTAAAACAAAAATATCATTTTGCACAGGCAAGTGGGGATTAGGATCAGCTTATCAATATTCCTTATCAATTGAGGTACCTACTGCTAACTCAAACAACTTTTACTTTGCAGTCACCTTGGATTGCTTTAAATTTGTTTATTGCTAATCGTTCCCCCTCTTGGTTGTGTTCTTATATGTATTATAAGAAGCACTGCGTGAGTAAAGATTTTCTGTCTAGTTCTAAAAACACTGTCACATGTATCAGGTGCATGTTTTATTAACTAAATGTTTGAGAAGACAGGCAACAAAGTTTCCAGACACCTGGCAATTAGTGGTCATTTTAATATTATAACAGATGAAAACTACCTTAGTTAAAAAATAAATAAAAACTAGGAACAGCAAAAACCAGATTACCTGATTGTGACCTGGTGTTAATGACAAGACTGAAGAAGATGGTTCAACTGGACCCCTGATCCAAAAAAGAAAAGGGAAGGATTCTTTGATAAAACAGACAAATATATAAAAGAGAAGTGAGATCTTATTGTTAATGTAGCTTTCTATTAATCAATAGGCAAACTGCCTAGTCAGCACCGAAAGATGAACTGCAGTTTATAAACTTGAGCCCACATCATTAAATTAAAGTACAGGAACACCTGATGTCTCCAACTTAAGTTTCATGCAATGATATCACTTATCAAGCTATTGCTAAAACTGCCTGTCAGCCGGTGATGATACAGTTATTTGAGACCACTTTACAAAAAGTATAATTTATTCATAGCAGATACAACTATCCTCTTCTTTACTACCATGATTCAAACACGATACATGCAAATGGAGATCTTTTTTTACACACAGCATTTATCAACAGATGTCTGGATTACTACAGAACCTGCTAACTATTCTTGTAAAGCACTCCTATTCCTATTTTCAACTGCAGTTTTAATGACAAAGATTCTATTGATTTTTTTTTATGTTTAAGAAAAAGATGAAACCAATATGAAAGTTTAAAAAATAGTAAAACTTGCTTCTTCCTTTCATCAGTTGATATTTACTTTTTTCCTGAAGTAGATTTTAGTTTTTCAAGTCTCAGTTATTGATCTATCTCTAAAACTAACAACGTTTGGAGCTGTGCTTTTTTGACACTTAGGCTGAAATTTTATCAGTCTGTTGGGTTGATTTAAATGTATTATGGGAAACAAAAACAAAGCCGCCAGTAATTTCTGATTGCCACCCACCAGTGATATAAGACCTGCTAGTAACATCCACTGTCCCTTTGGCAAACAATTACCATAACACAACACATTTTCAAATATCTCCTGGGGAGCAGTGCTATTCCTCATTAAAAAACACTGGTCTACCTTATACCGCCTCGAATTTTATTTTATTTTTTTTATTTTTTAAAGATTTATCTATTTATGCATACAAGAACAGGGATACAAGCCAGAGATGCGGGGGGTGAGAGGATCCACCAGAGACATAGTGGGGATCAGAACAGGCAGACTGACTGAAATACACTGCTGAGGGGAGCAGCAGGTGAGACAGGAGAGGTCCACTGCGCCATGTAGGTAGCTCTCTGGCTGGCCAGGGATAGAACTTGTGTTGCATAGGCTGCGGATAGCTTCATAGTGCTGTGCTCAACCTGTTGCACCACCAGGGAGGACCCCTTGTGCCACTGGGGAGGCCCAAACCTCCTTGAATTTTAAAAATTTAATATGTAAGAAAACAAAAATTTAAGTTACTTTATTGTTTTCATCCTATCCATGTTTTTTAAATATTGGTTCCAATTTTTTGAAGTATTCACAGAATTCTTTTAAAATTTTTTCCTAGGCATTAAACAAAACATGCTGACAGAATAAATTACACTTATAAATTTTAAAAGTAGGGCCTCCCTGGTGGTGCAGCAGGTTGAGCACTGTGCTGTGAAGCTGTTTGCAGCCTCTGCACCAAGGGTTCGATTCCCTGCCAGCCAGGGAGAAACCCACAAGGTATGGCAGACCTCTCCTGCCTCGCCCACTGCTCCCCTCAGCAGTGTCTTCAGTCCGTCTGCCTGATCTGCTCCCTACTCTGTCTCTGGTGAATTCTCTGACCCTCCCGTGCCTCAGACTGCACCCCAGTTCTTGTACAAATAAATAAATCTTTAAAAAAAATAAATTTTGAAAGAAGCAGAATAAATTACTTCCTTAGACAAGGTTTAAAATAACATTAAAGCTGGAGAGAAAAACTTCCTTAACTTTATATTAATCCTTGATAACTTCTATCTTAGTGCTCCTAGTCAGTGCATCCTCAGTCAAAAGATGTTATTCTAGTAAATATTTGACATGTCAAAACAACTCTGCAGATGAAATTAAGTTGACCTTTAAATGGGGAGATAATCTCCAGGTGGGTCCAATGTAATTGTAGGAACCCATAAAAACAACAGAAGGCAAGGGAGTCTGTGAGATGAGACAGAAAGGTAAATGAGAAAGATTCAAGACATGTGAAGAATTTGGCATATCAACTGCTGGCTTGAAGGTGGAGGAGCCACAAACCAAGGAATATGAGTAGATTCCAGAAGCAAAAAATGATTCCCAGCTGATTGTCAGTGAGGTAATGTGGGCCTCAGTCTTGTAACTTACATGGAATTGAATTTTGCCAACAACCTGTACGAGCTTGGAAGTGGGTTCTCCCACACGGTCTTCAGAGAAGGGAATCTAGGTCAGTCAACATATCACAACACTGAGACCCAAAAAACCATGACAAATCTATAGAACTCTTATATAATAAAGGGGTATATTGTCAGGGGCTAAATTTGTGGTAATTTGTTATAAAAGTATTAGAAAACTAATACAAAATGTAACAAGATTTAAAAAAAGTCAATTTTCACCTTGTATATCTTTACTAAATCCTAGAGATTTTTGAACTTTGTGATGGTTGTGGACAGTAAAAGGGACAGGAGATAAGGTGCAAGTCCACACAAATATAATATAAAATATAACAGAAAATTCCTCCATGAAACTGGATTGCAAAAGACTGCATCCTCAATATAAGGACAAATGGCAACTAAAAGTTTACCATTTTGAGGTAAATTTCAAAGCATAAAATTTAATTAAAATTGAAAAGTCTGAGTTACAAACTTTTCCCCATTATTCTCCCCACATTCTCTTCATCCATCTATAGCACAGCCCCCTAAGCAAATTTATTATCTTGTCAAATACAACAATGAACTATGTATGACAGTTTCTACATAGTCAATTTACTGTTGTTTAAGAATAAGCTTATCAAGACTATTGCTTTGCGACTTCACAAAAACAGAGGAAGCAAGAGTTGGGAATTCTTCAATTATTGTGATACAGTTATGGCAAGATACATTTTGCCATTCAAGAATATGCAGCAGTGATTTAAATGGTCAATGCACAAATATTCTGTGATGCACTAAGTACAGTGGAAAGATCATATCAATTGAGATAGGAACAAGAATGCTAATTATTATTACCTCTCTCTTACCTAGTCAAAGTTTAAATAAAAAATTTTCAGGACTCCTAAAATTCATATAGCATGAATTCAGCTATATCTTCCTAAACTTTCACTACTATGAAGTATCTTAAAATTAATTGCACAAATTAAAGCTTGTAATACTCTGAATTTAGAATCAATTCTATTTCTTTTTCTACTACATGAGCACTAAGCATACTGTCACCTGTACAAACATGGTATCTAAAACACAGTTTCTACACACAGATCTGCAAAAGTTAGATCTTCGTTATACACAGATCTGAAAAAAAAACACAGTCATTTCATGCTCTTATCAGGATTTAAGGCTGAAACAAATCAGTAGAATTGGCTTTTCAAACCTGTTTTGATGTGTATATCTTCTCATGTCTTCTGTTTTGTGAAACTCCCTAATGGGTACTGGCTTTACTGGTGAACCCTAGGTCAAAAAAGCAGAAACAAATAAATTTGACATATGTATTCTGAATACTGAGATTATATGGTTTTTGTTCAATTTGGTATTTAGGAAATCAGTATATTACACATAAAGTATTTGAACAGAATCATCAAGTGTGAATTTTTATGTTTAAAAGCATTTTAGGCTATATTATTACTTTGGTAACCAAATAGTCATAATCCAAAAATTTTTACTTTATTAAAAAGTATTTCCTTCATAACATATTAATTATAGTGATAACAAAGCATTATTCACTGAATAAGTTTTTTCAGTTGGAAAGAATCTTACAGATCCTCTTCTATCTAGAACAGGAAATCCTACCGATTCTACCCTAACATTTTCTCAGCCTCTCAACACTTCTTGTAGTAGGGAGTTAATTAAACAGATTGTATTTCTTTATTTCTTCACAACTACAGATTGTTACTTATGTTTGTCATATAAAATGTACTTGGGATAGTGGTGAAATACCAAGATAAAACAAAAAGCAGTTTCTACTTACGGTTAAATGATATTAATTAAAAGAGAAATATTACTGGCAATGTTTATAAGCCAAAGCTAAAGGTCATTTTAAATAACACTAGTAGGAAAATTAAGGTATTTTTAAATGATATGGTCTACCTACTGAAAAAGGAAATTATAGGTTACCAAAGTATATATTTTATCAAGTGAAAATCTATAAAAGCAATATATCTTATTTAAACACAGAAAAATAATTAAAATGAATATTCTGTAGGGGAAATATAAGAAAACAACCTATGCAAAAATAGTATGTAAAAATCAAATGCAAAATTATTTAGTCCACTTCTAAGAAATGAATAGTACATGACACATCATAGAAAATCTTTGGTGAGTTATTCCAAAGAGCTGAATCCAGTGCCTTATTAATAGAGTAGTATCCCTGCCTGTCCTAAAAGGCTGAAGCTGATTTCTTTATATCTGGACAGCATGAGCATATAAAAGGAAACACAATTTTAGAACCATCTGAAAGAATAACTGCTTTAACCATAATGAATAAGGTTTTCTTACAAAAATCTCTCTTAATATCAGTATCTTATCACTCTGGTGATGCTGTAATTATCTATAATTATTGCAAGAGGTATATAAACATTTTCATGACAAAAAGAATATGATATTGACTTAATTAAAAAATTTAATGTCACACTACAGAAATACAAGTCACATCCTATTTAATTATACCTCTATATTTGTAAGAGATAGTATAATAAAAATGAAACAATATCATAATTTTAAAAATCTCAAGCAGTTTAGCTTTTTAAAAATAATTTATTTTAAATAGTATTCAAGAATATAAAAAAATTTCTCCACTAATAGTTAAACTTCTAAAATAATACTATTCTTATAGAGGCCCAATTTTAAGACATCCCTGACACAGAAATCATGAAGATCTTTTTGAAATCATAAAAACCACGATACATATAGGAAGCTGAAATTTAAAAAACGTATTACAAAATAGCCAATATAGTAGGATTGAAAAAATGGTGCCACAATTTTTCACCAGTAGTGTAACAGGCATTTTCACTTTCACATAAATACCCCACAATACAGCTCAATTAACCATAAAAGGATCAAAGAAAAAGAACGCCAGAAAAGAGAAAGGACTCCCTTCAAGATTTTAATGTATATTGCTAACTCTAATTTTATTGTGAAGTATGAAGAGTTGCCCTTTGCTCCAACAGGTTTGCTTATAGCCTGAACCGCAAGTGATTTCATCACCTGTACATTGCTGTCTCTGCACTGCAGGACTTTTTATCCAACTTTAAATACAAGAGTATATTCTTCACACCAACAAACAAAAGGCTTCAGATAAGAAAACCAAAGGATTTAAAAAAAAAAAAGAATGGTATCATTCCATAACAGGTCCCACTTGCAGTGATTTTTCGCTATTTCTAAAAGGCTAAATACATCATTCTCCCAGAGGCCCCAAGTGTTTCTCAAATAACCCCTGCTCAGAGCCTGGGAACAACTCCAGAAGTCAGCATCATACATACTGAAGTGGAGCCATTTTATTATGCTGACTAGATACACTGAAGAATGCTATTTCTACTTGAGACCCTTGGGGAATTGCCAGAGATTCTGTAGTGTGCTGAATACTCATTTGTTTTCTAAGGCAACTCAATACTCGACTCTAAGAGACATCTCAGAATTTTAATGGAAAACAATTTATATTCTGTGTGACACAGCATAAAAGCTCCAAAATAATTAAGCTCCATATAAAAAATTTACAGCTATGTCCATTTTTTTTTTTTTTTGCTAAATGTCAGTATTTTGGTTCAATTATTAATTACTGATAAAATTCCAATTTATTTGTTGGTAACAATCAAAAAGCAGTAAGAACTACAATGAAAAACATCATATTCCTTTCCATTTCAAAGGTCGTAAGATATACTTAAGACTCCTTTTATTCTTCAAAATTCTGAAATGTCTTTTTATTTGAAAAGTATTGTCTGATTTTTAAAATAAAGTGGAAAAACTCAGCAATAAAATTAAAATGATTACACCTAACCCAAAATTTGTTGGTTTATGACAGAAAATTATACTATTTATGAATTGTTTTTACTAGGGGGAAACAACATATTTAGGCTAAAATATTTGTACTACCTCATGAGTGATTCGCCTTTGTTCAATATATGCCATAAACTGGGAACTAAGGCTGTCTGAGTCCAGGGCCTTGGGCTGTCTCACTTCATCGTCCTCCTCCTCTGCAGTACAGCTGTCAATGTAGTCAATCTGATCCAGATCATGTTCCACTGTCCACACCAAACATACACACCAGGGGGGAAAAATCAAATTAGACAGTCAACAGAAGACGTGAAATTGTATTCCTTCCTTTCTCCTAAATTTTCTATTCTCAAAGTGGAAGAAATGAGAAGTTTAAATTATGCTAGTCTTTATTATTTAGTTTATGGCCACTCACAAAAACAGTCTCCAGAAAAATCTTGGTCCTAATTCACTAAACGATGTAGTAACTGATGATGATTATTGGAACACAAATCTCTAATATTTCTTTATTCTTTAGAAAACTCTTTGTTTTAAAAAGATGAGTTTGTGAGATAGAAAAAGGAAGAATAATTTTTAAATACTGAAAGATACATCTTATTTTATGATTTTTCCCCACATTTAGAATTGAGGCTTAATCAAATCTCTTGGATTTGGAGGAGCTGAGAAACAGGGAACCTAACACAGTTAACGCAAAAGAAAATAGAAAATGTAGGAGGAAAGTGAGCATAGAGAGAAAGAAATGGATATTGTAACTGTTGTCCATAATTAGAACAAAAAATATTTTTAGAAAATTATTTTGTAGTGATTACCAATACAGATACCTTGCAGCAATTTGTGGATAGAAGGAATTATCAAAGGAATTTTTTCCTTCTCAAAATGCTTTGGAGTAAGGAGAACTGAAATAAACCACATAATTATTCCTTCTAGTAAGCTTGAGAGTTCCCCATTTTTTTAAGTTTAAAAAGCAACAATTTAAATGCTAGATAAAATGGCACAGTAGGAAAAAAATTGCTTATAAGATGGTTTCTTTGAGATGTACTAAATTTTAGCTATTATTTTTATGATTTTTTGTACTGCCTAAAAGTTGAAGACTGGGAACAGCAAATTTGGACAAGTCTATTTCTCAGTTTAGTTTTCTGATTCAATTATTTACAAGTGATGACATACTTGTAACTCATGTAAAAATGAATTTTTTAAGAGTTATACTAATAGTTAAGAAAGATGGAAAGGCTACAAGTCTATGCCCACATTAGAAACCTTGTAGATAAATGCATTATTTTCCAATATGCTATAATTTGTGTGAATATATAAGTGCCTCATTTTATGAGCATTTCCCAAGAAAACATCACTTTTTCATATTATCTACACAAGCCCTTCCAAGAGAAATACAGTGAACTACATATGTAATTTTAAATGACCTATTACATTAAAAAAAGTTAAGACATTAGTTTTAATAATATACTTTATTTTGTCCAATATATGTAAAATTACATTATATTACAACATATAATCAATGTAAAGTATTATTGATAGTCCACTTTTTTTTCATGCAAAGGATTCAAAACCTGATGTGTATTTTACAGTGATAGCACATTTCAATACAGAAAAGCCACCATTTCAAATGCTTAATAACTATATGGGGTAGTGGCTCCCACATTGCATAGCACAGATTTAGACATAATTTTATCTTTGAAATAAACTAATGGAAAAGACATCTCATATGAAAGCAAGATAAAAAAGCAAACTACAGAGGGCCTCCCCAGGGGCACAGCAGGTTGAGCACAGCACTGTGAAGCTGTCTGTAGCCTCTGCAGCGTGGGTTTGATCCCAGCCGGCCAGGGAGATACCCACAGAGCGCGGCAGACCTCTCCTGTCTCGCCCACTGCTCCCCTCAGCAGTGCTTTCGGTCCGTCTGCCTGTTCTTCTGCTCCCCGCTCTGTCTCTGGTGAATCCTCTCACCCTCCCGCACCTCTGGCCTATATCCCAGCTCTTGTATAAATAAAAAAAAAAATCTTTAAAAAAAAAAAAAGCAAACTACAGAAATGTAAATGGAAACTGATAGGAGTAAGAATGAATATAATGTGGTTAAAGGAAAAAAATGACAGCAAACCACTTAATTGAAATCATCACTCAGAGATTAAAGTTCTTCTCAAAGAATGTACTGCATTTCTGGAAAATCAAACCAATCTTCTCCTTATAGGTACCCCTCAAAATTTAAACATTAGAATTTGGCAATTCAAATCAAAGCAATTTTTAATAGAACACTGAACCAAGATGGCTTCAGAAGCACAAGGAAGCAGAAAAAAACTCTGCTTAATAAACAAAAAGAACAATTTCAAATTTTTAAGCAGAATAAGGAAAAGCTGGATTCAGATGCCTTTGAAAACCATAATACCAGATGAACTAGAAAAGGTAAACATCAAGAAATGCACTGAATTCCTGAAGAGATTAAATAATGACAAGAATAGTACTTCAAAAGATAATGGTTAAATCAAGATTAATACATATTTATTTCAGATAAACTGTTTTTAAATAGTTTCCTCCTAAAATAAAAATGATAAACACTGTTTTAATCCTGAAAACAGAGGAAGTGGAATTTAATTTCAAAGGAAAAGAATTTTTTCCTAATGATTTCATCCAATCATGTGAGAAGACGAAGTCCTTAAAAGAACTGAAGTAGCAGCTGCAGAAGGATAAACACAAGGAGTGTATGTGAAATGTCCACTTAAAAAAGCTAGAATGACTATAAAGATTTTAAATACCATCAAGAATTATGTTTACCTCCACCATTTGTCATTACTAAACTGCTGCGATGTTCCTGAAACTGGCTTTCTCGTCGTAGTCTTTGTTCTTTAGTAATTTCTGCTACTCGAAGAGGCAGATCTGAAAATTCATCTGTAGGCTTAAAAAAAATGGCACACACATAAAAAAAAAATTTTAATTTTAGACACCACTGTATTTAATTCATGGAAATAATATAAACTCGTTTATACTTAACAAGAAATAGCAAAAAAAAGTTTTAGAGCTGCAGTGTGACAGTTTCCCAACAATGTGCACTTAATGCCACTAAAACACACTTAAAAATGGTTAAAATGGTAAGTTTGTTATGTATATTTTACCATGATTAAAAAAACCAGAAAAGTATACATGATATTATAAATGCACATATGTACATTAATGTTAAGTATGTACATACATGTATCTATATGGATCCAGCCACCTATACATACACAACCACACACACCTTTAGACACAAGCATTCCCAGTTAGAAATAGACTGTGATCTAAAACTAATTTGCTTTGGGTTCCCAATGAAATGATATTATAAATAAGTTACCAGTCTTGCAAAAAGAGCTTATCTAATCACTTAACCCAATTTATGGATAAAATATCATACCACAGTAATTTTTAAAAGGAGCAAATATAACACTAATGAACAAAAGAGAAAGAGAGATAACTAGCTAAGATAGTTACTCATTTATCTTGAGCCTACAGATATTCTTCACTAAGGTCCTCATGTGTTACCCATTAGCCTATAGTCCTATTTTCTCATCATCCTACCACCTCTGCTCAAGATTATCCAGTCTCTCAAATTTCAAATTTCAGTTGAAAGTGGCTCAGTTCTCATTTGGTTTTCCTGGATATAAAACTATTTATATAAGACAATGAGATAACAAGCATGTAAAACACACATGGTAAAAAGATAGTAAAGAAACAATACCAATTTGGGATGGTAGGATTATGGGGAAATTTTCCCCCCACCCTTGGATTCTGAATCCAATTAAAACGTTTTCCATTTTAATTACAACTCTTAATCAGGAGTTATGCCAAATAGAAGAAACACTTACTTCATTCCCTGACCATCTCTTATCACCACTGTCCACACTATTGAAACCTGAATCAAGGGCTCCATATGGGCGACCTGAGTACAATTCTTCATGGCTGTCAAAAATAAGACTTCAGTTGTTACACAGAAGTTACTCTAAAAATTAACATTGGAAATAAACTGTACAATATGACTAAAAAATAATTTTATGGAACTGAAATTAGAACTAGATTACGGCACTAAATTTTAGAACTAGCTAACTTATTTAGAACAAAACAGACACTGTTATAACTTTTTAATGGGAAACATTCCCATACAAAGTAAGTAGAATAATAGAAAAATAATGAGCTCATTCAGCTTCAAAAATATCACCAATCTGCCATTGTTTCATCTACACATCCATTCATTGCCCATGAGTCCTCAATTGTCTTTATTTTTAACAGTATTAAAAGGTAAAGTTTATATACACTGAAATATACATATCTTCGCTGCCTAAGTTTAACAAATGAATGTTTTTGTAACACATCTCTATCATGATATACAACATTTCTACTTTGCATGAAAATTTCCATACATTCCCTCCTTCTTAGTCGATTTCCCTCACCCAGCCAGTGTACTCCCCCCTATGAGGCAAGCAACCACTTTGACTTTTTTACATTAAATTAGGACAGAAGGCAAATAATGGTCCCCAAAGATTTCCAAAACCTAATTCCTGGAACCTGTAGCTATATTATTTTACACGACAACAGGAGAATTAAGGTTGCAGATATAAAGAAATAAGGTTGCTAATCAGCTGACCTCAAAATAGGAAAATTATCTTGAATTAACTGTATGGGTTGAATGTAATCAAAGGGTCCTTAAAAGAGGAAGAGGGAGACAAAAGAGTAGGCTGCAATGCTGGTGTGACGATGGAGGAAGGGGACCAATAGCCAAGGAGTGCAGAAAGCCTCTAGTGTTGATAGAGAAGGATGCATCCCATTCAGAGCCTACAACACAGCAGTCAACTCTGCCAGCATTTTGAGTTTAGCCAGATGAGACCAAGATTTAGACTTTGGACCTATAGAACTGTAAGAAAACAAATTTGTGTTATTTAAGTTGCTAAATTTGTAGTACTTTGTGATGGCAACAATAGAAAAGTAATACAATTAGTTTTGCTTACTTTAGAACTCAGGAAAATGGGCTATTTTTATTGGGCTTTTCTTGTTCTGCATGTCAATAAAATTCTGTTTTTAATACCTTGGTGTAGAATGGTAAGTACAGACTTAGCTTTTTAAATGGTTAAGTATAGATTTAGCTTTTTAAAAAACTGCCAATTTATTTTCAAAAGTAGCTATATTATTTTCTACTAGCAATGTATATTTGAGTTTCATTTGCCACATTTTGTATGGTCAGTCTTCAATTTGAGCAATTCTGGTAGCTATAAAATGGGTTCTCTGTGGTTTTAATTTTTATTTCCCTGATGTCTAGTGATATTGAGTATCTTTTTGCATGTTTACTGACCATTCATTTATCATCTTTTGTGAATTATCTGTTCATATCTCTTGACCATTGCAAGATCATCTTAAAATCATTTTGCTAAGAGCCCAGATACAAAATGTTTGACTTTTATTTATATGACATTTGATTTCATTTATATGAAATTCTAGAAAAGGGAAAATTTATTGATTGTAAAGATGAAAAAATTAAGTATCTTTATTAATCTGTCTTATTTCCTACACTCCTCCACAAAGAGTACTCAGCAAAAACTCTCTCAGAGTAATTCTAAAATTAGTTTACTAAAAGAACTGCAATTAATAACCCCCATTTTTATTTTGAAAAAAGTCATATTTACACAAGAGCTGGAGTACAATACAATGAATATCCATTTGCCTTTCACCTAGACCTACAAGTTGTTAGCATTTAAGTCAAATATTTTATATATAATAAAGTAAAAAAAAGAAACAAAAATTATACATAACATCTATATGACATGTCTGCCATTTATCCTTCCTTTAAAGTCCAGAACCTAAGGACAGGTCCTGTGTATTTGATCACAGCAAAGTCAGGACAAGGTGCCTAATTTTGAAAGCTTTCTAGCAAAATATTTATTTAAGTCATTCTTTAAAAAGTATTCTGCGGGCCTCCCCGGTGGCTCAGCGGTTGAGCGCTGGGTTGTGAAGCTGCCCGCAGCCTCTGCAGCGCCGGTTCGATCCCCGGCTGCTCCCCTGCCACCGGTGGAGGGTCCCACATGGCGCGCAGACCTCTCCTGCCGCCTGCTGCTCCCCTCAGCAGTGTACTTCGGTCCTTCTGCCTGCTCTGCTCCCCGCTCTGGCTCTGGTGAATTCTCTCACCCTCCCACGCTTCTGACTGTACCCAGTGTATGTATAAATAAATAAATAAATAAATAAATAAATCTTTAAAAAAACAAACAAAAAAACCAAAAAAAAAAAAAAAAAGTATTCTGCAGCTGCCAAGAGAAATATGTATATATCAAGAATTACTAGAGTGCTTTTTAATATTATGTAATTTTTTTCAGTAAAGCTTTTCAGATTTCTAGAATGCTGTTTTATATAATGTATTTTCTATCAAGTGACCACTCAAGATAAGTCTATTTTACTGTGATACTTTTTTTTTTAAAAAATATTTATTTTTAAATAAATAAATATGCGCGCCATGTGGGACCCTCCTTCAGGTGGCCGGGGAGCAGCCGGGGATCGAACCGACGCTGCAGAGGCTGCGGGCAGCTTCGCAACCCAGCGCTCAACCACTGCGCCACCGGGGAGGCCCTACTGTGATACTTTTTAAGTGGATAGCATAAAAAGAATGAATAAAATCTTTGAATTAAACTATCATTTTATATTTATTCAGTTATCTTTAACTTTTCCATATATTTTCTTTGGCTCAGAGATTAAAGTGAAGCATATACATTTGCCAGTTTTCTGGGTTTAAGAGTATTTTGGTTTTAACACTGAAAGTTCTGTGTTTCAAGAAATCTCAATCACAGGCAAATCAGAACAAATGGTCAGGCTCTGTATAAATATGGCCTCCGAGAAGCCAAGTAGAGTTCTGCCAAGCTAGGTTCCAACTATACCCTGTCAGAAAGTACAGTTTCCTTAATAAATCAGTAATAGTGCAGTGAGGAGTTGAGAAGTTGGCTTTCTGATTGTTTAACAGATTTGAACTTACAACTTGACACCATTATTTACTAGCTATATGACTAACTTGTTATCTCTTTCAATCATTTCAATGTTCACAGGTCAACAATGCTGACCTCATAGAGTTGCTATAAAGACTGAGAAAATATAGCTAAGGACTTGCACAAAGTCTGTACATAGTACTATATAAAAGTTATTATTACTTCTATGAAGAATGCGCCCTTAAGGAGAACATCTCCTACTATTACAAGTCACTAAACATCTTTTAGTCCAGCAAACATTTATTGAATACCAGGCAGTGTTTGAGGTGCTAACAACATAAATATGAATAAAGGATGACCACTGCTTTCATAAGATCAGGCTTGTTGGAGAAAATCAATTACAAGACCAGGGTTCTAAAAGCAGAACTTTCCTTACCACAATGATGTAGTCTTTTCTTAGTTTTGGTTCACTGCCATATCATCATAAATAAATATATTTAGTCTATAACATAAAGCTGCTTAAAATCAGCTAAGCAAAAAGGCATAGGTCACTAAATATCACAATTGGAAAATATGTATACCAATGTGTAAAATGAAAGAGTTATCACATGAGTACACCTTACTAAGGGGTTAGAAACACTTACATCTGGAAATAAATTAAACATTTGGGACCTTTATAAAATGAATTAAGGAAGTTTGGGTGTTGTGTTTATGTCAGACAAAAGTAGTCAGAAAACTACACCTAAAGACTAAAAGTACCAGCGCATCCAATTTGTACTGAATATCTGAAGTGCTACAAGAGTAATAAAAATTCTCTTTAGCAAGATAGGACTCTTAAGACTAAATTGGTCCTAGATCACAGCAGAGTTAGTAACTACCCCAATCCTTATACAGAGCTTTACTAAAGGTCAGCAAAGCACTTTTAGACACATTACTTTGATCCTCAGAATTATTATGAGAATATAAACAGGATAAAGATCATATGGAAGAAACTGAAGTTCAGAGCGGTTAAATGAATTGCCCTAACAGTAGAGGGATCTAGAGAGAACCATGCCTTCTGACTCCATGATGGCACTTTGAATACATGTACAATTAACTACAATGCAATTTTACCAATATCTACCTCAGTGAGAAAGTCAATAAGGTATAACAAATATCTCATTCACTGATGCATGAAGAATTTATATATTTCTAGGATATATATATAATAATTTCTAGGATATATATATTGATATATATAGTTTCTAGATCATTCTGAAATACTGATAGTTATAAATAACATAATTCCTGAAAAATGGAAAATATAAAAGACTTAATCTAGCTAGCATATATAAGGATTATAATAGGGTCTGGAAGACATTAGATCTATAATCACCAATTCCTTTAGAGAGACATGATATCTTTATGTTACTTAGATTTTTCCATTTAGGAAAGCTTTCTCCATTGATTTTAAAGCCTTCTTTTACCTCTTTGTAAACATACAAATTCTTGCCAGGTTTTTTGATATGCTACATGTTTTTAAAGTAGCATGATCCAGATTGTATTACTTAGAAAAATTAGGTCAAAACTAATTAGTCCTTAAAACTCAGGACAGTCACGATAAATTGGTTCTGCAATTAAGCTCTAGAGCCTCGGGGCCTCCCCGGTGGCGCAGCGGTTGGGTGCTGAGCAGCGAAGCTGCCCGCAGCCTCTGCAGCACCGGTTCTGTCCCCAACTGCCGGGTGAGGGTCCCACAAGGCGTGCAGACCTCTCCTGCCGCACTCATTGCTCCCCTCAGCAGTGTATTTCCTCGGTCTGCCTGTTCTGTTCCCCGCTCTGTCTCTGGTGAATTCTCTCACCTTCCCGCGCTTCTGACTGAACCCAGTGCTTATATAAATAAATAAATAAGTCTTAAAAAAAAAAAAAAAAAAAAAAGAAAAAGAAAAAGCTCTACAGCCTCAAATTTCATTATTTATAAAGGTGATGCTGCTTCCTTCTTAATCTCTTGAGGCTACATTTATACACACATACCCAGTAATCATTATTAATTGTTTTGTACTCAAACCTCAAAGGCAGCAGAAGCAATTCAATTTTCCTACTCTGTTATTTCAGATTAATAACTCCAAGGGGTGGAAATCAATTACTGTACATATAGAAGCTACTTTTATTTGTTATACATCTTTTTAAGAGTATAGGATTAGAACATTTATCGAAAATAGGAAAAACAAAACTTTGCTCAATAAGTAAAAAACAAGAGTTTTGTATTATAACAACCTGAGTGAGGTAGAATAAAAAAGAACATTAAGAAAAGGAGATAGTGAATGGAGAAAATAAAAAATTCTTGGCTATAAAAATCTGGGTTCTGGGTCTCCTGGTGGCACAGGGGTTGAGGACACAGCACGAGTTTGATCCCCAGCTGGCCAGAGAGCAGTCAACATGGAGCAGCAGATATCTACTGTCTCGCTGGCTGCTCCTCTTAGCAGTGTGCTTTGGTGGCTCTGCCTGTTCTGCTTCCCACTGTCTCTGGTGAATCCTCTCGCCACCCCCACACCTCTGGTCTATACCCTAGTTCTTGTACACATAAATGAATAAATCTTTAAAAAAAAAATCTGGGTTCTTCTCCTAGCCTTTCCCACTGCCAAAATATTTCCTCTAAAAGAGTCTAGATCTGGCAGAGTAAGACAGACCTAATCCCTTCCATTTGCTATAACCTTTATTCATTTATTTATTTATTTATTTCTAAAGATTTACTTATTTTTATATAAGAAATGGGGTACAGGCCAGAGATGCGGGGGGAGGGGGTGGCGGTGAGAGGATTCACCAGACAGAGCTAGAAATAGAACAGACAGATGGACCGAAGTACACTGCTAAGGGGAGCAGCGGGCGAGACAGGAGAGGTCTGTCCCGCCATGTGGGTTGCTCCTTGGCTGGCTGGGAATCGAACTCATGCTGCAGTGGCTGCTTCATAGGTCTTAACCCCTGCGCCACCAGGGAGGCCCTGCTATAACCTTTAATGTTCTTCTTTAACATCAAATAGCTGCTCTTTCAGTCCTCTCAGAGTTAAAAATGTTAGAATTGAGACTACTATAGGTAGGAATTTTTTCTAGATATGTAATTTGGGTGAGTTTCTCTTTATGTATTCTTATAAAATTTACTAAATTATTATTGTATGCTTAAAAAAATAGATTCGAGCTGGTGTTTTAAATATCCTTCATATCATAGTGTCTATTCAAATCTTTAATCAAATAGCCAGACCAAAACTACCAAAATGTCATTACAAGATTGTTTCTGATGTTATTACAAAATTGTTTCCTCACTTTAAGTGAGGAAAGCTAGGAGGGAAATAACGTTTGTGTGATTAAATTCACCATTCATTCAAAAAATATTTGTTGAGCATCTACTGTACATGCCACACACTCAGCTAAACTAGGCATGAGACATGAATGGTGAAAAAGAAAGGCATGGTCTGTGGCAGAAAGCATGTTCCTTTGGAGTAATATTCAACTTATCTGAGTATTTATCTGTTTTGTGTGAGTATTTATCTGTTTTGTGTAAGTAAAATTTTCAGGTAACTTGGGATTACTTCTCTTTATACCACAAGCATTTAAATATTTAATTTTAATAATATCTGATGAAAAAATTAAATTATAATGCACATTTCCCTTTACTGAAAAATAATATGCCTTAATATATCTTAGCATTTTCTTACTGAACATCAATTATTGTACTGTGTTATAATGTAGTAACTTAAAACATTACCAAAATATGAAGGATTATTTGCATACACATCTAATGGTGTCAAACTGCCATGTTTAGAGTTTTACTGCTTTTAAATATTTTATTAAAATTATTAAGTACTATGTCATACACATAAAAATTAATATAACTGACAGCTTTTTTTTTTTTTTTTTTTTTTAAATATTTATTTATTTATTTATACAAGCACTGGGTACAGTCAGAAGCGCGGGAGGGTGAGAGAATTCACCAGAGCCAGAGCGGGGAGCAGAGCAGGCAGAAGGACCGAAGTACACTGCTGAGGGGAGCAGCGGGCGGCAGGAGAGGTCTGCGCGCCATGTGGGACCCTCCTCCGGTGGCCGGGGAGCAGCCGGGGATCGAACCGGCGCTGCAGAGGCTGCGGGCAGCTTCGCAACCCAGCGCTCAACCGCTGCGCCACCGGGGAGGCCCTAACTGACAGCTTTTAAAACATGATGAAACATTAATACCTATACCTTTTTCACAATGAATCTTCCTCTCAGTTAACCATTTAAATTTTTTGCTTAATATGTCTTTTTAGCTTTATATTTTTTTCTTTCAAATTCTTTTCTGTACTCTTAGCATGTCTGCTTTTGAAATCTATCAAAATAAAAATTGATAATCTGTTTTAGACTATGATACTAAGAAGCAAACTTATCAGGACAGGTTTTTACGCAAAATGTGACAGGTTCTAAGGCCTAAAAAGTTCTCTTTTGAGGCCTCCCTGGTGGCACAAGGGGTTGAGACGCAACCGATGAAGCTATTGGCAGCCTCTGCAGCACGAGTTTGATCCCCGGCCAGGGAGCTGCACACATGGCACAGCAGACCTCTCCTGACTTGCCTGCTGCTCCCCTCAGCAGTGTATTTCAGTCAGTCTGCCTGTTCTGCTCCCTACTCTGACTCTGGTGAATCCTCTCAACCCCCCCCAACTCTGGCCTATACCCCAGTTCTTGTATGTATAAATAAAAAAAAAGAGTTCTCTTTTGAGTACAGTTCATTGAGACATCTCTTATGCCTGTTTTAAGGTCTTTTGAATTCCTGCTACTTAAGACAGTAATAGGTTGGAAGTGCCAGTTGGATGACCTTATGAGTTAGGAGTTATGTAAGTGAGGGAGTGACAGAAAAGATCCTGAAATGACACTAAATGGTCATCATTTCAACCTTTTCACTCTCTGCAGGAAAACTGAAACCCAAAAAGTTTGAATGACTTGCTTTAAATCACAAAACCAGTTAGTGGAGAGCAAAGGTTAGAATTCAAGTCATTGAGATGAGGCATTTTCATCTGGGGACTTCTAGGGGACATTTGCAATTCCTGGAGACATTTTCATCACAGTGGGACGGTACTACACAATACAGGGATACTGCTAAACACTGGCCAATATACACAATTGCTCCTCACACAAAGAATTATCCAGTCCAAATTATCAATATTACCTAGGTTGAAAAGCCTTGACTTAGACCTAATTATACATACTTTATCAGACTATGTAGTCAACTTTTTACTTAATATAAGCATTCTGAGGCTAGCATTAAAATATTATTTTGCTTTAGTCAAACATTCAGACAGTTTAAGGGTCCAGTTTGATTCCCTCTGAGATGGAATATGATAAATGAAAGAATAGAACATACTCACCAGGAGCCAAAACCCAAGGGTCTCCTGTCATAATCTGGCAGATCTGGGGCAATCTTACAAGCTTGTATGTTCAGGTATTTAAATATGTGGATTTTGCCTTTTATACATATCTAAATAAAACATATGAATGCAACCACATCACTCATTTGAAACATTTATCCCTTTTTAATCACAAATCAGCTTTTTATCATTTACAGGAAACAGATGACACTTCTATTAAGCAGAAGATAATAATTATGTAGTTACTGTAACAGATTACATTGTTTATCATTTTAGGTGTTATTTAGGAGTGATATAAGTATAGGTTTTGCTTTCTAATCACTAATAAGTTTCAGTAATAAACAAAATAAATGATTTCAAACACTGTTAGAAACCAAGTAAACTTATTACACTGGTTAGTGAGGCAAATAGGGATTTAAAGCATTTCTTCCCCATGGATTATAGACAACTTTTGCTTTCAAGAATCTAACAAGCATGTATAACTATTTTCAATTCTACTTTCTCTAAGAAAGAAGAACAGGAATCTGTTGCTACCTGTTAAAAGGCAAAACATAACTTACTAGGATAATGAGGCCCATCTATAGTTAAGAACTTCACTTATAAAGCCTTATGTTGCCACATAAATGTATAAACAAAACCATTAATAGACTGCATAGTGAAAAAATTTACAGTGAAACACATGGGTTCACAGAATTTTATAGCTTGCAGGATGTACAGAATCTATAAAGGTACAGTATAAAGATTTTATTACTAAACAGATTCATTTTGCTCATTTATAAACAAATGACAAAAATGACTCAATGAGAATTTTGTGATTTTAGAAAACCGAAAGGTAAAAAATATTGGCTAGAAGACTTGCATTGATAAATTATATCATCTTTTTACCTGAAAATCAAGTATTTTTAATTGTCATTAACATTTACATTATCTACACTCATGTTTTACTAGAAAGCAATTAACTCTAACCAATAGAAAAACATTTTTAGAACCCCTTAACTAAAAAAAAAAAAAAGAAGAAGAATTTAATAAAAAGAAAAAACACTTCTAGAAATATCACCTATCTTCCATCCCATTTTATTCAAGACTTCTTAAAAATACATATGTGTGCGAGTTTATTTTTAAAAACTTAGTTTATAATAGAACAATAAACTCATATAAGTGAAGTTTTAAATTTCATCACCTTTGTTAAAAAGTTCATAGAATACTTTATATCAACTAAGGTTACCTGTGCAGGAGGAGACTGTAGTGGATTGTTATCTAAGGTGATCATCTGTAGGTGCCTAAGGTTCCGATAACAGACAGGGATTGCTGTAATTTTATTGCAGGAGAAGTCTAACCGGATCAAAGGCAACTCTGCCAGTTCTGCATGCAGGTAAAATGGAAATGAACAATAATGATATTTAAAACTATACAATTTTTATTTGCCTTTCCAGGTAAATATGGTGTATTTAACATAGGTACTTAGCTCTAGTCTCTCTCAGTCACTAGCTAAGATAGCAAAGGGGTGTAAAATGAAATCCAGTTGCTTACAGATTAGAATACTAATGAAAAACCAGTTTCTGACCCCTTATCAACTATATAAAGTCTCAGATGCTAGAGGCCTAATACCATAAAAAGGTGAAAATAACTAAAGTATTAGATTATAGTCTCTACAAAGAACAACCTAGATGTCTAGACCCCAACCCCAACTCACAAAGCTAGGGTACTACCCACCCCTCTCTCCAATGACCATAAGAGTCATCATGTTATTCTCTAAAAAATAGAATCAAGGGACTCCCTGGTGGCGCAAGGAGTTAAGACAACCTATGAAGCCATCCGCAGCCACTGAAGAATGAATTCGATGCCCGGTCAGGGAGCTACCCACATGGCGCGGCAGACCTCTCCGGACTCGCCCACTGCTCCCCTCAGCAGTGTATTTCAGTCAATCAGCCTGTTCTGTTCCCTCTGTCTCTGGTGAATCCTTTCACACACCCCCACACCTCTGGCCTGTACCCCAGTTCTTGTATGCATAAATAAATTAATCTTAAAAAAAACACTTCGCAAAATGACTTAAAAAAAAAAACCAAACAGAATTAAGAGGCTCTGGGTTCAGAGACGCCAGGCAAAAAAGAGTCAGGATGAGTGGCCAGTGAAAATGGAGGATTTCAATTAAAGTCTACATATTTAACAGCAAGACCTTAGCACTTTCCTACTCTATCCTGACTAATCCCCAGTTCTTGGAAAGCCAGTAGTTGGGAACAAACCCAACAATGTAGAAGAAATGAAACATCTTTCTGTGGAGATATGATATAGCCCCATATAAAAGATCTCCAGATATTGATATAGAGTTTCTCTACCCAAATACCCAGATTGCTTCTTTTTTTTTTTTTCTTTTTTATAGAGGCATGTTTTATTTATTTATTTATTTATTTGTTCGTTTGTTTTGTTTGTACATGCACTGGGTACAGTCAGAAGCGCGGGAGGGTGAGAGAATTCACCAGAGCCAGAGCGGGGAGCAGAGCAGGCAGAAGGACCGAAGTACACTGCTGAGGGGAGCAGCGGGAGGCAGGAGAGGTCTGCACGCCATGTGGGACCCTCCTCTGGTGGCCGGGGAGCAGCCGGGAATCGAACCGGTGTCGCAGAGGCAGCGGGCAGCCTCGCAACCCAGCACTCAACCGCTGCGCCACCGGGGGAGGCCCCCAGATTGCTTCTTAATTTAGAACTTCTAATAAGCTTTCTATAGACAATATAGGATGCAGACATTTAGAAAAGCCCCCAACATGTAAGATGGAAATCTAACTAAATAAACAAACTGAGAAGGCACTCAGAAGAAACAGGTAGTACACAGGAAACAGAAGAAAACTTTGAAAAACTACAATATCTGTAACTTCACAGAGGTAAAGTACTGAAATTACTGAATTACTGAAACAAAAGTACTGAATTACTGAAACAAAAAAGGGATTTTTAAAAAACATTGCAGAATAACAAGGGTTCTTAGAAATAAAAACATGATGGTGGAAGTTAAAAATTCAGAAATGGTTAAGAACATAAATGGCTCAAACTTTTACCACCTGGCAAAACAAAATGACTAACAAATGAAAATTAGAAAAGATAAGAAAAGTCATAGGATCTAACTATTAAAGGGGTCTAACACCCAATTCTCTAGAAAGAGAAAAGAGAAAGCATATGACAAGAAATTTTCCAGGATAAAGAGTACGGATCTCTGGAAAGAATCTCAACAAGTATCCAGCACAATGAACTCAAGTAACTAATACTTGGGCACATCATAATGTTTCAGACCAAATCTTAAAATTTGCTAAAAAGAAAAAAATCGGTCACAAAGGACTGAGAGAAAGTAATTTTCAACATAGAATCGATGCTGAACAAATTAATAATAAAGGGCCTACAAAGAATAAAGACATTTCTTTTCAAGTAAGCTTTCAAAATAATGTTTTCCCATGTCATGTTCTAAGGAAACCACGAGAACATGTCCTCCTGCAAAACAAGGGAATAAAGTAAGAAAGAGGAATTGTTTGTCAATTATAACTCCATAAAGCTTAAATCTTAAAAAAAAAAAAAAAGAAAGAGAATGACCGAGTCCATGAATAAGAGTAACTTTCACAGGGCTTCCCTGGTGGCGCAGTGGTTGAGCGCTGGGTTGCGAAGCTGCCCGCAGCCTCTGCAGCGCTGGTTCGATCCCTGGCTGCTCCCTGGGCCACCGGAGGAGGGTTCCACATGGCTCGCAGACCTCTCCTGACACCCGCTGCTCCCCTCAGCAGTGTACTTTAGTCCTTCTGCCTGCTCTGCTCCCTGCTCTGGTGAATTCTCTCACCCTCCCGCGCTTCTGACTATACCCAGTGCTTGTATAAATAAAAAATAAATAAAAAGAGTAACTTTCTTTTTTTTTTTTTTAAAGTAATTTTTTTTTTTTTAATAGAGGTATGTTTTATTTATTTATTTATTTGTTTGTTTATACATGCACTGGGTACAGTCAGAAGCGCGGGTGGGTGAGAAAATTCACCAGAGCCAGAGCGGGGAGCAGAGCAGGCAGAAGGACCGAAGTACACTGCTGAGGGGAGCAGCGGGCCGCAAGAGAGGTCTGCGCGCCATGTGGGACCCTCCTCCGGTGGCCCGGGAGCAGCCAGGGATCGAACCGGCACCGCAGAGGCCGCGGGCAGCTTCGCAACCCAGCGCTCAACCGCTGCGCCACCGGGGAGGCCCAAAAAGAGTAACTTTCACAGAAGAAATTTGGGCAGCAATAATAGAGAACCAGTCAGAAGACAGCAAAAGAGTTAATAACCAAAACAAAGAGAAACTCCACCGACTGGGAGAAAATTTTTGCATACAACACTAATGATAAAGGAATGATCACAAAAATCTACAAAGAGCTGATGAGACTCAACAAAACCAAAGAAAATAATCCAGTCAAAAACTGGGCAGAAGAGCTAAAAAGAAACTTCTCCAAGGAGGAAATGCAAATGGCCAACAGGCATATGAAAAAATGTTCAACATCACTTGTAATCAGGGAAATGCAAATCAAAACTATAATGAGATACCATCTCACACCAGTGAGAATGGCACATATTTAAAAAACTAGCAACAACAAATGTTATTGAGGATGTAGAGAAAAAGGAACTCTCCTGCACTGCTGGTGGGAGTGCAAAATGGTCCAACCACTACGGAAAGCTGTATGGAGATTCCTCCACCTATTAAAGATAGAGCTTCCATATGATCCAGCAATTCGACTCCTAGGTATTTACCCAAAGGACACAGAAAATTAATTCAAAAGGGCACCTGAACCCCTATGTTTATAGCAGCACAATTTACAATAGCTAAGCTATGGAAACAACCCAAATGCCCAAAAATAGATGACCGGATCAAGAAGATGTGGTATATATACACAATGGAATATTACTCTGCAATCAAAAAAAAAAATAAACACATGCAATTTGCAGCAATATGGATGGAGCTGGGAGGGATCATGCTCAGTGAAATAAGCCAGAAAGAAAAAGAAAAATGCCGGATGGTCTCACTCATAGCAGGAATTTAGAAAACCTAAATAAGGGACCAGGAAAAAGACTAATTATAATAAAGAAAAAATCAAAATCAACAAGCAACTATAAACCAGACATACTATGGGGGGATGAGGGAGGAGGAGAGGAAGGATTAGGGCCAAAGTAAGGGGGGTAGAATTGTATGGAGAGGGCCTCCCCGGTGGCGCAGTGGTTGAGCACTGGGTTGTGAAGCTCTCTGCAGCCTCTGCAACACTGGTTCGATCCCCGGCCGCTGGGCGAGGGTCCCACATGGCATGCAGACCTCTCCTGTCGCCCGCTGCTCCCCGCAGCAGTGTACCTCCTCAGTCTGCCTGTTCTGCTCTCCACTCTGGCTCTGGTGAATTCTCTCACCCTCCCGCACATCTGACTGCATCCAGTGCTTGTAAAAATAAATAAATAAATCTTTAAAAAAAAAAAAGTCACCAGTTCTTTAAAAAAAAAAAAAGGATTGTATGGGGAACATAACCAAAATGAAAATGCATACATTGTGCAAAAATGAAAATTATGTAAGAATTATATAAAATAAAATATATTAAATAAATTAAATTAAAAAAAAGAATTTTTGGGTTATTGAAACATGTATGTCATGATTTGGGTCAATTCTGCAAAAGGTCTTTATTCACATTTCTAAGGTGGTAGAAAGAAGAATCAGGAAATGAGGAAGGCTCTGAAGATAAAAAGTATAAAAAGTATAAAGGTTACTAAAGGAGCTTAGTGACAGAAAAGATAAGCAGTATGTTGGGTAGTGTGGTGCAGTAAGCTTATAAAGGTGTATTGGAAAAGTCAATTTCTGACACACTTGGGATCCAAAATGTCAAAGTTACACTAGTATGTTAAACTTAACACCAAACTGGATCAAACTGGGGCCTCCCTGGTGGTGCAGGGTTAGGGCACAGCCTAGGAGGCTGGACGCAGCCACAGCAGCAAGAGTTTGATCCCCGGCCAGGAAGCAACCCACACGGTGCAGCAACCTCTCCTAATTCGTCTGCTGCTCCCCTCAGCAATGTGTTTCAGCCAGTCTGCCTGTTCTGTTCCCCACTCTGTCTCTGGTGAATCCTCTCATCTCCCCTCCCCCACACCTCTGACCCATACCCCAGCTCTTGTATGTATAAAAATAAAATAAATCTTTAAAAAAAACAAACTGGATCAAACTGATATAAAGATCTGTATTGTACAGTGAAGCAAAAGTATCACTAGCTAATTCAATATTTACTGTTCACTATAAATCACATATTGTAGAATATCTAAAGATTCATTATCATGGAACAACCTCTGAAGATTTCTTATCTTTTAAGATATACATTCTGAAGTTTACAGAAAAATTTCTTGAGTTTGTTTCAGATTAATCTAGTGGATAAAGCAAGGGAAAGTGGTTGAGAGTACAGATGAAATGAGTTGCAATTAACTGATTATTACTGTAGCTGGGTGATGGATACATAGAGGTTCATTTCTTTATTTTATATAAAAAATTTTCCAAAATGAAATTAAAGAAGTAAATATTCTGGTGTAATAAAATGAATCTCCCCATTTCACTTCCACTTGTAGCATTTTTCTTTCATGAATTTATATTTTTGAAAGACTGATAAATTTTATTTAATTTGTTTAATCATTTCTATTACCCAAATAAATATACCACAGCTCACTCTCAGTCCAAGACAAAAGTCTCTTAGTGCAGTCTCTCCGTCCATACATTATCACATTATATACTACCTCAACAGAGATTAGTTGGTCTTGTATGAACATTTCCAGTTAAGGACAAAGTTCTTAAGTTTAAATCAAGTTCATTTTTAAGTCAGTGCTAACTGCTGGGATGTTTTTGTTTATGTTAAATTATCCCCTTATCAAACTCACACTATGTATTTTCATCAAATAGTTATGCTAACTGAAACTTACAATAACATTACCCCAACTTGTTGATTATACCAACTGACAACCTTTAAAGTAAAAAGAAAAAAATAATAAAATAATTATGCCACATATTCTTACCTTCAGGCAAACGTACTAAGTGATTTCTTCTTATGTTAAGGTCTCTCAAGGCCTCCAAATTACCAATTTGGGAAGGTATTGTTTGAATTTCATTACAGCTCACATCCTATTTCAAAAAGATACAAAGTAAAGAACTGTTCTAATATTACCAACCTGTTTGCTTTAAACTATCTGTAAAATGAGGATGGACAAGATAATTGTATGGTCCCTCCAAGCTGTGAAAAAATTATGATTCCATGTTCCAGAATAATTCCATAATTTAATCTAGCATTTAATTTGAAAAACATATAGACTTTTGACCCATTCTATACATTTTATATAGCTTTACATTAACTTCATGAGCAAAACTAAAATTAAGTGACTTAGTGTGTAGGTAGGAAGCCTAGAATACCTGAACAAACGAAAATGTTGATGAAAGGTAAAACAGAAAGTATAGAAACAGATCTATTTAGAACAATATTTGTTATTTTATATTGCTCTGATGAAACTAGGGCCAAAGCATTTGAGTATTGATTAATCAGGATAATATCAATTCTTGAAAATAATACAAAAACACACCTTCATAATGGGTTTGTGCCATAGGCATATATGTTCAAAAATTAAATGATAAAATATTAACTTACAAGTTCTGTTAAGTGTCTGAGATGTCCAATTTCTTCTGGAAGTGAGACCAATTTATTATTACCAGCAATTAAGACTTTCAATGGTAAATTACACAAATGTACTGGCAACGTTGATAGTTGATTCCGACTAGATAAGCACAAAAAGAGAAGTGTCAGTGCCCACCATTCGAGAAGTTTCCAGTTTTCACACTCCATATTCAGTAAAGTAAAAAACACAAGTTGCAAAGAACAAACAGGATTTTAGAATTGAGTTCTAGCTTTCATTTCCTGACTTACCTGCTTTGTGTTTTAGGCACAGCATTTAACTGCATCTTATACAGATTCCTCATTTGTAAATTGCTATACAAACACAATAGATTATTACCTTATTAAAGTAAAATTTGTAATTGTTTAAAATAGGATCAATACATAAACATGTTTATAATCTACTTCCCCATCTTGCAATATTATAACCAAATGTACATAAAATATCCAAGCATAGCTCTCTAAAGTAAATAAAAAAAAGGATATTATTTCAAATATATCAACTGAGGTATGGCTAAGGGATCTTTTATACAAAAACATACAAATCAAAGCTAAAGTAAAATAAAACATATCTATCATCAGGATAAAATTTTAAATTTTACTTAGATAGACTTAAGATCTTAATCCTTACAACCAATTTCCTCCCTGTTTCAAGATCTTTTGCTGATTAAACTAATTATTTCATGAGCCTTTAAAACTTTTTAATCTAATTATTTTATTCCAAGACATTTATCTTAGGAAAGAGAAAATTTTTACATAAAAAATTCTCTACTTTTATTATTTATTACTTTTATCATGGTGAAAAATTATAAGAACCCAAATATCTGAAGGAAAGTGCGTTTTAGAAGCATATAAACTGTACAATAAAATGATTACATATAAAAATATTTTCCCAATGATATTCATAACAAGAGGAGAAAATTCTCTAAAAATATCTGACTAAAAGACTGGAAAATGGGAGAAGATGACCTATTGTTATAATTCATACAATAGTGACAAACTTCCTTTACGCTTTTCTACATTTGTATTTTTTTCAATAAACATTTATAACTTTTATAATGAAATAGAATAATGACTTTCTTGTGAGATGTGAAAAAAAGGAGATGAGATGAAATGAATAAATGCATTCAGACGTAATACAGAGAAATATACAATCATAAGAACCAAAGTAATTTCAGATCTATTCTTTTTTTTAAAAGATTTATTATTTATTTATACAAGAGCTGGGGTACAGTCAGAGGCACGGGAGGGTGAGAGAATTCACCAGAGACAGAGTGGGGAACAGAACAGGCAGACGGACTGAAGACACTGCTGAGGGGAGCAGTGGGCGAGGCAGGAGAGGTCTGCCACGCCATGCGGGAATCTCCCTGGCTGGCCGGGAATCAAACCAGTGCTGCAGAGGCTGCAGACAGCTTCATAGCACAGTGCTCTACCCGCTGCGCCACCAGGGAGGTCCCAGATCTATTCTTATTTGATAAAGTTTATTTGAAAACGTAATTGGAGAATCACTGCTACATGTCTGCTGCAAGTCTATCGCACTAATTGCTAGTAGGATTTGTTAACTGTTGCAAAAACAAAAACAAAGGGAGAATCTAAAGGGACACAGGAAATACTATTAATGTAGACTAACCATGTGTAAATACTACTGATATGAATATACAACTTTTAGTGAAAGGAAACTGAAAAGACCACATAAAAGCAAAACTTAGAAAAAAAGAAACAATATTCTTACCTAATATTTAAGAAAGTTAGAGCTTGCAGGTTTAGAATTGCTTCTGGTATATACCGAATACAATTTTGGTACAAATTGAGATTCTCAAGAGAAACAAAATGGCATGCTTCTATGGGAATTTCTGAGAGGCGATTTCGTGAGAGGTCTGAAAGAAAAAAATAAATTAAGTTTAAGATAAATAAGTAGGTTTCATGATTGTTTTAATTTCTCAAACTTTGTCCAGAGCAAGCTTGTAGGGATTGGTCCAGGGCAATCATTCAAATACTTAACTGATTGAATAAACCATCTCAATATATGCCTGTACACCTGCTGCTGGGAATTATTATTCCCTTTCAGTCTCCACATATACTAAAAAATAAAACCATTACCCTTTGCAAATAACAATTCCTAAGCATAGCTACCACAAATCATATCAAAGATCATATCACTACATACAAAATATCCTAGAAATAAATGAATTCCTAAAATCTTCCTCCCCAAAGAACTAAAACTTTTAGGTTTTTAGAAAAGCAAAACAAAACAAAAAATATTGTCACTTTCTTTATCAGTCAAAGATTATCATGGAGATGTCAAAAGGACTCAGGAACCAAAGATAAGACAATGTGAGCTTCAATAAAGATAACAATTGTAACTGATGGAAATCTATGTTGAATTATGAGTTTACAATGACATCTCTCCCTGCCAAAGATGATAAATCAAATTCATTATCTTGTAAACTAATAAAGAATCAAGCATTTCTCAAAAATAAAAAGAAACAGGGCCTCCCTGGTGGCGCAAGGGGTTAAGACACAACCTATGAAGCTATCAGCAGCCACCACAGCACGAGTTTGATCCCCACCCAGGAAGCAACCCACATGGTGCAGCAGACCGCTCCTGACTCGCCCGCTGCTCCCCTCAGCAGTGTATTTCAGTCAATCTGCCTGTTCTGCTCCCTCTCTGTCTCTGGTGAATCCTCTTACCCTCACACCTCTGGCCTATACCCCAGTTCTTGTATGCATAAATAAATAAATCTTTAAAAAAAAAAAAAAAGAAACAACCATTTCTCGGCATCCCTATATGAACTGTATCACTGAAAAACCAAATAACTAGATGAAGGGAAACAACTCTATATAAATATTATAGCTATCAATGAAAATTAATGATATCACCATTTTGCAACCCCCAGTGAATCACTGCATCTAAAACTGAGTATTAATGGCTAATATTGCTTAGGTATTTATCCAAATAACATGAAAAATCAAATACAAAAAGATCTATTTACAACCTAGGTACATAGTGGCACTGTTTAAAATTGGCAAATCAGGGCCTCCCTGGTGGCGCAGCAGTTGAATGCTGGGTTGTGAAGCTGCCCGCAGCCTCTGCAGCGCCAATTTGATCCCCGGCCACCAGCAAGGGTCCCACATGGCGCACAGACCTCTCCTGTTGCCCTCTGCTCCCCTCAGCAGTGTACTTCATCAGTCTGCCTGCTCTGCTCTCCGCTCTGACTCTGGTGAATTCTCTCACCCTCCCACACTTCTGACTGTACCCAGTGCTTATATAAATAAATAAATGAATCTTTAAAAATAAATAAATAAAATAAAATTGCCAAATCATGAAATCAACCCAAGTGCCCTTCAACAGATGAATGGATAGAAAGACTGTGTAACATCTATTCAATGGAATATTTCATGGCTGTGAAGATGAAACAGTGGCATTTTGCAAAAAATGGATGGCATGCTGCCATGAACTCTACAGTTGCAAGGAAATAAATTCTGCATAGAAGCAGATGCTTCCCTAGTCAACCCTCCGGCTAACTCAGCCTTAGTCAAAACCTTGATTGAAATCTTGCAGGAGACCAAGCTAAACTGTGCCTAGACCCCTGAACCAAATAAATTATGAAATTCTTGAAATCACTGAATTTGTGGCAATTTGCTAGACATCACAAAAAGTGAAACGGCCAATATTTTTACAAAATATCCTCTTATATTTTACTTTAATTTCAACGTTCCCAGATTATTATGTTTTGAATGTTTCTTATAGATAGCACATAGATTTTGCTCTCTTTTTATTATCCACAACCTTTAAATGAAATACTCTACACTTAATATAATAACACAATGTATTTGGATTTTTAAAAGGGTCATGGTATTTGTAACAGATATAGTTCATTTCCCTTTCAATATATCTATGCTCTCTCCTTTCTATTAGACTCTCAACTATATTCAAATAGTTAAGTGAGAATACTGATACTTCCAATTTCATTAATCACTAAAATTCAAAGTAGGGTAATAAAATCAGATAAAAAATTAATAGCACTTGTCTTGCAACTAAAACAGCCTAGGAAATTCTCATTTATGGAGAGTGTCCTAAGTTTGTATTTAAACTGATTGCTTCAAAACTGCCTCAAGCTTTTTCATGGTGGGGGGGGGGGGAGATTTCTTAGCTTTTGAGGACTAACTTACATAATAACACCATTGAATTGAAATGCTTTATATTTGTAAATATATTTCTTTTCCCAACATTTCCTATGTTACTACATGGTGTTTTTGTCCGCTTACATGCTTAAGTCAGAATTCTGCAATCATCCTGACATCTTCCTCCTTTTCTCAATTTAATCCTATCAACAGTGTCAGTTTCTTGGTTTACATGCACCATGAGTCCATCCATTTCTCTTTATCTCCTGTCACTGCCTCTTAGGATTATTTCAAAAATCAAATTAAATAATGTGTGAAAATTACTTCATATACTGTAAAATCCAACATGGCAAGCATAAAGCCAGTTTCATAAGATTTACAGCAAGACAGCAAAAATAACAAAACTCCTCAAATTAAACAGTAGCATGTTACACAATTAAATACAGTAGAGTTATTTTTAAAAAGATGAGCAGGGGCCTTCCTGGTGGCTCAAGGGGTTAAGTCTCAGCACTATGAAGCTATCCTCAGCCAGGGAGCTGACCCACATGGCACAGTGGACCTCTCCTTTCTTGCCCGCTGCTCTCCTCAGCAGTGTATTTCAGTGCATCTGCCTGTTCTGTTCCCCACTCTGTCTCTGGTAAATCCTCTCACCCCCCCCACACACACCTCTAGCCTACAACCCAGCTCTTGTATGCATAAATAAATAAAATAAATCTTAAAAAAAAAAAAAGATGAGCAGCTCTCATCCCAAGACTGCCCACCTATGTCTATGCAGGTGCTTTCTTCTCTTTTCTTTCTAATAAAACTGCCCTTTTAAAAAGTAGTCTTTGACTGTTTGTATCTAAAACCTAAGTTTAAAAAGATGAAAAACAGGGCCTCACTGGTGGCACAAGGGGTTCAGACGCAACCTATGAAACTATCTGCAGCATGACTTCGATCCCCGGTCAGGGAGTTACCCACATGGTGCAGTAGACCTCTCCTGACTCACCCACTGCTCCCCTCAGCAGTGTATTTCAGTCAATCTGCCTATTTGTTCCCCACTCTGTCTCTGGTGAATCCTCTCACCCCCTATACCTCTGGCCTGTACCCCAGTTCTTGTATGCACAAATAAATCTTAAAAAAAAAAAAAGATGAAAAACAAAAACAAAACAACAAAAAAGATGAAATTCTGCCATTTGCCACAATGTTAATGGACCTAGAGGGTATTATGCTTAGTGAAAGAAGTCTCTGTATAATTTCACTCATGTGTGGAAGAAAAAGAAACAAAAAAATAAAAAACAAATTCTTGGACTATCAGAACAAAAGAGTGGCTAGCAAAAGAGTATGGGAAAGGAAAGTGGATAAACTGGGTAGAGGTGCTAGTTAATTACAGGAGCAAGATTGGAAATCAGGATTTTTTGGTGGTGAACATAAATGTAGCATATATAGATGTTGATTTATAATGCCACTATCTGAAACCTACATATAAACTAATGTCATTTCAATTAAAAAGATTTTTGAGATATATATAGCAGAGTACAAAACAATAATGTATCATCTTTGGTAACCCCAAAAGCAGCAATACTATACTCAGTATACTTTACATTTAAAATGCAAAAAGTATAGAAAACAATTATCTAAAAATACATTTGCTATCTTTCAATGAGACTAAATAAGTGTAAAAGATATTGTATTTTTATGTCACTAAACTAATCTGTGATTTCACACATTTGGATATTATCTATTGTCTCATAAGCCTCCTAAATTTCCATCTCTGTGTCAGTGTAGTCAATCCTAGGTAGTTTTCCAGATAGCAAGCTCAACTGAGATTTGTCAAGTATTGTAAAAAGCCACAAACTGGATAATAAACAGCTTTGCTCTGAAGCTAGTAAGTCACTTCTAGGTTTCATATCCTGAATATGACCTTGGTCTTTTTTGTTCTGTTAGTGAGATAAGTCAACAACTAAACTACTCTTTGGCACCACCCTTGGCTGTATTATTCAATTGGCCAAAGCCAAAAAAAAGTCTATTTTGATTTGAGAAAAATTTTAGCTAAGGGAAATACCACTGAAGTTTTAATTAACTAAAATAAATATTTCAATGAAAATGTTCTAAGACATTTAATTTACAATCAGATATTTGATTATTTTCCAATTTCAAAAATCTTACCCTCAAAGTTAAATTCATCTGAGACACTATTAATTTTAAAATGTCAACAAAGTTTAAAAGTAGCAAAGGCATTCCTTAATATTAATGAGGAGTTACATAGAATGATCACTTAAGATTTGCAGAGAAGGGCCTCCCCGGTGGCGCAGCAGTTTAGCGCTGGGTTGAGAAGCTGCCCGCAGCCTCTGCAGCACTGGTTCGATCCCCGGCTGCTCCCCGGCCACTGGAGGAGGGTCCCACATGGCGCGCAGATCTCTCCTGCTGCCCGCTGCTCCCCTCAGCAGTGTACTTCGGTCCTTCTGCCTGCTCTGCTCCCCGCTCTGGCTCTGGTGAATTCTCTCACCCTCCTGCGCTTCTGACTGTACCCAGTGCTTGTGCAAATAAATAAAAATAAATCTTTAAAAAAAAAAAGATTTGCAGAGAAGTATTTAATGAGTCTCTGTAATGAGAATAGAGGCTATGTCTGTTTTATTCAACTCTGTATACTTAGCACTTAGTTCCACAGTACACACCACATAGTAGACACTCAATAAAGTATCTGTTAAAAAAGTAATAAATAGATGAAACAAAAGCTGTGGACTCAGAAGTAAGAATCCAACATTTATCA